AGCCGGGGCATCGCTTTCCCGCCGTCCCCTTCCCCCAAAAGCGATAGGATGTGCACGGGAGAAAAACTGCCCGAAAAATGAGCTGGACTCCCTGTCGGACGCGTGTGTTTTCTTGTTTCTCTCTGCAGCCATCCCGTGAGATCTGGAATTCCGAAAAAGGATTGGTTCGGCCTACCTGTACGTTTCAGACCTATTACATTACATTCCTCCAAACGTTCCATTTCTGAAAAGTATCGGCTCGTAATGTCCTTTTGAAGACAATACGTTCGCTCGTACATTCCTTCCAGTACGTTACGCTACTCAAACCGTTCGCTTTCCGCCGTTAAGTAGCGTAGCGTAGCGGACTTGAAGCCTTAAGCTCCTTGGTATTACCTTCTAGTACGTTACATTCCTCCAAACGATCCGTTTCGATGATGTATCGGCGCGTAGTCTTTTAGGACGGCACGCTGCTTTTACATACCTTTCACGCAAATACGTTACAATACGTCATCCGTTCGCTTTCCGTTAAGTATCGTGGCGTAGCGTATTTTTGAAGAACTCTCCCTGGTATATTCCTGCAAGTACGAAATTGCGTAGCGTAGTGTTCCTTTGAAAAAGAAGCGTTTCTTGCAGAACTTTTGATGCGTCGCAGTACATTGCATGTCTCGAAACGTTCGCTTTGGAAAAGTAGCGTCGTGTAGTGTTATTTGTCGTATTTTCACGGTTTATTCCGCTTAATTCCGTTAATTTCCATGTGTTCCACCTCCCGATTGAAGCCAATTTCGAGCCAAATCTCCGTTCTGATCTTACTCTCCTCGCTCCCTTCTTCCCTTCGAACCGTATTGAGGGCTACGTCCGGCTCCAAATCCCCCCAAAATGCCGCAATCTGATTTTCCGAGGGCTTGACCCGCGCGTCCAGCTGTGAATGAGTGGCCGAAACCAGGAGTTTTCCATTTTCTTGAGCATCTCCAGTCCTCGAAAAACTGTTAGAAATTTTTCGTGGTTCCCAATTTTCAATTTTCTAGCAGTTCCTTGCAATGCTTAAAATTAGGCTTAAGGTATGGACTAGGCTTAGCTTAGGTTTAGGCTTAGACTTAAGCTTAAGCTTAGGCTTAGCTTAGGCTTCTAAAGATGCAGTCAAGTTTGGTATTTTTTTAAAGTTTTTACCAAGCTTTAATAAAATCCTAGCAGCCTTTTCTAGCGTCTTAAAACCAGCTTTCTAAAATCTTGGGGTGACCACGACTTCTTAAAGTGTGCCATGTCCACATGTCCGGGGCACTTGTTGTTGTCCAGCGGCGCGCCAAGACGTATGCTAATCCGACCAGCCAGCCGCCGCGCTTTGCACCGGGGTGCTGACAAGCCTCGTTCCGTCCCCCATACCATTCTATTCTATGCCCCATTTGTTCTGTTCCTTGCGTGGAATCTAGGAAAAGCCGGAGCTGCGGTACCCGTTTCTAGCCGCCCCGGTTTTGCGCGTTTCTCGTAACTATTCTCCTTTTTTTTGGCGCTAACCACGTTCTGATTTCAGCATTAACTCCTAAAAACTGCAGCTCTCTCTCGCTCTCGCTCTCTCTATCTATCTATCACTTTCTCTGACTTTCTCTCTCTTTCCCCCTCTCTCGCTCTGCCGCTCTCTCTCTCGCTCTCGCGCGCTCCCACTATCTATCTATCACTTTCTCTGACTTTCGCTCTCTCCCCCTCTCTCTCCCTCTCTCGCTCTCTCGCTCTCTCTATCTATCTATCTATCTATCAGGTTGGACCGAAAGTAATTACAATTTTTCGGACGCAAAAAATTTATGGAAACAGCCATCCTATCTTTTCCATATTTTAGCATGACCGAGGGTAAAGTATGAACTTCCTGCACGCCCGATTTGAACTTCCAACCTTTGCTACTTTTGAAGTTATGAGGCAAATACGCCGCGCGTCGTAATTTTCCCTCATTTTAGGTTTCGTAAAAATTTTGTCCGTCAGTGAGGCCACAGTTACGTGAATAATTAATCGCAAATAAAACAGCAGTAATACTATACAATGTATCGAACATAATTTAAATAGGTGGTCTCATACATTTTTCCTGATCGATTTAGAAAGATGTCAAATTGGGATTTCGGGCCCCAAAATGACAAATCCCTTGTCGGCCGTTTTCTCCGAATTTGGTGGCTAATTTTTTTAAGAGTTTTTATCGATATGTAGCTTAGTTATCACTGTTTCAAACGCGTAGATTGCCTAGGGACAAATCTTTTATACCGAGCTGCAGAAGAGATCAACCCTGATTTTCCAACACAATTTTGTTTCGGTATTCTCAGAGTGAACAAATGGGTTTGGGGCAATTATAATTTCAGTACCTTATTTACTGTTGCTGCGTAATTGCCGTGCCATGATGAAAAATTTGATCGGCAAGGACTAAAGAATAAAAAGCAAAATTTAATGACGATGCCAGATCCGTGTCGGTTACTCGACGTTACAATATGTTGCAAAATTTTTCCCGTGAAGGCAGGGCGGTTTGATAAATATTGTTTACACGGTGTTCCCAACTAAATGTTTTCCAAAATAGGTGGAGCGCTTTTCGATTCGCTGTCGTAATTGGATCGTTAAGCCCCTTTTCATCAGCCTCATCCCGAATCCGGATTTTGTTCCATACTATAGACAATAACGACGGGCTCTACAGTTGTTTGGTGAATGAGGCACCATAGCTAGAAAGGTATGATAATGGCGTTATAAACCGCCAGTTATTCTGGCAGGGTTTTGACTTTAGAAATTTTCATAAGGCTGAAAGGGCAGAGGGCTCGCGGATGTCGCCGCCTCGGGTCAACCAGTGTCTCAAGGAGAACCGATCATAGAAAAATAAATACAGGCTAGATTGATTAAATATTTTTATGTGCTATAGTAGCATCTTAGACTGAACTATCGGTGCAAAAATTCCGGCGGCCGGGTGGTAAATGTTTATACAAAACCGGCTTGAAGATGGATTGTAAAGACTTTCGGTCCAGCCTGATATCACTTTCTCTGACTTTCACTCTCTGTCCCTATCTCTCTCTCGCTCTCTCTCTCGCTCTCTCGCTCTCTCGCTTTCTCTCTCTCTCTCGCTCTCGCGCTAGGGTTGCGAAGTTCGTATTCATAGTCCCAATGTATAGACATTATTTTACCGGCAATATTCTTACGCTAAATCGCCTTGTATTTCCGCAAGGATCTCTGCTAACTCGCCTCTTCCTTTTTGGCATTATGTTAATTTTTCCAGATATTTTTCTATCTGTCACTGGCATTTTCTCCCTAACCCCTGTTCCAAACCACCCACCTCCCCTCGCTATTCCGATGGCCTTGATTGTCGCCCGGCGGCCTGGAACCCTCTAATGGAACCAATTCCACGACCGAGAGGTTAAAGGTGCTCCTCAACAACCCCCACAAATTCCGCTCTATTCCCCCTGTACACCCTGCCCTCCCCACGGATCTTTTGTCAAATTTTCGACCCCTAGCCAACGTTACATTTCATTCCTCTGAACGCACCCTTCGGTCAAGTAGCGACGCGTACTCGCTTTTACAGTACGCCGCCCTGGTCGATACCTTTAGCGCCTTGCACTACGTTACATTACCCTTCACGCATGTGTCGTAGCGTAGTGTCCTTTCGAAGACGCTATGCTCCTTTGTACATGCCTTTGACGCATTGCAGTACGTTACGCTGCTCTAGCCGTTCGCTTTTCGTCAGAAAACGTAGCGTAGCGTACTTTTAAAGTGCTGTTTGTTGTTGATTCTATATAATACGTCACATTACTCTAACGTTCGCTTCTCGTAACGTGTCGTAGCGTAGAGCACTTTTGAAGACGATACACTCGGTTGTATATTCCCGCTGGTACGCTACATTACTCAACACATTTCGCTTCTCGGAAGGATCGTAGCGTAGCGTAATATTGAAGACTGTATGCTCATATGTAAATTCCTTTTAGTACGCCACAGTACTCTGTACGCTCCGGTTCTCTGAAGTATCGAAGCGTAGCGTACCTTTGAATACCATACGTCCGATTTCGCCTGGTATCTAGAACCCCTTAATGGAACCAATTCCACGACCGAGAGGTTAAAGGTGCTCTTCAACAACCCCCACAAATTCCGCTCCATTCCCCTGTACACCCTCCCCTCCCCACAGATCTTTTGTCAAATTTCGACCCCTAGCCAACGCAGCAGCCCAATCCGATTGTCCGCCACAATACCCGCGGGGGGCGCCGCGAGGCGCGCGCGAACTCACGGCGTGAAAAAGCGAAAAAGCCGTCCGATTTTCGGGAGGTGCTTTTGGTTGCAAAAGCGGGGGCGAAAAAGTGAGGCGCGTTCACCCGAGCTTTCACTGCTTTTTTTGGGGGGTGGGTTGGGCTAGGCGAGAAAGTTCGGATGCAAAGTTGCCAGTCCTTTTTTTATCAGTTTGTGTAAGACTTTTGGAGCTTTTGCATTATCGGGGGGAGGGGGTGATTGGTTTCTGCAGGTCCAGAAATGCCTATTTACGTAATTGCGAATATTTTAATCGTGTTTTTTTGTAAAATTCCACGCGATTTCAAGTGGAAAGCAATTAAAAAAAACGTAGAAAAATGTATCTGAAATTTTCGTCGCACAACCCCGATTTTCATAGAGTAAGTATTTTTATCGTGTTTTTGAGAAAATTTGAGCTATATTTAGCATAGAAATCTTATTAGAAAACGTCACAACTTTGAAAAAATGGAAATTTTGTCGAAACTCGGCCTTTTTGGTCGAAATCGAAAAATCGGGATTTTTGCATTTTTTAAATTGCTTAGAAACACTTACTCTGCTTATATTAGAAAAATTAAAAACTTAGAAAAATTTTTTTCCCCTCCCCTGATAATGCCAAAGATCCGAAATTGCAGACTACAAACTATAAACTAAGTTTTATTTTTTTATGTTTTCTTTTTTTAAAACTTCTATGCCTAAAGTCAATTTTATGCCAATTTTTGCAGAGATGAGCAGATAGCCACAGTGCACTCGACCCGCAAGGACCCAAATTCCCCCTCTCTATGCGTGCTGAAATGCGCCCTCTTACCGTAGCCGTGCTGGTGGCGGTGGTGGTGGACGTGGCGGCAGCCGTCGTCTCGTCGACGCCTCTACCGTCGACCCTGTCGCCACTGTCCGCCTCGGGCTCCTCACAGGATCTCTGCTCCGTATACGACCCCTTCAAAGTGTTGCCCGACAATAATAAGGTATGTTAAATGGATTGAAAGTCATCTGGCTCGTTAACGGGGGCCGGAAATGTGGAATTTTGGTCATAATCCCGACAACGAAAATCCCGAAAACCGAATTTCCGGCAACAACAATCCAGACCACAATAATCCCGACAGCCAAAATACCGACAACAGAAATCCCTACAGCGAGAATTGCGTCGAATTGCTCGTTCAAATGACGAGGGAACTAGTTCACTAGCGGGGGGGGAGACTTTTTCATGTTCCGATCGTTGCCCCGTAAATCAAAGAAAGATTTTAATAGAATTTTACGGCTCAACTGGATGTAAAACGTGTCTCAAAATTCGCAAAAATTTTCGAAAAATTGGGATTTTTTTTGTCCAAAACCCAAAAAAATTGTACTGGCCTATTAGCGGGGGGGGGGGGAGGGTGGTCTTAGCAGCGAGCGGAGTTTTGATTTGACTTCCCAACCCCTTGAGCCATTTTGTACATCGTATTGAGGTGTACCTCATGCTCCCCGGATGTACACAACCATTTTTCAGTTCCAAATCGGCGGCTCGTTCCCGCTGCACGCCGAGGATTGTCGCGAGCTGCGCCCTGACACTGTTCAAGGTCGGTTTCTGTAGTTTTTATTTTGTAACACATCGTTTTTTAATTTAAATAAATTGTTTTCGTATTTTATTAACCGTTTTCCCTTGCAGAAATCGTGGCAATCCAGTGGGCGCTGACCCATTGGAACCAGAACCCGAACAACTTCAACGCGAAGCTCGGCCTCTATGCCGGCGACTCGTGCTCCAGGTCGCGGGAGGCTCTTTCTCAGGCATTTTTGAAAGGCATTATTTTTATTCTTATTTTAGAGCCTCCGTTTCCTCGACTCTCTTGGCTTTTTGGAGCCGGCGGAGTGCCGGAATCATGCTCCACCCGCCCGATTGCTAGGTGGGTTCAGAAAATTTTTATAAGCTCAAAAAACTATCCAGTTTATCATTCATTTTTGCAATTTTAATTTTTACTAAAATATAGTTCTATTTAACGTGGAAAAACAGAAAAAAAACCTTACAAAAATTCGTTGAAATGTTAGTCGAAAATCGGCCGTTTGTGACCGAAAAATCGCTATTTTTGTATTTGGAAATTAGGAATTATTTTGCTTATAGAACTAGTAAAAAAAGGTTTAAAAGCGCTGCCTTTATTTATCTTGGAAAAATTAGTTCTTCGGAAAAGTTTGCCCCCCCCCCGATAATACACCAGAACCCAAGTGAGCTACTTTACACTATTTTCACTACTTTGATGGCTAAAACAACGACTAAAATCGTTCCGTTTTGAGGAGTGATCGCCCCGAAAGACGCCGGCTCTTCCGGTCTCCTTGGCCGCGTCGTTGGCCAAGCCGCACTCCCCGTGGCCTCGTACTCCTTGGAATCGTCGACCGTCCTCGCGCATCTTCACCCACAGACGTTGATCTCCACCACCCCGACAATTGCTGTCTATATTGAAGTGAGCTCGAGCGGGATTCGACTTTCGATTTTCTTACAAAACCAACCCTACTCCCTTTAGGCGGCCATCCGTGTGCTCGGCCAATTCCGCTCCAACCTCGTGATCCTCGTCGACAGCGGGGCCGACCCGGCACTCACCCAAGCCGTCACAAAGCAGCTGAAAGAAGCCGATATCCACGTGGCCGAGACGGTGTCCATCGGCGAACAGGCTCTCATCCCGGCCCTCACCACGTCGGAGGCCACCATCGTGCTCTCGATCCTCAACCTCGATCAGCTCATCTCGGTCACCACTCACTCGCTCGTGTCTTCGCTTGAGAAACTGTGGGTGAACGTGGCGCTGGAGGGTGAAGCGTTGCCTGATGATGAACTGCCAGCGCTCGTTCCCGAGGGTGCTGCCCTACAGGTTGGTCGGCCGGATTTTTTGATTTGATTTTTTGAAAATATTTAGGGTTATTTCCATTATCGGGGGGGGGGGGTAAATATTTTCCTTTGGAAAATTTTTTTGGAGCTTTGACATTTACGGGGGGGAACGGAAGGCAAAATTATTCCTTACGTTGCCTATTACTTAAACTTTTGGATCTTTGGCATTATCGGTGGGGGAGTTAGCTTATCGGGGGAACAGAATTTCCTATACTCTAGAAATTCCTAAAATATAGGAAGTATTCGAATAGATTTTTTTGGTAACATTGATTTATATTTCGGGAGGAAAATCAATTTTTTAAACGTGAAAGAATTTAAATTAAAAAATCGCAATTTTTCTATTTTTTAATCTGAATTTGTAAAGTTTTTGTCTTTGTTTTAGTAAAAAAGCTACCCCTCCCCCGATCATGCCAAAGGGCCTTGATCTGCATTTTGATCTATATAAAATCGATACCATCTTTTGTTCAGGTGACGCTGATCCAACCGCGATTCTCCGAATTGCCCCAATTCCGCGACTACTTCCTGCGCGTGCTGAAGAACAACTACCAGAGCTATTCGCTGCTCACCTCATATGTTAATCAGGTAAACAAGCGTGTGGGGGGTCCGTTTTACCGAAATTTCATTTTGCCGAAATTTTAGTGAGCGGAAATTGAAAAAGCCGTCGCAATTTCCACCAAAATAAATTTCGACAAAATGAAAATAAGCCAGTCTCGTTTCCCATATAATTTTCTAAATATTATGTTTCTAAATCGGTTTTTTATTTTTATTTAATGGCCAAAAACCTTACAACGTTTTAATACATGACACAAAATATAGATTTTCTAACAAAATTTCGACTAAAAAACTATTTTTGAAGGTTTATTGTTCAACCCTTGAAACATAGTTAAATTTACTAAAAACGTATAGAAATATTTGTTATTTCGTTTTTCTATAGATAAGTAAGAATACGAGCCCCCCTCGATAACGCAAAAGTACCCATACCTCGTTACATTACTGATTTCTGGCGTTTTCAGGTCTACAATTGCACGGAAGACGATTGCGAGCTGGCCGATGCGATGATGGCCGAGAAATATGTGCAGGTAGGTTTTAATAAATAGAAAATAAAGCAAAAATGCAAGAAAAAATCATAATTAGGTAAAATAATGCTCTAATTTTTATTCGGGAAACCGCTGGCCATTGCAGAGTCGCCACACCGAAGCCGCCATCCGACTCGCCTACACTTTTGCCGCGCTCGGCGCCAAGGTTGCCGCCGACGCCAAGAAGCTCAAGATCTGGTGGGAGTTATCGGGTTTTTAACTTCTAGCCGCTCATTTCCAGCGAGCACGCCGACCCGGAGTGCACGGCACTGTTGCTGCGCGAGCTGGAGACGCTCGAGTATACCTTTACCGCCAACGACCCGGCGGAGTTCGGCGGGCAGACGCTGCACTTCTACAGGGCCAAGTAAGGAGATTAACATGGGGTTTTAGGAATTTCTGCAGAGAGTTTCGAGACACGAATTTTTAGGGATGGTGTCCTGGTGGCTAGTGGTATGATAATCGAAGCCGTGGAGGCGTGGAGGGATGAAGATGATCGTATCGTGCAATATAAACTTCTCGAGTACACCACGGGGAAGAAACCATCGGTCGTCGTCGCTTCATTGCGAGCAAGAGTGGGGTTTACTTAAGTATTAAATCAAAACTTAACTAATTTTAATAGAATTCGTGTATTAAAAAGTATTAAATTATATTAAAAGACATAATTATCGATTTATTAAATAACCCAGCATTCCTCGTCGGTTCATTGCTATAAAATTTGGTACTGGACCGTTAGCGGGGGGTTGCGGGGAACCAAATTTTTCCCAGTAATCCCGTAATGTTCGATACCGAAACATAACCCAATTTTATGGCATTATATGCCGTTTTTAGATACAAAAGAGACATCAAAATACCAGATGGTTACAGTCGCTTCGCGACTGCAACCATCTGGCCTTCGGGCTATCCTACATGTCCCACTCCACCACATCCTTTCCCACCTCCATCAATACCCCCCATAGCGGAAATCCCCTCCAAAAACTACCTAAATACCTTCCTGATGGCTTCAGATACCCCCCATGGCTGAAATCCCCTTCAAAAACTACCTAGAAACCTTCATGATGGCTTCAGATACACCCCATGGCTGAAATCCCCTTCAAAAACTACCTAGATACCTTCCTGATGGCTTCAGATACCCCCCATGGCTGAAATCCCCTTCAAAAACTACCTAGATACCTTCCCGATGGCTTTAGATGATTTAAATAATTAATTAACATAATTAAAAAGTATTAAAAAGTATTAAAGTAACTTTACCTTCCCGATGGCTTCAGATACCCCATGGCTGAAACTCCCTTCAAAAACTACCTAGAAACCTTCCTGATGGCTTTAGATGATTTAAATAATTAATTAACATAATTAAAAAGTATTAAAAAGTATTAAAGTAACTTAAAAAAGCTATCTGGGCGCGGGAAGGGGCCTGGGGAAGCGGGGCGAAGGGAAAGGGGGCGTGGCCTCCCGGGAGAGGGCCCCCACCCCTTTTACTAAGGAAAAAACTTTCAAAGTTAATTTTAATAATTTAAACTAAAACTTTTTCATAATTTTTTTATCAGTTTGGGGGTTTCTGACCACGCTCTATCCGAATCCGAAGAGAGCTAAGCTCTAGCTCCTTTCCCCTTCGAGTTGAATTCGGGACCGGACAGACGGACAGAGACCACAACAAAATTATTATAGTTGATAACTATTTTTGAAAAATTTTGACTTCTGGGTCAAAAATGTATGAAAAACGTCCAAAAGTTTCGAATTTTTTAATCGTTTTTGTCACTTTCTAACAAATAAAAAAAAACGACTAAAACACGATAGAATACCGTATTTATTTTGGACAAGTTAATAGGCGGCAAAGTAAAAAAGGGGTAAAGGTTCAAAAACCTGCTAAAATCCCCCGCTAAGAGTCCAGTACCGTTAATATAACTTTATATATGGTATTTAATGTTTATATTATGAATTTAATGTTTGTAAGATGACCAGGGGGAATACCAATTTTTTTAGAGCTCGCAGCCGCGGTCGATTTGCATGCCGCATCGGCCGTTCTGCGGCGTTTGCCCCCAGGTGGAGGCCGTCTCCAACGAGGTACCCTGAATTTTTAGGCTCCATTTATTTCCCCTAATTTCAGAAGTACTTTGTCTCGATCCCACGCACGTATCCCGTCTATCTATCCGGCCTGTTCTCGCTCCACTCCGGCGCTGCGTGCGAAGAGATGCGCGACACAGACATTTCTCTGCCGATGGCATTCATCCACACGGTCTGGACGTTCCGCCAGCGATTCCCGCAGCTCCGTCTCCTGAACGGGCTCGACTTTGGTGCGCTGCTCGTCGACACATGCGCCAGCGGCAAGCAGGTGGGCGGCATTCTGTAGAACCTATGATTTTTTTAGGCTATGGAATGCGTAGTGCGCTCGGAGACGCAGTGCTTCCGTTTTGCCCAGGCTGATCGGAACATCACGATCGTCCCGGGAAGCGTGTTCGGCTATGTGTCAGCGCTTGAGGGTGATGCTCAACAGGCTCTACGAGGATATTTCGCTTCTGGTGATACTCCAGTGGCGCTGGTGTGTTTTAGTATTTTGAATGAGGGGAGCTTAACCCAAGCGTTGGTCTGTCTCCCTCTCTCGCTTGCTCTATCTATCCCTCTCACTGTCACTCTCTCTAGGTTTCTCTCTCTCACTCTGACTCGCTCTCGATGTCGCGCACTCTATCACGCATTCACTCACTCTCGCTTTCTCTAACTCTCGCTCTCTCTCTCTCTCTCTCTCAGGCTCCACCTCAAAAAGACCGCCTACAAAACACCGTTTTCTGTAGGTCTCCGCCGACCCGGATGTCCTTTCCCCAACCGAATCCTTCTCCGCCATCCCATCAGCTCGTGCTCAGGCTCAAGCCATCCTGAGGTAAGCCTCAAACTCCCAACTTCTATCCGCATCTAGACTGCTCTCCCGCATGAGCTGGGAATTCGTGACGGTCGCCCTCTCCGAAAACGACGCCGCCTCCCTCTCCGTCTTCCGCCACTTTGAACGGCTCGCCGCCGATTCTGGCGTGTGCCTGGCCGAAGTGGTCAACCTCTCAGGTGAAGCTCCAGCCTCCCCCGGCTCGAGCACCAACGTCACCGTCGTCTTCGCCACCGCCAAGGACGCGGCTTCGTACTTGGCTGCCGGGCATAATCAGGTACGAAAGCTGGAGCTCAAGCTTTTATAAAAGGTTGGAGCTTCAGGTGCACGTGCTCGTCGGCGACGCCCACGATTTTTACCTCCATGTGCCGAGCGACACGGCCAAGTACGTCGGCGCCGTCTCCATCCAGCCGAAGGACATCGTGTACCCGGATTTCCGCGAATGGTTCGAGACGGTGTCCCCGTTGAACTTGCCGGAGATGTGGTTCTGGGGCTTCATCGAGCACCGTTTCCAGTGTGCCCTGTCGCAGAAGAGCAAGCTCGTCTACGGCAAGATGTGCAGCGGGGACGAGCTGTTGGACGTGGCCAGGCTGGGTGAGTGATTTAAAGGGGCTCAGAAGGCGATATTTGGTACTGGTCTGTTAGCGGGGGGTTTTAGCAGGGGAGGGCTAATTTTTGTTTTTTTTCGCCTATTGTTATTGATCATAGATAATAAATTTTTAAACTGATTTTAGTGGTTTTTGATCGCTAAAAAGTTATTAAAAATTCTAGTTTCTGAATTTTCGAAAATGTGACTTTTTGTCATTTTTCATACATTTTAAATCAATATATCAATATCTTTAAACTATGTAAAATTTTATAAAAATCGTTGAAATTATAAACAAAATTAACAACCAAAAACTGGACCTAAAAAAATTACAAAATCGAATTACAACTAAAAGAGCTTGTTCCACTGCCACTAAATTCAGGGTTCTTGTGCATTATCGGGGGGTAAATCCCTAAAGTTCAATTTATCTAGTGGAAAAAGGAAGTATCTCTAAGCTGTTTTACTATTCCTAAAAGCAGAATTTTCAGAAATTAAAAATTAAAACTAAAATAAATTATAAAAAATACAAAAGTGACGATTTTCGACCATAAACGATCCCGAGTAATAAAAATGTACCAACGTAATAAAGCCTTTTCAGGACGTATGACACGTGCCGGCTACCTGTCTAGAGGTGTCGAGCGTCTGCTCTTCGCCATGGACGCTGTCTACAAGCGGCTGTGCCCCGCGCAGACCGGGCTTTGCCCCGAATTCTACGCGAATGGCCGGAAGTAGGAGATTATTTATTTTAATATCTTTTTATTTAATTTTGAATTAATACCACAAATATTTAGATCCTAATATAAATATAATATAACACAATTTAAGGGCAATCAGCGAGCAACTGCGTCGTGCCCCCGTCGAGGACGACGTCGAGATGTTCGAATGGATGGAGGGCAGGGACGGGCGACCGGCGTACCACCTGATCGGAAACTGGAGTGCGCACTCGGGGCTCAAGATGCATGCCCTGTATAAGGTATTAAAGCATACTTTAAAGCCGGCTATTAAAGTGAATTTAGTGAGGAAGTTAAGGTATACCTTAAATTTTAACTTGGTGTCTGCAACACTTTTTTCAGCCCTTCGGCCGCTCATCTCCAGTCGTCTCGAAATGCGTGCCGCCACTCTGCAAATGTTTCCTCGAGGGAGACTTCTTCCAGGTATTTCTGTCGTCAATTTTCTTATTAATACGCCTCTGCAGCGTCCATTGGACAACTTCGTCGCCGGCGGCATCGTCGAGCGGGACTCTGGCGCTTCCTACGTCCGAAAGCAGCCCGCCTTTGGCGCCGACACTGTCCAATACACTTCGGTAATTACAAAATATACTAATTGAAGCAGATTTGTTATTATTTTGTCGAAATTACATTTTTTTAATGTTTAATTGGTCGAAATTTCGTTTTGCGGAAAAATTATTTTTCGAAATTTATTTTGTCGAAGTTTGGATGCCTAGAATTTTCAACTTGTGAATTGTTTTAAATGAATATCGAGGCAAAAAAGCATTGAAATTTCGCCAAAATGAAATTTCAAAAAGAAGTTTCCGAAAATCATATTTCGACAAAATGATTTTCCACAAAATGAAAATGCGACAAGATAATTTTCGACAAAACAGAGAAATTTCGATAAAATGAATATCAAAATGAAATGAAATTTCGAAAAAAGGCTTTTTGGCAAAATGATTTTCGACAAACTGATTTTCGACAAAATGATCGTCGACAAAATGAAATTTCGAAAAAATCATTTTCGACAAACGAAATTTCGATAAAATTATTTTCAACAGGACCAAAATTAGCTATTGAATCATCATACCATAAAAATAAAAACGTTTTACCTTTCTCCAGATTCTCGAACACCTCAGCGCCGGCGAATGGCGAGCCCATCCGCACAACTTCGTCCTGTTGGCTGTCATCTCCTTGCTGGTAACAATCCCGACAACCTGTAAATACGCTACAATACTCTAGACAATCTCCGCCCTCGCCGTGCTCATCCTCGTGCTCGTCAAGCTGTACCTCCGCGTCGTTAAAGGTCTTTCGAAATTAGACTCTTTCTTAAAATCCGTTTTTAGGCAATCAATCGCTCGGAATTTCGCTGCTTGTCGGCATTATCCTCCTCTACATCACGGCGTATTTCTTCGTTTTTGACGCCACTGACATGGTTGGTTTCTAGCTTCAAAAAGGCTAAAAATACCGACAATTCCAGGTCTGCCGAGCCCGCGTCATCCTCCACGGCATGGCCTACACCATCTGCTTCGGCGTCATGATCGCCAAGGTCAGCGCAGCGTTCTATGGCAAATTTTCGAATATTCTCTAGGGAGCCCAGCTGCGCAACGCCGAGACGCTCTACTCGACCTCGCACGTGCACATCAGCTTCTGGAACTACTGGCTGCTGCTGTTCTTCATCTTTGGCGTGCAGATTGCGCTCTCTGTTCGGTTGGTATTTTGTAGCAGCAGAGCCTGAGCCTGAGCCTAAGCCTAAGCCGAAGCCTAAGCCAAGCCTAAGCCAAGCCTAAGCCAAGCCTAAGCCAAGCCTAAGCAAAGCCTAAGCCGAGGCAAGCCGAAGCCTAACCCGAAGCCAAAGCCTAAGCCTAAGCCGCCTAAGCCAAGCCTAAGTCGAAGCCCAAGCCGAATCTTAAGTCTAACAAGGGAAGGGCACGTGGACGAAGTGGAATTTCGCAAAACCCTCGCGGCTACCCCCCGGGTAATCGACTATGGAGAACACGATGCCGTTTTCCGATTTTCCTGCGGAGGCCTGTGGACAGAGATACAGCACTTCCGGAAAATGAAGATTTGCATGCGAAAAATTAGAATCCGGGGGAAGCTTTATTACGCTCGCTCAGCAGTATGGAATCACCGGTTGAATGGCCGATTGGTAAGCAGCTCGCTTGATAGGATACTGGCGAGGGGTACGAATCCTCTCACGATTTTTTCGTTTTGCTTTTTGACAGGAACTTTTTGGACAAGTCCAGAATTTCTTTGACTTCGACAAAATTTTTTAGAGCGATGAATATCATAGATATAGCTATCCCACCAAAAAAAAATTGAAAATTAAAAATATTCGCGAAAATGGGCAGCCATCCTCCCATCAGGCAAAAGTTTCCTAAAGTTTGTGAAAGTATTTTAGATTTGGTTACTTTGCAATAACGTACGTACGTACGTATTAATTAAAAATTTAGAGTTATCGCGGCAAAAATAGCAATGAAACCTTGTTCGAAAACCACTGGTCAAAAAGCAAAACGAAAAAAATCGTGTGAGGATCCGTACCCTCGTCAGTATCCTATCAAGCGAGTTGCTTACCAATCGACCATTCGACCGGTGATTCCATACTGCTGAGCGAGCGTAATAAAGCTTCCCCCGGATTCTAATTTTTCGCATGCAAATCTTCATTTTCCGGAAGTGCTGTATCTCTGTCCACAGGCCTCCGCAGGAAAATCGGAAAACGGCATCGTGTTCTCCATAGTCGATTACCCGGGGGTAGCCGCGAGGGTTTTGCGAAATTCCACTTCGTCCACGTGCCCTTCCCTTGTAAGCCTAAGCCTAGCCCTATGTCTAAGCCTAAGCATAAGCCAAACCCAAGCCAAGCCAAAGCCTAACCCTACTTTACAGCTGGGCCGCCGAGCCGTTCCTCTCCACCTGGAGCACGTCGGAGGACTTTTCGCGCATGGTTTGCTCGTACGGGAAGATGGTAGACTTTTCCCAATTACGTTATGAAATGGTTCACAGGAATTCGTCGCGTCGAACGCGTACGTCGTCATCCTGCTCGCGCTGGCCCTGTTCATCAATAGCCGCAACAGGAACATCAAGCGCAACTATAAGGTCAGTCGTTTTGCTTCAAAAAATTAGCGTTTTTGTCTTCTAGGAGACCAAGTGGCTGTGCGTGTCCTCGTTGCTCTGCGCCCTGATTTGGCTCTCCTGGATTTCGGCGTATTTCGTCGTGCCCTACGAGTGGAAGGTCAGAACTTGCCACATAACGCTATCACGGATACCTTCAGGAGAGCGTCATCGCGCTCGAGCTGATCGCCTGTGCGACGGTGCTGCTGGCCTTCCTGTTCGGGCCCAAAATCTATATTTTGCTCTCCTACGAGCCGGTCGTCGTCGAGTACAAGGTCGACTACGATGCGCCACACGGGCCCAAGTTGGACCTTTTCGAAAATGGTACGTTAAGTTATGCTAGCGTAGACTTGAAAGAGTGGAAAACAAAACCGCGCTACTCTCTCTCTCTCTCACTAACCTCAAATTCCAGATGAAGAGCGAGCCTCCCCGATCCGAGCCGTCTCCCCGGCCTCATCCACCGGCTCTTGGGAGAAGACATCTGGCCGTGGGACCTCCTCCATCAGCGGCAGCACGTCAAGTCGAGGCCGCCGTACCATTCACTCAACCACCACCTCAAACGCACCCACGCCCAACGGCCATCTCAGCGACGATCAGGTAAGTGAAGGAAACTGCAAATTAATTTAAATTAATAAATTAAATTAATTCAATTTAAAATCCGATTCCAGTCGCCCATATTCCACACAGTGATGCGAAAGAAGAAGGCCGTCCGCCGCACGCATTCCGAGCACGACAGCGGGCGTAATGTGGTAAGTAGCGTACTCTCAAACCTGAAAAAATTCGTTTGAGTCTAGGCATGCCTATTAACCTAAGAGGATGTAATTTAATCGTGTTTTGTAGAAAATAACTAGATCTCGACTAGAAAAACCATCTAAAAGCTTCAAAAAATTTCAAAAAATCGAGGTCTTAGTTAAAAAACGCATTTTTGGTCGGAAAATTTATATTTTTGTATCTTTAATGAAAATTTGGACGTTTTGAGGTTTAAGGATACTAAAAAAAATACTAGGAATGTCTAGGTTTATCTTTAACAAAATGGAACCAAAGAAAAAGTTGGTTCCGCCCGCGATTATGCGAAAAAACCTGAAAAGAGTGTTAACCGTGCGAAATTTGCTTAGAACATAAAAACCAAGGCTGGTTTACTTTACCCCCCCCCCAGCCGGAAGTTTTTGGCTATAACTTTTTTATTTTACATTATTGTAGGCTCAAATTAAAACTCTTAGTATATTTTTCGACGCTCTATCGAATGGCGTTGCAAAAATCCCGACAAAATAAGCGAAAATACCGACAACTTTGAGACCCTTCGGCTGTGGGGGTAAAGTAAACTCTTACCAAAACCAATACCTAAATTATTTAAATAAAGAAAAGGGCCCAAAAATTAAAAAACCCCACACTTTCAGATCCATCCCCGACCGGACGTGCCCGTGATCCGTGCCGTTCGATCGCCGGTCGACCGTGTCCGCTCTCCGATGGGCTCCCATTAACGGGACTCGCTCTAAAAAACGAGATATAACATATCAATAACTATGTAATCTAAAAATTTACCGCCCAAGCACCACCACCTCATCCATTGCTCATCCCCCGTTCCCCGTGCACTGTGATAGCTATTTTTCTTTCACGTCGATTTTGCAGCCCCGCCAAATTTATGTATATTCTACATATGGCCCTCCCCCAAACGAGATACACTGCCCACCTAATTAAGCTACACAAGATACGGTTATCCCCCTCGCACTCGAAGCGCGCGCGCGCCCGGGCACGCACCCCGGCGGCGCTCGATCAGTTATTGCTGTCTGTACACAGTACTTTATGTGTGTTTTGTGAGAGAAAATATACATAAATTTTGCCACATCAACGCGTATCTTTATTTCAACAACATCATAAGGACCACAGAATGATATGGAAAAAAACGAGACTATTCGATAAAAACAATGGTGCTTTCCTGTTAGCGGGGAAGCGTGGAAAATTTTTTTCAATCCCGCTGTAGGGGCGACTAATTAAATAAAAACCATTGTTATAGTATTCGACGCTATTTTCAACTTCTTATTGCATATATGAAAGTCTATAAAAGTTGATCAGCATTTTTCGTAGCTTTTTTTCTGATAAACTTTAAAAAGCCGCGAAAACTCTAACTTTTTGATCAAAAATCTAGGAAAAAGGACCAAATCTAGCGAAAAATGCTTGCTTAGTCTTGTAGTTGGTGGAAAATACAAAATAATACTAAAATATTCGATATTTCATTACTAGGTGGACGTCCACTAAATATGAAAAAAATTACTTTGCTCCCCCGCTAGCACGAAAACACACAAAACAACAATAAACAGCTGCTGAAGAGAAGCGGGGCAATATAAAATCATGGTAGAAATATCGCAAATTATTAGGTGGGAAAGTAGACAACAAAAAGCTCATGGTACATGAAGAAATTCCGCGAGATATTGGAAACACCCGAAACTAAACAAAGAAAATAGCTTTTTGGGGCGTTCCGTAACCAAAAGGTTTGCTGATTTGTGTACTAGTAGAAAAAAAATCACCAAAAAATGGCCAACAACAAAAATTCACAGCCCAACGCGATTTGGGGGAGGGCGGAGGAAGGGCGAGGCGGGCGCAGGGCGTGGGTTCCGTTGCTGGTCCTGAAAGTAAGACGTAAAAATTGAAGTAATTTAATTTAACAATTAAAAATATCGGTTCTTTCGCATTACCGGGGGGAGGGGATTTTCTTCCAGTCTAGAAATTTCTAGAAACATAAAAGTAAAAGATTTACTTGTGTGTTTTAGACAATTTGAGTCGTTCAAGTGGCAAAACTATCTAAAAGCTTAAAAATTGCAAAATTGAGAAATCGTCGTGCGATATACGTCCCCATTTTTCTCCTTTTTATGAAAATTTATAAAGATTCAACAAGGTAAAATCGCAATCAGGGAAAGAAAAAACAGCTTTGAATTCCTTTACTTCTATTTTTAAAAATGGATCTTGATAAAAAATGCCCCCCAATTATGCGAAAGCACCAAAATCTTTTTTATTTAACCACCAGCAACTTACCGCCGCACAAATAGCCGTAAACTGTTCCTGGAACTCCTTCGTGCACTCGGCGCGCTCCTTGGCTAGCCATAGATTGGCGGCTTCTAAAAACTGCTAATACGTCCTGTTCAGCAGCCATACCCAGTTGTAGCGGGTCGGGTTGTTGTTTTGACGGCGCGTTCCCCGCTTCGTGAATCAGATGCGCCTCGAAGAAGTCGCTCAGCTATAAGAAAATTAAGCAGACGATGATAAAAAGCTCACCATTTTCATGTTGTAACCGCTGGGTTGCGTTTGGCTGCGGCAAAGGTCGAGAATCTGAAAGAGTGATTTGCATCTCCATTCTTGAAACTCGCTTTTTCTAGACATTTTTTTCGAAAAAGTGAAAGCTAACTGTTTTTCGAAATATCGCGGCGTTAAACACATGAATTTTGCTTACCTCTTTCCATGTGCCGCCCTTCGCCAAATTAACACGCCAGCGATAAAGAACCGGGCCAAGCTGCGCCACGCGTTCATCCCGTTGTCGTTGGCGCTGTAGAAAAGTATAGCAATATTACAAGATTACAAAAACATACCTCGGCTCTTCTTCGTTTCACCCGATTCGTCAAATAGACCCGCTTCTTCTCGTCCAACACACCATCCTGGTCGAAGGCCTTGTGGCCGACTAGGCGAGCCCTCGCCCCAGGGAGGTTCATCCTGAAAATGATCATTAGCTTATCTTTTTTTTATAAAACCCACTGGATCCTCTGATTGGCCGACTGCAGTGGGATTTGTGGGATGGCGCGTAGGTCGACGTCTTCTTGGGAAAAGCCGGCAGATGGCGCATCGAGAGGTTCCGGAGGGGTGTCTTCGCTGAAAGTGTACTTTCATTTAAACATAGATACATATTCATTTCGGCTAAAGTTACTTTAGGGAATTTTCATCTCGCTGAATGCTGTTTATGAATTCTAATTCGCTTTTGATCAAGTTGTCACCACTTTTTTATCTAGAACATTTTAAAAACCGATGGTCCCTTCAATTGCATCCCGTTAATAGACTATTTCTAGAACACTCTAACAACTAATTGGCCTAATTATCATAGTATTCATCAACATCATTCGATAAAATGAACATTCACCAATGATAAATCGCCAACTTACACAGAATACGTGTCAGTCTCGGCAAGATCCGTGCGGATTCCACAATGCAGGCAGGAAAACGTCAGCTTGTGGCAGTGACCGGCCGGTGCCATCGCCAGCTCTATGCGAGTATCGTTCGACTTGCATCTCTAAAAAAGGCGAATATCAACGCGAAAATCTACATTTTTAATAGGCTAAACAGAGCCGGGAGCGACAGTAAAAAAACGGCAACCCTACAATGCAATTCTTCAACGCGTGGATGACTTGTTCCCGATTTCCGGCGTTGATGCCGCGACACAAGTAGAAGGGCGTTGTGATGAATTCCGTGGAGATGGCCATCGCGTTTGCCCTCAATCGAGCCTGAAATAGGAAATTCATAACTGACTGGGCGGTTCTGAAGTATTTTGAAGTGTGGAGAAGCTGGAAAAATCGCCAAAACTTGGGAGTTTTTTAAGTTTAGAAGCTCAGGAAGGTTTCGGTTATTGAACATCTTTTTCACCGAAAAAGAAACTAATAAACCACAGTTTTTGAAGCGCCAATTTCCAAAGGTATACTCGGGATAGCGAGAGTGCGCGCAAACGCAGAGACTCTGGTGTCTAGACGGGTGCCCCAAAAGAGGGTGAAGGTGGCGGAACATGTCTGGAATCAAATGTGACCATAACGCGAGTATTTTGCTCACAGCCCATCGTAAAAAAGGTTTATTCATCAAACCACGAATCCACAGGACATAAGCAAATGTCACCTGGCTCACAACGATCGACAAATATTCTACAGGTAATTGAAAATTGACTAGCGGCAAACTGGGAAAAGCCTAAAATCGTGTGTGAGCTATGAGACGTCTCCGAAAATTCCGGCAAACGTGCGCTTCAGCTGGCCCATCGTGTCTTCGGCAAACGAATGGGATTCGCGGTCGACGGACATTGTCATTGGGTCGTTGCGATCGGAGTCACGACGTTTTTCGCTGCGCACGAGGGTCCCTGAAAGGTTTTTGGATTCTTTAGTATTTTTGAGGGTATCCTTATATTTTTAATACCTAAAGTGACATTTTTTCGAACAAAATTACAATTTTTAAATTGTTTTCGACTTAAAAGCTCGCTAACTTAGCTATTGAATCTGGGCATAATTATCAGCGTCCGCCGACTGACCTTAGAGAAAAACTATCGGCTTTTTCAACCCACCTTGTTCGGGCTGATTTCGAGGGACTATGGCCGGCATTCCACGTGGTGGAGGCGGTGGCGGGCCGTTCAACACCGGCGCCTTCTCCGCGTGTCCATTCATTGCCGGACGAGCCGGGGGTGGTGGATTGAACGGCGCCTGGCATGGGTAATTTTTCACTTGTTTTTGGCCCACCTGTCGGCCCACTTGTGGGAACCCATTTTCCTGCAGGGTGGGGGTTTGGCCAACCGACGACGTGGGGGACATAGTTCGCGCTGGCGGCGACGACATTGTTGACGACGACGGGGTAAAATCTCCCGGGGTGAACTCACGTGAAAAGAGCCTCGGCATTTGTCCTAAACAATTATGGTGCTTATATTTATAGCTATAACATCTCTAAAAAGTCATAAATTACGTTGAAAACCATCTTTCGTGTGAGGGACCAGGCTACAGGGACCGGGTTTTACCCAACACTTCCGAGAAAATACCTACCATGCGGAGCCATCAACCTGCCCAGCAGCGTCGTCACCGCCCTACGGTCATCCTCTTGCGATTCCCCGTAGTACGACAAGTGATCATTGATCCCGTACACAAATTCTCGGCCCTCGCGTGACATCAGGATATCCACCGACAACAAGTGCATCTCGCCCACGATCGAGCAAATCGACCGCAGCCATTCTTTATGCCTGAAGTTCTTCGTTGCAATTTCATCAAGAAACAAACCTTTCTGACGTCTGCGTTTGCTCCAATACCGAGGAGCCCACGTTGCTCTTCCAATGGCCGGATATGCCACGTCGGATAAATGTCTAAATATATCTCCTCAATAGCTCCATCAATTTCTCTTGCCTTAAAATCCTTCCCAATTTTTTGCACGTGAATGTCGTATTTTATGTCGACAAACGGCTCCACTTCAACCTAAAAATTGCGCTAAAAGCGGGAATCCACAATGCCCACTTCAACGTCGGGTCCCATGGCCCTAATCACCTCCTCGAGGTCCCCAAGCAGCTCCGCGTTCTCGATTTTGGCCTGAAATGAGGGTTCGTCAATGGGTTTTTGGCGTCAAATTACCTTTCCAATACCCGAGCGGCCTCCGTTGACCAGAACTACGGCCGGAAACGTGGTTGACGGGTGCTAAATCGAAACTTTGGTCAATTCCTTGCAAACCTACAAATCTTTTAAAGACGGGGTAATGAGTGGATGGTAATAATGGAATCCGTGACCCGTCGGAAAGGGTAGCGCGTCGCAATTCTTTTTTCTGAAACGAAAGAAGCGTTTAAATTCTGCTCAAAACCTACCAAGTTACATTTGTCCATAAAGGCCAGTGTGGCTCGATTAGAGTTGAGGAATGGTATTTTTGCTGCCAGCAAAGCCCGAATGATCCGTTGCGACGACTGTGCCAGTGGCCGAGACGCAGTTGGTCCTATGAAGACGGCACTGGGGCAAAAGCTCCTAAATAAACGAGTATTTTTGCTAAAAAAAATACCGGCCGACCTAATTTGTCCACCATGCTTCAGTTCTATTAACGCGGTATGCTCGGTGCCTTGTATATCGAGCTCATCAAAATCGGACTAAAAAACGGGTATCTAAATTAATGAATGTTTCCAAATAACCTGTTCGACTCGGATCGGACAATCAGACTGATTTCGGAAGTATTTACTCCTAAAATTTGTTGCATAAATAAAAACACCATTACCAATCCACCAAAGGGCCATCAATAACGAGTAGAACACAGGCATCCGGGGGTAAACGCTGGGGCGCCCTGGACTCCCCAGCTAACGATCGCTCCACCGCGGCCGCCAACGATTCCTGCGTCCTGGCTGGTGACGTTGGAGCGCTAAATTCGTTGCTTTTTGAAAAAGGCACTAAATTCCCCTCAAACCTGATTGTATTCGACACTTTGTTGGCAATTGCTTGAAATGAAAAGGCGGACGGCGGCTGTGAAGGGGACGGATCTTCTAACCCAGTCTAAACAAAAGAAATCTCTTGGGAGTGGTTCATTTGAGACCCATTGTCAATCGAATTTAGCCGATCCGATGAGGACCCGGATACTGAACACCCACCTCAAATCCCTCATCCTCGTGAAACGAGAATTTCCGCTTGAAGAAGTTCATCGGCGAAAATGGCTAATCCAGCCTGCAACGGTTTAATGTAGGCGGCCAGCTGGAGAGGGAGCGCTGCCAATGAATTCTAATACATATCCTATGAGGGGGCGCCCCACTAAAGAGGCAAAAAACAATCGACATAAAGACGATTTGGGCTCGCTGGCGCTCGACGGCGACAAGGTTAGGGGCTGGTGCCGGATTAGTGGAAGAGGGAAGAGAAGCTGAGTCGAAAATGGGCAGAGGCGGCAAAGGCGAAAGGGCCCCACAAGGGGCCACTAGGGCCCACGAAAGGACCTCTCGCATCCCCCACTACTTCCCCCCCACCCCCATATCGACACAACGCGCCCCCATGCGGCCATTTGCATAGCCCCCCGGTGATGGCAACGGCTTTTCCGAAAGATCGAAGTCCAGAGATGGGGGACAGCCATGAGCGGAAGGAAACCGAGCGCCCATTATCGCGCGCGTATTATTAGCACCCATCGCTCAAAACGTACAAATCGCTTCAGAAAATCGTGCTCACCGATCACTTCCGGATCCGACACAAGAGCACACGAAAAAAAGAAGCCTGCTGCATCGCCGACTGAAATCCCAAGATTAGCAATATCTATAAAGTTCATAAGTTTCAATATATAGTATTTTGCTCCAGTACAAATTTGAGTACGATCGTGCAAAAAGTTCAATAAAGAATATTTATCTTGAAACAATTTTCGACAATAACAAAACCAAGACAGAATAATCGATGAAATGGCAAACTGTTAGCTATCAGAACATGGAACGGAAAAGCAACAAACAACGCAAAATATTCAAAAGCCCCTAGCTTTAATCGTTTTGTCAAGGTAGTGGAGCTTTCGCTTGACTTCACCGTCTTGGAAATTTGACATGTCGTAGTACTGGGGCGCGATGGCTAGTAGCCACTCCGGCTTGATGTCCGTCACCGTCCGGATGAAGTTCTTGGTGGTCAGCACGAACTCGTTGTACAGGGCCCATTCCGGCTTGCGATCGATGACCGTCGAGGGGTGGAGGTTGACGATTTGATTATCTTTGATGGTGACATAATGCCCATTCCTCTCCAGATGGGCGACCTGCATGAAGAACCCAGCCACCAAGGCTTTCCGAATGTTGATGTAGTAGTCCTTGCTCTTGAAATCCGTGCTGATGCGGCGCAAATTGAACTTGTCCATGATGCGCTCCAGCTGCTTACGCACATTGTCCGCATTCGCCATCGTGCGGAAATTGATGAAATTTTCGTAGCACCAATTCGCAGCACCATGGTTCTGCTTGAAAGCGTGGTAGACGTTGAGCAAGGTGAGATGATCGCCATCAACATGAGCAAAACGAGCCTTGGCCTCGTCTGCTTCTTTTCGGGCTTCAGCCGGGCGAACGAAACATTGTGGCACCGACAGCATGGCGACAATTGAGAGGATCTCGTTGCTGCAACACAATTCCGTGCTAGTGATGAGCATCTTTGCAAGCTGCGGATCCAGCGGAAACTCGGCCATCAGCGAACCAAGCTCGGTCAAATCTCCTTCGTCATTGATTGCCGCTAAGTAATTCAGCAGCTCCAAGGCGCGCATCAACGTCTCTGGCGCGGGCGGGTCCATGAAGTCAAAGTGCACCAGATCCTCGATCCCAAGTTTCTTTAGCTGTAAAACCACAGATCCGAGATTTGATCGCAAGATCTCAGGGTACGTCTGCTCCTGCATCTCTTCGTTGTAGACCTTCTCCGTATAGAGGCGGAAGCACTTTCCTGGACGGGTACGACCAGCACGTCCAGCACGTTGCATCGAAGAGGCTTTCGAAATGGGGCACACGAGAAGGGACTCGACACGGATCCTTGGATTGTAGACCTTCTGCTTAGCGAATCCGGGGTCGATGACGAACACGACACCATCAATGGTCAGGGACGTTTCGGCGATGTTCGTAGAAACAACGCATTTCCGGCCAATGGCTCCATTTGCCTTTTTTGGGGGCGCCGGCTCGAAAATTTTCTGTTGAAGGGCGGGCGGCAGGCTCGAATACAGTGGAATGCATCTGATCTCACCAACGTCAGGCCCGAGATGGTCGACCTGAGTCCTGATCCGTTTGCAAGCCTCCTCAATCTCTTCTTGGCCAGTGAGAAACAGCAAGATATCCCCTTCAATCTCTTCGCAGATATGAATTTGGACGACAGTGCGGATGGCTGCCTCGAGATAGTCCTTCTCGGGCTCCGGCGTGAAGAAGATTTCGACTGGGAATGTACGACCGGGCACCGACATTAGCGGACAATTGTCGAAGTAATTCTGGAACTTGCCCGCATCAAGGGTCGCGGACATGATGACGACCTTTATGTCCTTTCTCTGCTTGACTATCTCCTTTATCAGCCCCATCAAAATATCCGTGGCCAGAGTCCTTTCGTGGGCTTCATCGAGGATCAGCACAGAGTACGATTCCAATAACGGGCAGTTCATCGCCTCACGCAGCAACATTCCGTCAGTGCAGTACTTTAAAATCGTGCGGTCGCTGATGCAGTCCTCAAAACGGATCGAGTATCCGACTTCTTGCCCGATGACTACATCCAACTCATCGGCAACACGCAGGGCAACTGACATCGCAGCAACACGCCGGGGCTGCGTGCAGGCGACAAGGCTTTTCTTCCCGGGCATAGCATGTTTTTTGGCGTACTCCAGGCACCATTGTGGAATTTGCGTCGTCTTTCCGGATCCGGTTTCTCCCACCAGCGTCATACATTGGTTGTTGTGCAGCGTTTCGAGGAAAGCTTCCTTGTACTCCCAAACCGGGAGCTTCGTGCGCTTTTCGTAGATGTCCCAATAGCGCTTGGTGAAGGTCTGTCCGTTGAGCGGGTTCATCACATTCTTAGGATGTTTCTCCACCGGTTCAGGCTTTGGTAGGGGTGCACGCTTCGGGGACCTCGGGGATCTGGATCTTGACCTCGACTTGAGCCGCTCCTTCTTCTCCTTCGACCGGTCACGACGGCGATCGCGTCCCGTCCCGTCATGGTCGATACGGCGGCGAGACGACATCTGGAAATGCTGGAATTAAAGCGAACTCAAAAGAACCGAGGTTTAATAGAAATCATTTCGCAACGCGGCGCAACATCAGACAATTAGAAAGTCTCGCAAGTAAACGCTTTTGAACCTAGGCAACCCGGGAATTAGGGAAAAGACAACCAATGTTAGGCTAAAAGAATTAAACTGATATAGTTTATGGCATTTTGAATATTTTTTGCAAAAAAAAACTAATTTCGGTTTAAAATATTGAATTTGTTCAATCGTACTTTGTAGTAGATTACTGTATTGCGTACGGCGTGATACTACTTACGGAAGTTTTTCAGGCGTTCGCGCCCGGACCAATTTTCATGCCGCATTTCACTTTTCCGGCTTTTTATTGTTTTTTATTTTTGTCAAATTCAATTTTTCTTGCAATCGTTTTATGTTTTCAAACTTTTCACAATTTTTCACTTATAGATGCTGCCCACCGCGCAATCTTGTGGTGCCGCCACCAAACGCGCTCAAAAGCCACCGCCCATCCGCATCGTTCCCGAGCTGATCACTCCAGATTCGACGGTGTGCGGCGTCACTTCTAACGAAACGCTTCACTCATCTTCTCGTACGGTAATTTCCCTTGCCGCGTTGCCGCTTACAATTAACTTTTAGCAGACTCCCGACATCCATGACTCGATGGACTACCTTGCCGAGCTGGTCAACGAACAGCGCAATCTGGGCACTTTCACCTCGATGTTCCCCAACGTTGTCAGTCTTCTGACTGCTGGTAAGGTAACCCCTGCGCCATCCATTCCACTTTAGAGATTACGCGTGTAAAGTACCTCATCCACAAGGCCGATTTTGGTGGTGACTTCGAACTACCGGAGCCAGTTGGTGACAAGATCATGCTGAAGAAGAAACTCTACATTCCGGCGAAAGAGCACCCACAGGTTCGATCCGTCACTGAGATTTATCGTTTTTAGACTAATTTCGTCGGGCTTCTGATCGGCCCCCGTGGCGATACGATTCGTCTGTTGGAGGAGAAGAGCGGATGCAAGATTTTGATTCGCGGACAGGGCTCGGCAAAAGAAAAATCTAGGGTAAACTAATCCTTTTGTCATCATAGCGATTTAGGATCATTTCGACCCTCAGCCTGCTCGGGAGGAGGAAGAACTGCACATAATCCTTGAGTGTGAGGACAGTGAGAACCGCGTTGAGCTGAAGATTGAAAATGCTGTGAAGATGCTGAAGCCTTTCCTTGAGCCGAATGTAATCCCTTCAACAATTCTTATAACTTCTTTTAGGAAGAGACCCTGACTCCTCTGAAGCAAAAACAGCTGATCGAACTGGCGATCATGAATGGCACCTACAAGACGCAGAAAGAGAAAAGTATACAATCTATCAACCATCGCTTATTTCTTCAGTCAAAGGCAGAATGACTGCGCTGCAGCTTCAGCCGGCTTTGCAAAACGGCAGCCACTCGCATATGAACTCACCGATGTCGCCTATGTTCTCCTTCCCATTGAGGTGCGGATAGTATCGACGATAATTGTTTTTAGCCCGATGGCAATGCACGCAACTGGCCACCACTATCGTGCAAATCTGACGCCGTTGTCTTCGCGCATCCAAGGCACCAATCCAAGCACCCCATCCGCGATCTTAGATGGTGGGCCGTTCAGCGGTGCCTACTTCTTCAACGACTCCCATCAGCTGCATTATAACGACAGCCGTCTGTGAGACCATATCCCTTACCCCCACTCACTTCTCGATGTTGTTACCTTCGCAGCTTTGTCCTCATGATTTTGTTTTCTTTTGTCATGGTTGTTGACGGGTCTGCTTTTTTTACTTACCCCTTACAACCCCCAGTGATCCTTTCCATAACCCCACTTGTTGGTTTCCTTTTTAACTGTTGTTGGATTTAAATAAAGTTTATGAAATTGCTCGAGTGGTCGGAACCCCGGGAGTGCTAGTGGATTTGGGAAGCGATTGAGTGGCTGCTACACCATGGTGATATATCATGATGAGACAAGCAGGGCATCTTGTCCTTGGGCCGCCGCCTATCTGGATCGGCCCCACATTATGGCAACAGGTGTCAATGTTATTTCAGGGGTAGGGGAGTGCCCGTCGCGCTCGTTTACAACATTTGCTGGCCGCGGTTGGGACTCGGCAGGTCCATTTTTTCATTCAGCCGCCATTGACTGCAACACGACTTCCAAATAATGGTCTTACTGTTCTGAAGTCGGCATCCTTTCGCGCAAAAAGACCTATTGTTCCCTGGGGGCCATCGCCTCGCCACCCATATGTCTCAGGTAATTGGTGCCACACCTCCCCACAGGCCATAATTACACGCCGACGGCCCAAAACAGTGCATAGGGGATGAGGGGAGGCCGGGACTAGGCCCAGGTGCAACGTTTCTCAAGCCCGGCGCGTTTGGATATAGTAGACCTTTAGTTTTCTTTAGTTTCCGGCGGCTAGGGTGAGGATCGAGGAGTCCCACAAATCTTTTTGACGATTTTGTGCCGTCTTTGGGGACACCCTAGGGGCCATTCCCGGTGTGCCAAACGGTCCCTGAGGACACACGGCAAGCAGCAGCCGAACGGAAGCACTATATATTCGCTTGTCTTAATCCTAGTCTAGTCAGGGGTATGCACTATTTTCCTACGCAGGCCGGTCTTTTGAGCCTTTAAAGGGGATCCATCTTTCGATATTATTTGGCCGATGTCCCGTTCTCGGGCTACGACCTTTATCGTCTCGATCGAGGGGTTCTCGGCTCGGTAATCCCTGGGTAGCCCCCGACGATCCAGAGTTTTCTTACTTCTTAGCACACCGGCCGTATGAATTGTGGTGTGCGCGGGGGCAAGAAAAAAACAGCGGTCGCCAATGTGTCGCCCCCGTGTGAATTGGGCGCCGCCAACGGGCCGATTGACGGTTGGTTGGGGCCGATGTTTTGTTATTTGGGGGTCAGCAGGGTATCTACTGTACGCAATTACCGGCGGAAGCTTCTAGCTTTATGATGTGCCATTTTTCATTGTTTTGCAGCCGGTACTTGTCTATTAGCCTTTACCTACCTGTAAATACTTTCCCCGTTTATAGTGTATTTTTCGGGGTTTTAGTAGTTTTTGTTCCTAACTTTTTAGAAAGTTAGAAAATGTGCAATTTTGACGCTCTACAGTTTTGAGCAAAATAAATCGAAATGTTTCCAAAATGCTAATATTTATTACGAAAGGATTTGTACAAAAAATTCGTGGACAAAGTTTGTTTATTAACCCTAAATCCCCCGCTAACGGTCCAGTACCTGCCAACCCACCGTATCCAGTTCTCGGCTTCATCCCCCGTCGCTTCTCCAACCCGCCAAATCGCGCCCCAATCATTGTCGCCGCCTAAGCGCCCCGTTCGGATGCGTTTACGGCTGGGTTCACCTGGGTCCCCCACAGAGTCCTCACAACGGAACGGCAATTTTCATAAAATATGCTCCACCATCTACCGTATCCCCTCATCAATGGGGGCCCGGGGGGGCTTCAGATGCGGACCGCCCCTGTTTACCTACTCGAAATGCCGCGCCCCGTTGAAGGGTCAATGGCGATCCGATCCACATAAGCATCTCCTGGTCAAGCTTATTGGTTCTTTGCGTCTATCCATGACTTTTTAGTTATTATTCTGTGCTTTTCCTTTGTAAAAATTACGGGTACTTTCGCAGTAGCAGGTGTTTCTAAACTGTTTTGACTATCCCGAAACGCAAAAACGTTACAATTTTTTTTAAAGGTTTGTAGATAGGTTTGCTAGTTCAAATATAGTTTTTGTACTAAAACACGATTATGCTTCCTATAAGTTACTAAGCATTTCTAGACATATGCAAATTAAATTTAGTATAACAAAATAACAAATATCATAGCAAAAACTAACAAAGACAAATTAGCCCCCCCCCGATAATGCGAAAGAACCAAATTACGGGATAGCATCAATCGCAACAAACAATTGTTTAAAGACAATGAGAATTGGCCAAGAAAAATCGTTAGAAAATGAAACAAAAGGTACGGGAGGACAGAAATGGGGGTTCTTCATGTTCGAAATCCGCGGTCTCTGCAGTTTCGAAAATCGTTCCGGGCTTCGCGGGGGTTTGAAAAGTGAATTTTTAGAGGTTTTGGTTTTCGAGAAATTGCCCTCCCCGCTATTGAACCAGCACCTCTTTCTATCAGATTTAACTTTAGCTTATTCGCCTGCTGGTTCCCCAGGATTTTCGGTGATGATCATCAAGCGTGATCAGCCGTCACGCTGTTACCCCCCTGGGGGCAGATAATTCGTGCCGATGGTTGATTGGCGGTGCTGATGAGTGGATGTGGGAATGACCCGCGGGGCATGCTGACCCCTCGGTGGCAGCCATTTTCTAGGGTTCTAGCGGGCTGTTGGTGATGCCGGAGGGCTGATAAGGGATGGGGGAAGGACGGTGGCCGGCCATTAGGCTTGTTTCCCCCGAGTTATGACCCGCCGATGGCCCAACACCCGCCCCGTCACGCCGATTATGCCATTTTTATGCCATGCCGTGGCGCGACCCGGGCTTCTGCTGCCAATTTTTCGGCTATTAGCTTTTTGGCGGGCGATTTTTTGGTACTGGACTGTTATCGCGGGGAGAGACCAAATTTTATCCAAGTAACTCGTTACGGCCCTAGCACGAAAAATATCAATTTTATAAAATTTTAGACGGTTTTTAAATGTAAAACGCTCAGAAAATAATTACACACATTTTCTCAAATTTTGCAAAATTTATCCCCCCCCCTCCAATAACGCAAAAGCGCCACTTTTTCTTGGTTTGTTCTTTTTTCCTACATGACTCCCTTTTATTTTTCTATTTTCTCACCGAGTTTGCTACTTTTTGCATTTGTTTCACGCCTCTTCATAACTGATTTTTTCAGAGCGGTTACAACATCGAAAAATCTACAGGCATCCCAAGCTCCGCCAAGATGTTTCTGTGGTGGGCCCTGTTGGCCGTGGCGCAGGTGGGCTATTCGGAGATTTGCAGCCGATTCAAGCAGGCAGGAAGCGCTAGAATCAACCCCTAGGCTAAACTAGGCCTAGACAACTACGCTATACGCCTAATTCCGGTTTGAAAATCATCGCAAGTGAACGGAATTTGGCTTTTTGCGTAGTCGTATCGGGCCTAGATTTTCACGCTCGCTAGTGCCTTTAAAATTGATTTGTATGCATGAAAATAATTTGATATTTTTAGACGGTGGCCGTCACAACGCCACCCGTCTACCGGAATCTGCCGGACGGCGAGTCGGCAGCCCTGCGAAAAGCGCTCATGGCACTGCTTGGCCTGTCCAAGCTGCCCGATAAAGGTGCGTCCTACGTAGTGTTCCGTAACCTGATTTTTGGCAGAAACATCTGACGCGCTGCTGGCCAAGGTGCCGCCGTTTGTGACGAGGCGGGTGGAGGCAGTTTTTGAAGACTTGCAGCAGGCTGACGAATTTCCGGACGGGAACACGGTGCGCGCGCTGCTACCACGGCTTGGTTAGTTTATCATGGAATTTCATGGCCGCCTTTCCGGTAGCTCAAATTTTTTATCGTCAAAAATCCTGTTTCTTTGGCATTATCGGGGGCAACATTTTCCGTGGCATCTAATTTTTCTAATATAAATAGTTTTTTTTTTTTTTTTTTCCCCCCCCTTTTTTTTTTTTTTTTTTTTTTTTTTTTTTTTTTTTTTTCCTCCTTTTTTTTTTTTAAAAAATTTTTTTTTTTTTTTTTTTTTATTTCTTTTTTTTTTTTTTTTTTTCTCTTCTTTTTTTTTTCCCCTTTTTTTTTTTTTTTTTTTTTTTTTTAAAATAATTTTTTTTTTCCTTTTTTTTATTCTTTTTTTTTTTTTAATAGGATAGCACGTGTTTCTACGCCTTTTTCTATTTTAGGCGTAACCATGTTACAAACTTTGTTAGAAAAACAAAATATCGATTTTTTTTTTCGAAAAAAATTGTAATTTTTTGAGATTTTTCCGGGGCTAGTTTCCAAGAGTTCCACCTTGATATAGCTTATTTTTTTACTAAAAACTAGTCAGGTGCGCGTTATTACGTTACTAGGCGCATCTGTGCTGGAAAAAAGAGGCGCTTCCCCCCGATAATGCGAAAGTACCCAAAATTTGGCATTTCTCAATGCTAAAATACATTCCCCCATGGTGGTCACTCCGCGAGTGTCCGGAGTACCTTGGCGTACCCTCTGTCCCGAGCAAGAGGTTCCACCCCATTCACCTGTGGCCATCAGCTGTCGGAATGTTGTCGCAACCCCTGTCAACCCCGGGGAGTGAACGGCCACCCTAGAGCCCCACTAATGGCCCAAATGGCGCTCCCGCAGCCCGAAACATCCACCCGGCTCCCGGGGGTCACTTTGAAGTCGGCCGGTTGGGCCATTTGAGGAGCCTTGGGGACGGGAAACGGACTTTTAAAGGGGAAGTGAAGTTGAGCGGATTTTTGGGAGACCGGACCAGGTAGTTTTTCGAGATCTAATTTTCGAAAAAATGCTTTTCAAAATGTATAGCCGAAAATGTATCAAATTTCCATACTAAATGGTTTAGAGAATAGAAAAAAAGTAGCAATTAGGTAGAAAAATAGAAAAAAGTTTTTTTGCCACTGCAACTTACCCATTTTCAGGCAAGGCCAACGGCAACGAGGCGCTCCTCTTTGACGTCTCCAGCGTCGGGGAAGACGAGAAGGTAAGGTGTCGATCGGGTTTTCAATTTTCTAGAGAAATCTGTTCTTGGAAAGGACTGGAAAAGCTCAAAAATAATTCAGATTCTCCGCGCCGAGCTGCACTTCCATCTGCCCCAAGCCCATCGTCATGGGTCGAGGAGGAGGGCCAAGTCGGTGAGGGCCTCCGTCGCTTGCACCCACCACTTTTGCCGCTCGGCCTATCCGCTTACGGTATCGATGAGTTTAGTTTTAGACAGCTTTTTCAGCACATCGAGGCCACCCGAACGACGGCTGTGATGGACGCGACGCTACCGTTCGCCCAGCTGCACGCGATCAACGGGACCACGATGGCTGTTCATGTAGGTCCACCGGAAATTCCGCCAACCTGGGGCGAAACCAATTACGCCATGAATAGCAAGCCACGCCCATTTTTCAGATGTGGCGCAAGGACATCAAGATGAGGGGACCGAAGGATCTAGTTCGCAGGAATCCACCGTTTTTGCTCGTGTTCACCGAGGTGCGTTTTAGCTTAGATAAATACAAGCGATTTTTTTCCAGGCCGATCCGCAACTTCCCGAGCCGGAAGAGACTGCAGCCGTCGAGATCTCGGAGAGGAGGGAGAAGCTCACCGCTGAGAATCGAATCCTGCGCGCGAAGAGGGATACAGGCGGTTGGTAAAATAACACAAAAAAATGCAGCAACGAATTAAAGCAGGCCACCAAGCTTGAAAAATTAGTTTAGTAGTTAAATGCTTTGATTTCAGAATACTTCAAGTACAGCGAGCCACCACGAGTCAAGGCCAAGGTGAGAAAGATTTGCGGGTAATTTATATTAAAAAATTTATTGGTGGTATTTTTTTTTTTTTTTAAAAAAAAAAAAATTTTTTTTTTTTTTTTTTTTTTTTAAAAAAAAAAAAAATTAAAAAAAAAAAAAAAATTTAAGGTATCGTCGATAACATCCTTTAGTTGACCCGTGCCGAGGAGATGGCCGAGAAGCAGAAGAAGGACCCGTGGTACGGCTTTGGAGACACCTCAGATGAGGATGAGGATGATGAGGAGGACGATGATGATGATGAACGGATTGTACTGCTCGACAAGGCGGTCAATGACGTGGGTCGAGAGAAGTTTATCGATAAGCTAGAAAATTCCAGCAATGTCGCCTGGTCCGTCGCCTCGTCTCCACCTCGTCGCTGGGCCTTGAGACGACCATTCTGTCGCCGAGTCACCTCGATTTATCACAGTGTGGCGGAGGGTGTGAAAAGCCCGGGAAGGTGGGTGGTCGAAAATGGATTTTTTTTGCGAAAAAGATACTGGACTGTTAGCGGGGGAGGCTTTTAGCTATTAGCCGGCTAACCCCCCCCGCTAAAAGTCAAATACCGAAGCGTTTTGAGGCGCAAATTCGAGTTTTTGGGCGGTTTCCACAACAATATGTGCTAGCTTGCCCGCGAAAACGAAAGACGTAATTTCAGAAATCCTCCGCCCGTGCGCGTCTCCTGTGGAGCGTCGGGCCGTCGATGTGGCGCGGGGCGGTGTGCTGCGCGCCTTCACGCCTCGCCCCGCTCCCATTAATGCTGCTCGACGCGCACGGGAACCTCGTGCTCCGTCTACTTCCGGATACCGTGGCGGCCAAGTGCCAGTGTCTATAGGGTTGCCGAGTAGTCAGCAAACCCGAAAAAATCCGCATTTCGCACTTTTGCACTTATTTCATCCTTTTTAATTACGTTTTATTTTATAATTAAGCTTTTCCATTCCAAAACTAGAAGGATTTTATATTTTTCTAATTGCTTAGCTTGCGACTGATAATTTGTAAGGTTTAAGATTTTTCTAACGCTTTAAAAAGTCTCCACTCCCCTCCTCGATGCATTTATCGCCTCCGATGTTTTGATCGCCGAATCTTGTCAACGCAATATTTATATCCTTTTTTTGTGCATCCTATCCATTTTCGCCCAAAAACACCCTTAACGATTCTCAAAAACAGAAAGCTTTAATCTTTAATTCGAAAATCGCTTTATAAGGGGCTCAAGTTTTATGATGAACTGCTCCAATACTAATAAAAACAATTATGATACGCTGCCAATGGTTGTCAATGAAATTTGTATGATTTTCTTTGTGTAATAAACGTTAACGCTAAAAGAATTCGTGGCTACACACGGAACCACTGTACACCTGAACCCTGTGCGTGCGTGCCAATTTTAGCACGTAAAGCTGGCTTTCAAAAAGACGGATGAAACGAACTCGTAAAATCATTTTATTATACGCATTTCGCAAGTATTTCGTTGTCAAATCAATGTTAAAAGGATTCGGCTACACATGGCTCCGCCGTACACTGAACCCTGTGCGTGCCTGTCAATTAGCGCGTAAAACTGGCTTCACTCTTTAAATCCGTTTATTTCAATCAAAATTGTAAAACTCTTAAATCCGTTTATTTACACATTTTCGCACATATAATTACAAAAATCAATACAATAAATAAAAAGGGGGTTTATGTGCACTTCCGTTGCCGATCCTTCACCACTTTGTACGACGGGGTCAGCACCTAGAATTTTTATTTTATTCATTTCCGGATTTTAGCTTACTTGAAAAGAGCAGACGAGCTTCTCGTCGACGTTCATGATCGCCGCCGCGTTGTCGAACTGGCCGCAGTAATGCGGCGACGCAAACAGGGTCACCTAGATGGCTTGGTAGACGAACAGCCCCCTAGCCCAGCGCCTTACCAGCTTGCGGTTGGCGAAAAACTCGTAGCCGTCCTGGACGACCTGGTGGGCCCGGGCGACGAGGTCAATGTCGAGCGCCTGCAGCATCTCCCCCATCACATCCGGCCCGAACACGAAGGACACGCCTCGTTGGCTCGCCTTGAAACCCTGAACGTCTTCGTGATGGTGTTTTTCTTTTGATCTTGTGATTTACGGATTCTGAACTTTATGAATTATCAATCATCCTCCCGGGCAAGCTGTATTTGCTGCTGACCTTGGCGAACGGGTCGGGGTCGGCCCACAGCAGATCGCAGAGCAGTGACGGGTTGGCCGGTTCGACAGGGCGCTGGATCTGCCGAATCTGATCGAGGCTTTTCAACTTGGGCGACAGGCCCCCGTGCATGCAAAGGATACGCTCGCCGACCAGCGCGCAGAACGGCAACGCGTTGAACGCGTCCTGGGACAGGTAAAAAATGTTCATCTACCGCCAAACCTGGAAAGCCTGCCAAAGCCGGAGTCCATGGGCGGGGTACCGTCGGGTGCACTCCTCGTAGAAGCCGTAGACGCGGTTGATGCTCGCGCATTCGTGGTTGCCGCGCAGGATGAAAAAGTTGCCCGGGAAGCGCACCTGGAAAAACAATCAGTAGATGAACAAGCCCCCACCTTATAGCAAAAGAAGAGGATGATCGTCTCCAGGCTCTGATGCCCCCGATCGACATAATCGCCAAGGAATAGGTAGTTGGCGGTCGGCGGGAAGCCGCCCTTGTCGAAGATGCGCAGCACGTCCGAGTACTGCCCGTGAACGTCGCCGCAGATCTTGACGTTCGGCTCGATTTCGACGAGTGAGCCCTGGGCAAGGAGGACTTCTCTGAAAAAAGCAGGATCTTCAAGCTTAAACCTCATGCTCACCTTGCCAAAATGCACAGCTGGACGAGCTCGATCTCCTTGACGTTCTGCGTCAGCGCGCAGCCCGGCGTGCCCACGTTCAGCACGCGGCAGATTAGATCGTCGACGTCGAGCGCGGCGGCCATTCGAAGATATGCCTAGAATGTTGGAATCGTTGACGGTATGCGGTCGTTTTTTAAGGTACTGGACTGTTAGCGGGGGAGGGGGCATTTTCCTCAGATACCTTAGCGGAAAATACCTTACAAACTTTCCATTTTAAGCTACCTTTAATGAAACAGCTGATTAGCGAATGAAACCACGAAAGTGCGGTTAAGAAAGGGAGGAGAAGCAGTAGAAATACGGAAAAGGTAAAAATTTCCCTCATTTCCGGACCTTTATACTCCAAAATAGACTCTAATCATTGAATTTCCGGATATATCTAGTAAGCATGTTATTTTGCTATTCCAATTATGAATTGGAAATCATTGCGGCAAATAGCAGTGATCCTTGAGGAAGATTTTAGAAGGCAAGCCGAAGCCCAAGCTTAAGCCTAAGCCAGGCCCAAGCCTAAGCTGAGTCTGAGCTAAGCCTAAGCCTAAGCTCAAGCCTAAAGATAATCCCAAGTCTAAGCCTAAGGGTAAGCTAAGCCTAAGCCTAAACCTAAATCCTAAGCGTAAGCAAGGATTTTTTCGGCGTATTTCCTCAACCATCGGAGAATTCGTTTATTTTCCGGGCACGAATCTGCTAAAACCAACATCAAGGTACACAATACAAAACACAAAATAAAAATGCGATACACACAAAAAAAGTAAAAATCTGTGCACATGGGGAGAACAATAGAGAGGATTTAAAGTTTAATTTAAACTTCCAAAGCTTTTGTAAATTGTAATTCAATGGAGTTTCAACTTATTTGGCAAGGGAGCACTTTTACGGGGAATGTGGGCGGGGTACGGTAGTTGGGGCAGGGAATCGGCTTGTAGAAAACGGAGAGAAGAAAGATAGGTTTGAAATTGTGTAGAAAATGGGTTCAAAGAATTAATAAACAGTATATAACGTAGTTTGAAATAATTAAAGCAAATTGCAGGAGCTACCTGCCGTGAGTCATGGATTAGGTAGAAAATTAGAGAGGAGGGATAATAAGTGAGATCTGCGCGGGGTTTTGCTGAATTCTGAAGCGAGGGAGTGAGTGAGAGAGAGAGAGAGCGAGAGAGCGAGTTATAGGGAGAGAAATAGCAAAAACGATAATTTACAACGCAAAAAACAATAAATTCAAATGGCAAGCTGAAATCCACGTTGTCGGGCCTCCACTATTTGCAAATGTCGACGCGACTGCTGTTGACGCACGTCTGGCAGACCACCTTGCAGCACCACTGAAAAAATGGGGAAGTGTATCACAAACTCTTTGGGAAAACGCTGATTTTACGTTTTTAAAGATCCTTGGAAAGATGGCCGGGCGTCCCCAGGGGTGAGGGACCGACGGGGCGATACCCTGCACGCTTTCCATCGCGTAAGGGCCCCCAAAACCCCGGACTGGGTTTCAAGAAAACAGAATTATGGCTATAACTTTTTTGATTGACGATATTTTTGGCGAGAAATATCCATAGACATAGTTGATAGCCATCCCCATCGATGGTAAAAATTTGAGGCTGATTGGATAGAAGGCAGCCATGTTCTGAGCGGAAAGAGGTTTTTGGGACGCTCTTTAGTTGAAAAATCGTCAGAAAAGGCATAAAACACTCCAGGAAATTTGGGGATTACTTTGCTTTCCTTTATCAAGCTTTTCTATAGCCTGTTTCGTTATTATGATTTATAAATAGCTTTATTTTCAATTGTTGCCCAGTAAAGCGCACCAAAGTACCCCTAGGGTATTTGAGGCCCCTCCGCCGCCCCCATCCACTCGGCCCCTTTGGTGTGGGGGTAGCGCGTTGGGCTGCGGAGCGGAACACCCTGGTTCGACCCCCGCCGGGTGCACCCCATCTTGCTTTTTGACCAATCCCATCTTTCCAGAGGCCTTTAAGTTATTAAAATAACCGCTTATTTTTTATTTAAAGGTATAAGCGCGCGCCATCAACAGAAAATGCAAACAGGCACCGTATGGAGCGCACAGCGTAGAAGCGTGCGGAGTAGTGCCCGTACTTGAATTTCCGCAATTTATCGGCCTACCTCAAACTTGCATTTACACTTCTCGCGCGTCTCTATCGTCAGCGTGTTGTAGCCGCGGCCACAGCACAGCGCGTCGCAGCCCTCGGGACCAGAAGAGCCGCGCCTAAATAATACTTTTCAAAGAACAATGAAGTCGTGCTCAAACTTTAGAAAGCTTTATAAGTTTATTCGGACCCACTTGCATATCCTGCCCTCCGTCCCGATCGTGCCCATCGACCGGTCAAATCTGAAATTGGTAGTGCGCTACTTAGGCTTCTTTTAAGCTTCAGTTGGCTTACAGAAAAAGGTGCAAAATTCGCGTTCCTATACCACTACTAACCTGCAATAATCGGGACTATCATCCATAAAGACGAGATCGGTGGGCAACCCTCGTGCTCCCCGCCGGCCCTCGGCTCCAGCGACAAACTGCATATTGCCGCGGTCGTTGATCTGAACGCGGCGGGCACGTCGGTATCGCTCTTCGAGCAGCTCGCCCATCTAAATCCGGAATTCACGTACGAAGCAAACTAAGAAAAACTGGAAAAAAGGAAGGAAAAAGTAGAAGAATTGCCGCCCACCTCACGCATCGACGGCAACTGCATCCAGCAGGTTTTCAGGTTGCACGACCCGGAGACGCCGTGGCACTTGCACTTGGGCTGCGTGTGCTTTTTCAGGAGCTAAAAAGGGTTAAAAACTTGCAAAACTGTCTATAGAAATCTCACCTTCCTGCCGGCCTCATTATTTTTTCGATTCATCAAACTGCGACCATTGTCGTTGGATCGCTTCACGCTCTCCTCCTTCTCGCGCACGTCGATGAAATCTCTAAATAAAAAGGCGGGTATTGCATTTTCAAGGCGGCCAAATTATTAGCTGGGAAAAAGTACGTGAAAAGCCCGTTAAAAAAGTCCAATTAGAATTGAATTACAATAATTACACGTAATTAAAACACTATTTTACCGGACTCACCGCGAAAAACGACTGCCGTACTCAACATTATCCCCGCAGCCGCCCCACGAAAAGTCGTCGGCCATCTCCTTGGGCTTCGTGTCGGATGAGCAGCCGCAGGAGGAGAGCTCGCCTCAATTTATTTCTATTTCTATTTTTTAACATTTAACATTTTAACATTTATTTAGCAATTTAACAAATCGAGGAGTTATTTAGCTAGTTTAACTATTTTTTAAACAGCTTAACGTGCTCTTAATCGTCCTAAAGTGATGGATGCGGAATACCCGAAATGCACACTCCAAGCTATCTAAAAATTCACCTTTCTTGCAACGTCTCCCAATCTCGTGCGCCACGCCTGCGGACAGGATTGCGTATGTAAAAGCGGCCTCCCGGGTCCCAAGCTGATGCGCCGGGCCGATGTAGCCGCTGCCGAACGGCGTCGAGCAGTTCCAGCGGTGCCCCCGGAATTGGTGCTGGCATTCCTAAAAATTCTTTAACAGTTTTTGCGCACTAATAGACATAAAATCTCTTTTAGATTCGTCAAAGTTTCATCATTGGCCAACCTGAATAGCTTTATGAGCCCCGCTGCCCACCGCCGGCATGTGGTCGGAGAAGAGCTCGCAGATTTGACTTTGCCCCGGGGAGAGGCCCTAGAAAGGGTGGGCGGTTCTTGGGCATTATCGGGGGGTACTTTTATATTTCCAAGTGAAAAACGATTCAACAAACTCGGAAAAATGCCTAGAAATTCCAATTTTGTGCCAAGAAATAGAGATTTTGGAATTTTAGGAGCATTTTTCTTTTGTAAAAAACGAATTTTTACCTTTAGATGATGGCATTGTGACCTTGCCGCTGATGATGCCAACAGCGGAGATGTTGATAGTTGTGCCACGGAAGACCTAGACACAAACCAAGTTCATAAGTAAGCGCTTGAAGTCAATATTTTCGATACGGCAGGATACCCACCACCACGCGACGTCAATGATGCTGGCAATCGGGTGGGCAAGCTGGAGAAGAAGCAGTAAAATGGCTTCGATCCGGGGCTTCATCTCCCCGCCGCGGCCGATCGGTTCTCGCTTGGAAAACTCCGTTTTGGGCTAGAAACGGCTTGATAAAACAGCTTAGACTTGAGTTATTCAAAAACCCAAGAAGGTTCGTCAAATAACAAGAAAATTGTCTTAAAAACTGCGACTAACTAGTGTGAATTTACGCTGCGAAAACTATCGCAATTCCTAAATGCTTTTTGGGAGCTTTTGCATTATCAGGGGTGAAGGTACCGGGAAGTTACAGATTTTTCCTACCTTCTACTTTTCTAAACGAACCGATGAACTGTCCTCAACGCTCCTAACGGGGCGAAAACTTCAAAAATTACAACCAAAAATGCAAAAAACGGTGTATCAAAATTCCACTTTTTAGAAATTTTAAAGTTTTCTAAATCTTTTTACTTGAAAACCAGATAAAATTACTAAGAAATAAATTATTGTACGTGGCAAATCTTGATTAACAAGGTCACTCCCCCATTCCCCCCCCCCGATAATGCCAAAGAACCCGGAAATTCTCGTGGCTTCCCGCTTGGTTCCAGATAGGGGAAAACAAGTGGACCGCCCGAGAAGTACAGGATCAATTGGTGGCTCGCTGGTTGGGAGAAATGGTGTCAATATGGCTTTGCACATTGATACGAGCAGCCCAGCGTTGATAAGGCGCAATGGTGCCTATAGCCAAGATGGGGAGTTGGGAAGCGCTTGGCATGGTATCGGCTGGGTGGGGGTAATTCTGAAAGCTACTGAAACCCCAGAAGTAGCGCTGATTTAGAGAGAAAAATGAGGAAAACCATTCAGAGAAGAACAGCACCTTCAAAGCAAAATTCAGGCCTAAAAACGGGACAATATATTGACTTTAGCAACAAACCTACTTCGAAAAGTATTCTCTAAAAAACTCCAAGGCTCCAAAAGACGAAAAAACATGATTTTAGTAGCGCCACTGTGACCAGGTTTACATGGCAGAGGCGTGAAGCTCTGGTCGGCAAAACAGAGGGCCGGGACTCCCTGACGTGCAATTTGCATAAAAAAATGTGAAGGCCGGCTAGTGATGCCTTGCAGAATTGGCACAGCGACTCAGGGAGGGCAGATTACGATACAAAAACATCGAAACAAATTTAATCAAAACGATGTTGATGAAAACACTAAAAGATCAATGACATTGAGAAAATTCAGGAACCTCGAAAGGGTGAAATCAGGTAGGAAAACACTGTGAAGAAGGTACTACTACAAATCGGTTCTTTGCTATTACCGGGGGGGGGCGCTTTGTGGTCCCATAATGTCCGAAAATGAACTTTTAACCCGTAAATTCCCAAACAGTTAGAAGTTAGTTTCCGAGTTAGAATGTGTTTTTGACAAGAAACCTCAGCTTTCATAAAATTTTCGACAGTGTTTCTAATAATAAAAACCACCAAAAAACGTTAAAACGCGCCACGTTAAAACTCTCGAAGACAATCTGTGAAAAAGATATGTATAAAATCTCCACTAATCAATCGCCGAATGCTACTGCAGAGCCATAAGGCCCTAAAAAAAGCCGCAGACGCTGCGACGGATCGTTGTGGCGCCCCCCAGGGAACGAGTACCATGGGAAACGTCAATCAAGTGTTGATGGGAAACCGTTTGTCCGATACCGCGCAGCCATTGTCCCAAGAGATGGCCAGGTGGCCTGTGACGCGGCGACGGATTATCGATGATCGCGCTCTCTAAAAAGCACTATAAAAGGGTATCTAGATAAAGAGGCGTAGAGCCGCCAAAAAGGCCCGTATTCTATGGGTATCCCCGCTTGGAAAGGCCCCCTTGGGTGCCCATGCATCGCAAAATGGCCCATTTAATATTCTACTACGCCCCGAAAATCCTTACGACGATGTCAGGGGGGGTAGTGGATGAAGAATATAACACTATGTAACAATATGGAGCTTTTGCATTATCGGGGGGGGGGGGGCTCTGCCAAGGATCTAAATCCTTGTCTAATATAAATAGAGGATCTGATTCTAAACTCTATTTTTTCTATGCCTAGACGCAAAAAACCTCACAATTTTTCATACGAAAATGGCCGAATTTTCGACCAAACTTTCAACTACAAAACTTTGTTTAAGTTTTTAGATTGTTTTTCCACTTAAAATATAGTTAAATTTTACTAAAAACACTGTTAAAGCACTCACTAATGAAGTAATAATAGCATTTTTAGTAATATTTCAACTATATTTCAAGTGGAAATATTTAAAAACATCCACAAACCCTTAAGGATTCAAAATTTTGGTCGAAAAGTTAGTTTAGGTTAGAAGCTGGAATATGCTGAAAATCATTTACAAAAATTCTGCTTAACAAATTTAAAGCATAAAACAAGCGTTTTGGCAAATCGCCAAATCCCCCAAACCCCCCTGCAAGGACCACAACAACCACAAAAAAGTCAATCGGAGAAAGGACAGAAAAGGTGGCACTGACGCTTCCGGTCTTTGCGCACCAGCCCAGCGCCCTCCGATCAGCCGGGGCATCACTCTCAAGCCATCACCCCCACAATCCCGATAATCGCATCGGGCAGCTCTTTCGTAACAAAAGATGCACGACACCACCCCCTATGCACAGATAAGCAGAAACGATGCAAATGGATTTCGCACGACAATACCGAAAACCATAATACCGACATTCCATAATGCCGAAAACCGACAATATGTAATACCAAAATCTCATAATATCGAAATCCCAGAATACCGAAATCCGAAATATATAATCCCGAAGTCCAAAATATCGGTCCATCATAGCAAAATGCCATAATGCCGAAATACAAATTCATTGGAATTTCCGTGTTATGGACTTCGGCATAATGAAAAATTTCTTCAAAATGGGAAATATTGGAATTAAAGTTATAGTATACACCCAGGCCCGTAGCGGAACCGAAATTTCGGGGGCAAAATTTTGACGACCCCCGTCGCCACTTTTAAAACATCCGAAAATCGCGTCAATAATAGCGCCGCAGGCAAAAAAATAGCAAAAAAGCGTTTGCTACACTCAGATTCGTGTGAAAACACGGCAGAAAACGCGCCGCAGGCGAAAATTTTTATCAACAACTGATTCACTAATGAAAAACCAGCGCCGCAGGCAAAAAATTTTGAAAAAAATAGGCTTCGTATAAGTAAAAACTGTTTGAAAAACAGTAATAAACAGCGCCGCAAGCAGAAAAATTTTTGTAACTAAAAATGCTAAGGGTCCCCCTTATGAATTTTTTCGGACCTCGACCGATTTCGGGGGGGCCCAGGGCCCCCTGGCCCCCCCCCCCCCTCCTACGGGCCTGTATACATCTAATAACCTTGTCGAAATCGAGTTGGCTCGTCCGCAGCAGAAAACACGCAAAAATTCAATAAAATTGGCTGTAAGATCGCACGTTTTAATAAAAAATAACGATGATGTTTGGTTGCAAAATCGCGGTTTCCTAGGTTTTCTAATACGCTAATTTTCAAAAAGCCGAAATTTCGTAATGTCGGAGTCGTAATTTCGTATGGCATTAAAGACGAATTTCACATCGTCGAAACTTCCGAGAATCTAAATTCCAGGATTTCAATATTAGGTTCATTTCCTATTGTCTCTGTCGACATATCAAAATTTCGGCATTCTGAGCGTGCGTCATCCTGAAATTTCGATATTCTGACATGGATTTGTTTTTGCGACAAGCCTGTAAAACCTCTAAAAAAACCCTGAAGCCCTGGCTTAACAAATTGACCAAATCGAACAAGCCCGACCCGACTACCCGGATGACATAGTGTTGTGATCCGGAGGGCCCACAACATAAATCGGTGAGTGAGGCCTCACAATCGATCGGTGTTGCCGGTGGATGCTGTAGGAGGGCGAGCCCGATGTGGGGGGACGGCTGGTGTCCTGTCGGAAGTGATGGATGTTGGCCCACCGACCGTCACAGATCCCCCTTTCTGCCCCGCGGGCCATGTGGGCCTCCCCTTGTTCTGTTTGAGGGGGACCTGGGGCTCGTGTCTCGATTATGATCGAGTGCGACGACGATGGGCAGATGATGGTTGACAACGAGCAGCATGTATTCCGCCAGCCTCGTGCCGAGACAACATCCGAAAATCGTAATTGATCACAGGCTAGGGTAAAGCGGTAGCTCGAAACAAGATCTGGAAGTGGATCTGACCAAAAATCATCTAATCAAAAACTCTGGTTTTTCGTCAAAGGTTCAAATTTTTTAACGTTAGCAATGAGTTTCAAAAAGTAAAATTATAGTCGGTATGGTACAAACTTAAAAATAAACAAAAATCATACAAGAGTAATATTTGATTGTTCGGCATTTATTCGATTAAACGAAAAAAAACGCTTTCAGACTGTTTTTGGCAGATTTCCGTTGCAAAACGTTATTAAAAATTGATAACTATTTACAAAAATAAGAAATTTGGATTATTTTAGCGCAAAAGATTTCCGATTAGGAGATTTCTATCATTTTAGTTCTATGAGTTGATAGGAAACCCGAAACAAGCCATCAGTTCAACTCTTTATCATTTTCCTAAAAGGCGAAAAAGTTTTTAAGGCGATAACTGATCACAAACAAAACCCAACAATTTACAGGCCCCGATGGGGACTATCGGGCCGATTGTCTGCCCTTATAACATTTCTTGACGATGGCGTTGAAGTGGCCGAGGTAGAGCAGCATGACGGCGCGGAAGAGGCCGGCGAGCGCTCCCTAAAATTGAAGATAAATTTTGAAAAGTAACATTTACCTGGGTGATGGCGCGGAAAAGGTTGTGTTCCGGGGAAGCGCCGGCGGTCAGCACGCCCAACATCCAGCCGTCTAAAATTAAACGTGCGTGGAAAAAGTCGTACTTTTACCGGTTCTGGTGCGTTAGTGGGGGTAGGGAATTAAAATTGTCCTAAGCTCCCGTAGACGTCGAATATCAAAAAGAAAAATTGTTGAATAGAATTTTACGCATTTTTAGGATCGAAAAAGCTCACAAAAAATGTATGAGAAATGTCAAATATGTCAAAAATTAATTAAAAAATGTTTTTTTAAATTTTTAATTCTCGGAAACGACCAAAAAAAACTATAGAAAGCGTCGATGTCAAACTACAACATCGCTCAGGCTGAATATATGCTAATGCCCCCCCCGCTAACGAACCAGAGCCCCCATTACCTAGTCCAATAGTTGTAGCCGTTTCTCCGGCGATGATGTCGGTGATGTGAGCATCAGCAACGTGCTAAAACACTTTATCATAGCTTTTTAAGGACCAACCTTTGGGGTGAAAACGCCGGCCGAATCGCTGATGATCTTCGTTTCTTGCGGCATCGTGGCCAGCTCCAGCTAAAGTAAATTTTTAAACTTGAGCTTGACCAAAACCTGGAAGCCCTCAGTGTCGGTGTTGGGCGGGTAGAGGACGCTGATCGAGATCTTGTAGGGCAGCAGCTCCATGTGAAGCGCATCGGCAAACCCTCGGAGGGCGAACTTGGTCGGGGAATACCTGAAGATAATATAACACTAAATTCGAGGAAAAAAAACGAGTGCTGTCGCATTATCGGTGGGGGGGAAGCCGGTTGTTTTCCGGCAAATCCAGGTGTACTCGTAGACAAATTTGAACGCAAATTTCGAAATGTTTGTCAAAATTGATCCATCAGGCCGAGACATTTATATTTTGTAGTTCTTTTTAAACGAAAATTCGTGGAATTTTTATGCAATAAAAGTAGTGGAAAACAAGAAATAAAGACAATATGAAACTCTATTTAAAAACGTTCGTTTCTCCCACCGACAATGCAAAAGAACCAAAAACATAAACTGTCCTAAAAACAGCAATCCGAACTCACGCAGAATATCCGTAAATCGCGCACTGCCCAGCCGCGCTGGAGACGAACGAGATGTGGCCACTGCGACGCTGCTGCATTGCCGGCACGACGGCGCGGGTCATGTAGACCTAAATGAAATTTTGCACACAAAAACCTGACGATCCTTACGGCGCTCAAATAGTTGACGCGCATCTGGGCCTCAAAATCGCCGACGGGCAGCTTTTCGAAAGCGTCTTGCACGGAATGGCCGGCGTTGTTGATCAGCAGGTCTACCGGCCCGAATTCCGATTCAGCGCTACGGACTTTGGCCTCAATCTGGAAAGAACGCAAAATTTTGGAGACGTCGGTGATCATTACCTGCTCATAAGTTCCGCAAAGATCCGCGCTCTTCCATTGAACCTTTTGCCCCTGGCCGCGCTGGTCGGCGTACGTTCTGTAAAAAGATTTGAAATTTGTGCAAAAATCTGGTTATGGGCATTAACGGCGGCCTTACTTTGATCTGTATGAAATACACATCATCTATGTAGCTTTTTACATAGCTTTTACTTATCGAAAGTCCATAAAAAATAGAAAATTTGGACTTTTTGCTCAAAAACTGTTTTGAATTCAAAATTTTAGACTTTTCAATCATCAAAAACTACTAAATACGCTCTAAAAACTATCAAATTATCAAAATAAACAGGCTAGATAATTTTTCCACCCCCGCTAACAGCCCAGAACCAAAAACTTACTGCAATTCCGCGGTGGCATTCTTGAGATCCTTTTCATTGCGCGCCACGATTGTCACGTTTGCACCCTGAGAAAGAAGGCTGAGCGCCATCTGCTTTCCGATACCCTTGGAACCACCTAAAAAGCTGTTAAGATTAAAAAAAGAATATTATTACCGGTCACTAGCGCATGTTTGCCGCGGACGTCGAAGCGACGCTTGCTGGGGATGGAGAAGTAGATGGCGAACGAGCAGAGCATAAAAAGGGAGGCGACAAGCACCGCCCCCAGGATCCACCAAGCCCACGGGTGCATCTGAAACCACGACGATTCGTTTAAAAATAAAATCAAGATCCATGGCCCAAATAGAAGATAAGGCTTTCTAATAGAAGTTTCAGTTTTTCATTCTTTGTAACGTCTAAAGCGTATTTTACTTCTTCTAGAATGTGTCTTACCATTCCAAAACGTCGACTTTCTAAGGCTTTGTTGAAAAAATACGAAAAATAGGTTATTCTATGGAAATTTTACAATTTCTGCCCATTTTCGAAGTTCCCTAGATAGTTTTTGCGCTTTAAATATAGCTAAAAAGGATCGTGCTTACCGTTTACAAATACAAGGGTCCCTCACGCTCTGGGTAGGTTAGCTGAAAGAAATAAATAAATAGAAAAAGCACAACAAAACCTGATTGAAGTGAAAGGCGATTTTCCTGTTGCCGCTGGTCCTGCCGTAGATCCCGAGCGCGGCCCAAACGAGGTGACGATCTTTTGTTGCGACGATGACGCTTCCCTTTTGCGTAGCTTCGTTAAAGTGGCCGATCTAAAACAAGAATTTATCACGTCTAAAACCTAATATAAACCTTTAAACCCCACGAGATATTGAGATTACTAACTAAGAATCAGACTCACTAAACAAGCCCCAAAATTCGGGGCTTCAATGTGAACGCCCGCCTTTCCGGCAAATGTCCCGGCGATCGCTATGGATTGATAAGCATGGCTCACAGAGAATCTGTGGCAGTCGTGGAACGAACGGACCGACACGGACTAGCAAATAAAACATAAAACCAACGTTCTCTTTCTAATAAAATTACAAAACAAACACTAAAAACAAAATACATACCTGAAAAGATGGACCACAGGTGCCCAAAACGGTGCGCAGCGCTTCGACGACGATGGCCGTGAAGTCGGTTTCACACAAGCGGCCAGATTCGAGTTCGCTGAAACAAGGGATTATGATTGCGGATAACTAGAAATTAGGCTTTGCACTATTTGAATTAGGCCTATCCTAAAGCGCTTTTTTGTGCGCTTCTCGAGGTTTTCTGTAAGATCGTTGCGGTTTTCTCTGGAACTTAACAATCGCTGACATTTAAACGGCTAGAAAAATAAACTAGATTTGCGAGAGTGGAACTCACACTTTCACAACGATCCTCGTGAACTCGCCCTCCCCCTCTTGGCCTTCCTCTTCCGCGTCGCTGCCGTCGGAGAGCTGCTCGTCCTCGTCGTCGGAAACTTCTTCCTCGTTTTTGTGCACGGCTTCCTCCTCTTCTGCTTCCTCAGTAGGGAAGTGGATGCGAAAGAGCTGCTTGGTATCCAGATTCTAGAAACTTTTATGATTTGTGGCGGCGAAAGAAGGAACGGTTTGTCGAGAAAGGACACACCAAAAGTTTCGGACGAGGTTTTTTACGCCAAATTATACAAACTCATTACATACTTTACATATATCTACAGCTATTTACGTAGCTTTTTGTTAAACTTGTAATTGCTAAAGCTGTACCTAAATCTGGTATAACTAAATTTATGTCAAAAGTTTAACTCTAATAAGTCTAATATAGCTATAGATACATCTCCACTATAAATTGTACTAGTTTCGTATATTGAATCTACAGATTTTTAAGGTAAAAAAATACTTTTTGCTTGTTTTTTCGAAAAATCGCGGGCGGCCGAACCATTACGCGCTGAAATTCGAAGTGCACATGCACCCTAAACCGTGCTCCCGGCCCATCGGGGGCTCGATCCTCTTTCTAAAGGTTTCCAGCTTATCTTACACTTTCCTCATAAATTTTGCCCGTTTTGATAACTTTTATATCGTTTCAGCCATCCTCACCGCGCTCTTCCACCCCGGCTCAAACGTCAGCCGTGATGGACCTCGGGTTGGACCCGAGCCCCGCCGTTTCTTGTGCCGTAACTAGCAGTGATGTTGTTGATGTAAGATTTTGCGAAGAAACCTTGAGCCCTTATCCAGGTTGCGTTCCTGAACGATGGGGTCAGCTTCGTGACGCTCTCCGCCGACGGGGAGACCGGACTGACGCTGTGGGCGCCCGCCGAATTCGAGCCATTCAGCCCCGAGAACTCGCTGGCTTTCGTCGACGCCGACTCGTCGGCTCTACTGTGAGTTTTAATGGAAATTAGAGAGCGTCTCGCGTTTCACAGTGTTATGGAATAATCACCATTGTTTATTTGTAACTATTTTTCCTAGTTTGGTAGCAGAGCTGTTTTAGCGGATAGCGGGTAGCTGTTGGAGCGGGCTAATTACAAAACTCGTGCCATCCTTGAAAGATTGTCTAATAGTCATTTTTAATGTAGCTTTTTTTCGAAGATAAGATGTTATCTTCGATGTATCTTTTCGTTTTAGCGTTCTTCCACACGACCTCGTTGCCATCGGGCTCTCCGACGGCACGTTGGCCGTAGCAGATGCGTCAAAGACGAGCAAGGTATTAGCGTTTTTTTTTGTGTCAACGCATTTTTACAGATTGACTATCGATTCCGGACCAAGAAGCCTCTGACTGCAGAGATCACCTCGCTTTGCACACTCGGATCTGAAAGCGGGTGAGTTTGTTTTGGAATTGTCTGTATTGAAAGTTCAGGAAGGCTGTGAGCGGGTCCGCGGATGGTACGATCATGGTAGTGGACTTGGCAAGCGAGACAGCCACTAAGCTTGCGTCGGTACGACATTTAGCTGGAGCTTTTGACCTAAGCCTTTTCAGGCTGGCGTTGGGGCAAAATCGATGTGTTCGATCTCGGGCGGGACGATGATTTGCGTCGGGCACATGGCCGGTCGTCTGACGCTTTGGGATACGCGAGAAAAGTTGATGAATGGAGGTATGGTAATTGTACACTATTGAGCTCGGTGTAGGCAACGCGAGGCCCACGTCGACGATCCTCCTCGAATCGAACAGGGACTCTGTGACTTCGATTTCGGCTCATCCGGCTCAAGCTAATATGGTTGGTTTTGACCGGTTTCTTTGTAAATACGATTCAGTTAGTAGATGTTTATCGTGTTTTTCAGTTTTTGATCCTAAAAGTCGTAGAAATCATATTATTCTTTCAGTTCGCCTTCTCCACCGAGTCCGGCTCAATCGGCTTTGTCGACGTCAAGGCTAATGGTCGTGCTGTCATAGTCGAGGGCATCTCTGGCGGCGAAGAGCTCACCGAAATCACAAAGGTACCCATCAAAGTTTCCAGCTTACTTTCCTTCAGGTCCAATTCCATCCGACACATGGCGAAAACTTGTTCGTCTCCTCGGTCGACGGCAAGTTGAAGCACTATGATGCCAGCCGGGCCCAGGTCTATTCATTGTGAGTTTTTAAATGAATTCTTACATATGTTTGTTTTAGTGGGGCCACGCTGCCAGTAGCTGATCGACAAGTCTCGTGGCTTCTCAGCAGCCTACACGACAGCCTGCGGACCACTGAAATCTTTCCGAAATCCGGCACCTATGTGAGTTTTTTTACTTTTGGCCTCGAATTTGGGATTTTAAATTGTTTGGCGTATTGTATGGTGTTTCTGGGGTATCTTGAATATTTTTTTGATTACGAAGACAAGATAAAGAAAATGTCAGAAAACTAACAGTCCAAAATGACATTTTTTTCAGCCGGTCTCCTTCGACGTGCTCGGCAACTCCGTGGTGGCCGCCTACAACACCGGCATCGTCAAATGCATTGACTGCATCCAACTGTCTTGATATTTCTCGGTCTCACCCCCCATTACCGGTTATTAGGCACTGTTCTTAGCCGCTTTAGTTTGATCTCTATTATGCTGCCTCAATTCTCATGTTGTCACTGGTGTATACACGTGTAACGTTTGATAAATTATTTTGCAAATCTTGTTACCTTGCTATTCGCTATCGGGTTCAGATGTTCCCCAGCTTTCGTGTGGAAGAGGGATTTGAGTATTGTATCCGGCTTGCGGGCACTTGGGGTGTCAGCTGTTTTTCGGCAAGTGTGCGCTTTTCTTTTCTGCATGCCTCGCCAATTTTTTGACGATCTAGCGACGAGGCATGCTAGCTTTGAGTAAATCATAATCATTCTACTTTAAAACCACCGCTTTTCCTTTTAATTTTTTTTTGGATTAAAGTTTTCAGATTATCGACGCGATGTCTGGCATTGTTCCCCACGAGCCTCGATCAATATGGAAACGATTATTTCCACCGCTGACAACTCGGTGAGGGCTAGAAACAAAAACCCTTTTATGGATTAAAAGTGGCGTTCTGAAAACGGGATTTCAGCACGGTCTTGGCGCACTACGTCCCGGCTTCGGGCGCCCTCTCGCACACGATGTTCTCGATGCACATTTTCAGCCCGTCCGTCGTTAGCAGGTTAGCTCCGTTTCCCACGTGCGACCAGCTTGCCAACCTGTTTTAAAACTCACAAAAACCTCGAAAACTTTTTACCTATAAGTCCTTTAGATATTTCCCCGTTGGCGAACTTGCAGTCTCAAACACGATATTGTTTAACGCAAATATTGGCATCGGTTTCTACATATTTTTCCGGCAACACATGTCAAAGTGAGTCAGAATGGACACTATGTGATATGAGCCGCACATTTTAGGTTGCACTCTTGGGAACGGGTCGAATTTGCCGTGTTCGCGTCGACGATGTTCAACTTCGGGTCCCTCCTTTCAGCCGTGCTCATCAAGGCATTGTTGCCGAGTAGGTAGGACAAGAAAAAGGAAAACAATAACGGCTCAATTCACTTCAGGACGTCAACATGGCTAAAATCGGTCGTAGCCGCCACGCTGAGCCTGCTGCTGCTGCGTACTGGGCGAAAATACTTGAGAGTGAGTCCAAATTTCTGTAAAATAACTTTAGAGACCTTTAGGCGGTAATTTTCTGCGCGCTTGCCCCCCTGTCGTAATACGTGACCTTTTCTTGGATTCGGGTGTTTTCCCTGCCTGCCTGTTTCACATAATATTTCCCAACTAATGCGGGATTCGGGGGCAGCTCTGGAAAGCGTCTATTTTAGCATATCGACTCGAGGACGGTGCCGTCGCGACGTGGATCGCCGGTGACGAGCCGGGTCGGGTCGACGAAACGGCGGACGGAGGTGGGTGAAATGTTATGAGGTGTAGCCTGGAGTTTAGGACTTTTTACTACACGCGCCTGACCTGAGCAATGGACAGCAGCACCGAGGGGCCAGCCCGGAATTGGCGCATTAGTCAAGAGTTGGTGACTATTCTTGATTCTTTTTGTGATATTGTCTGAAAATTCTCTAATATTGCTCTCTCTCTCTCTCTCTCTCTCTCTCTCTCTCGTTTAGGGCCAAGCATAGAGCAGTTGATGATGGGTGCCATTAAATGTCCTGCCTTTCTGTATTGCCAGAAACCCCTCGTTTGTTGTATTTTGTAGGGTTCATCCCCCCCTTTAACGGGCCATATTTAGTTTCGTGTATCGGATTCGTGTCTTGTCGGAGAAGATAGAGGTGCCGTCAAATACATAGTTTATTACCCCGGTTTCTTTGAATGCACCATGATCATCTCCTCGTGATGTACGACGTCCCCAGGCGCTGTTGTTGGCGCTCAATTTGCGCGAATGGGCCCTAAAAATTTGAGGTTTTTTTGGAGATTTTCCCCTACCTTGACAACTTGGGGCTTATTGCGTTTAGTGTACTGCTCGGGGTGGACGCTGAGCCTGAAAAAATGCCATTTTTGTTAGTTTATGTTGGCAATTTTACTTGTTTTCAAAAACAACAATTTAAATTTAAAAGCTTAGAACTTGACCTACCGATGTTGTGACGGTTCGCGCGTGTCCCCGACGGGAATCGGCTGATTCCGGTCCGAAAAATCACTAGATATCGTGATCGTGTTGGCCGCCTGGAAGGATTTTTTATGATTTTTGACTCCTATTTCGTTTATACCGGTTCTTTGGCATTATTGGGAGGGGGGACTTTTGTCTACGAGACCAGAAATGCCTAGTACCGTAATAGTAAGTGTTCTCGTAGTTTTTTAGCATAATGCGGCTATTATTTAGGTGGACACAATAAAAAATCTGTCATTTTTGTCGAAAATCGGCTATTTTGGTCAACGCATGTATTTTTTTACTAAAAATTTGTAAGGTTTTTATGTTTAGGAATAGTACAAAAAACAGCCTAGAAACACTTACTATATCTATATTCAAAAAAGAAAAGAAAAAGTAGGTTTCCTCCGATAAATCCCCCCCCCCCCGATAATGTCAAAGAACCTTCATCGAATAACATTACCAAAATCTCACCTTGGTATTCTTATGCCTTAACGCCCTCCGGAGATCATATCTGAACGCCGGATGCCAGAGCCAGATCCCGGCCACCGACAAAGGTCCCCTCATCAGGCACACAAAAGCCCACAACGTTCCGAAGGGATACGGCGACCAGGCGTCGGGCACTTTTGCTGAAAACGCTGAATTTTTACGATCTCCCTCGTTAAAACCGCTAAAAAACCCGCCACCTACCTGATGTTTCAACATATTCTGCCCCCTTGTAGCCGGGGAAGAAGACGAAATATTCTAAAAACAAAAACTTCTAAAAACTACGGCTTCACCTACCGAAAGTGATGAAGTAGACGGCGCACTGCCAGCGCGCGTAAGCGACGGTTTGGCCAAAGAGCAGCTTCGCGTTCGGCCCGCGGCGCCGCTCGGCGAATTGGGCGCGTTTTTGGTGCGTCTGAAAGTGGATAATGAGGTTCTGGTGAGTTAGCGGGGGGCGGGTTTGACTGCTTGATTCAATCTAACATCCATCCTAAGATTTTAAAAGTTTTCATAGTTTCCGATTGCTAAAAAGTTCGGAAATTTTGGCCATTTCCCATCCATTTGTCACCAATAGCGAGAAATTTTAATGAAAATTGGATTTTTATATTGTGGTTAATACATAGTTTCCGCTAGCTAAAAATTTCGTAAAATTTGTAAAAATCAAAAAGTTCGAAAATTTTGACTATTTTTTATAAATTCTTTACCAAAACGAGAACCTTTTCCGAAACTTTGGAATTTTTCTTGATACTTTTCGACTCTAATTAGGGGGCAAATTTTGATTAATGGTTGCCTAGATAAACATAAAAAAAATGCGCCCCCGCTAATGAATAAGCGCGGAAAATTATTGTCAATGTCAATTTTCCATTTCCACTACATTGCCATTTCCAGGCTTTTCAATATGCCCGTAGTGCTGGTAGTACTAAACCGGAAAACCCAGGACTGACCACAAAAAACGACCTTTAAAACCGAATCTAGCCCCAGCCACCAATTTGGGCACAATATCCCGTCAGTCACCCCCGTTAGTAGCCGTCGATTTGCAGGCCCCCAAATTGGCGCCTATCCCCTAGAGGGGGGATAAAGTTCGTTAATTTGGACTGGCCAAAGAATTGTTATTAGGCCAGGGGGGAAATTTGAGGTACTGGACCGTTAGCGGGGGGGGTTTAGTAGCATGGAAAGTTAGTTTCGTTTTTTCGTTGATTTCTACCTGTTAATAATAAATGGTGTATTTGATAACGTTTTTCGCAGTTTTTGTTTGCTAAAAATTTGGAAAAATATTGTAAACATTACTGAAAATTCGAAATCTTTACCTTTATTGGCCATTTTTTAAAAAGTTTAACCAAAAAGCCAAGAATTTTCGAACTTTTTATGCCTAAAACTGTGTAAAAAGCTATATTATTTCACATAAACACTGCATCAAAACCACAGGTTACATAAAAATATTCTAAAAAATTTTGTAAAGTCGACATTTTTTTAATTTAATTTCATTTTGTCTTACATTTTTCGGCCAAGAATTTCAAAAATTTCGAAAATTGTTAGACTTTATACGTCTAAAAACGGGGTACAATGCTAGAAAAATGGTTTACATTTTGTTATAGGCCCGTACGGGACTACTAGGAAAAATTAGTTTTCAAAGCCCCCCCCCCCGCTAATAGTCCAGTACCGAATTTCATATATACATATTGTATGCTTCAACTAGCTGCCCCACTTTTCCTAGGGGGTACAGACAGCTGTGGTGGGGCAGATCTTTTGGAGTGGCTGGCGAAATTCGGGAAAGCACCTGTTGTAAATGCGCGGTGCGACGTGGCTGTCAAGTTTTCCATTCTATTAGGTGGCCCACAGCTTCCGCTTTTGGCGATGATTGGCAACAAGGGGGCTTCAAAGAGTAGCAGCTAATACGAGCACAAGGGGATGGGATAAAATAACGAGGAGGTTTGCAATTTTTTAATATTCAAAATTGCGAAAATGTTCTATGTTTTGAATTACCGTAGAATTTTGTAACTTCCAGTCGATAAAGCATCAAAAAATATACTAACAGAATTAATTTCGAGCCGAAAAATGTCGTTTCTAGGTGGGAATTGAGCCGAAAAATTTAAGTGGATTAAATATTATATTTAGGAGTTCAATTTTCGATATTTTGAAAGAGCATCGATAAAGCGCCGGAAAATATACTACGAGCTGTTTCAGCCTTTTTAAAAGGTTTCAACTATTTTAATAGCAAGAGATTTTAGGGTTGCCTACCCGAAACAAAATGGCGGCCGCGACTAGAGCGAGGGTCAGGTTCTCGGCAAACGCGAAGATGGACGCGTACGTTTGCGCCATCACCGTCAAGTCGAAGGCGGCGTACAGCGCGAAACCGAGCACGCACAGGTTTATGAGCAGCACCAACAAGCACAGGATCCTGAAATGAGCGGTTAAAATTGACCGAAATTTACAAAATTTTTAAATTTTTAAATCTTTAAAAATTTTCCTCGATGAAGCCCTCAAAAGATAAAAAATTTTCTGCTAAAAACGCAATTCCTGCAATAATGCCGAAAGGGAAAATACCGGCAGCCAAACTTTCGACACGATAGCAAGCCCCGAATTGAATAAGGGCTATGATGAATCCACAGCAACTTTGCTTGTCGGGATTTTGGTCTGTCGGCATTTTTGACGTTTTCCCCAAAAAACCGACTTGTTTATCCGGCTGCCCTTGTAGTCGAGGGTGAGTAGGTGATGAAATGAGCAGACGACGACCAGCAACGTCGACAGCAACAGGCTCAGCCCGGCTCCCGTCCTCAAGCAGCTCAGCACCAGGAGTGTTGACGGTCTGAAAAACGCAATATAAAAAAAAACATTTTTGCTGTAGTTTTTGTCCAGTTTTATCAGTTTTTTTTTGTAATTTTCCGTAGTCACTCTGGGGAACAGCATAAGTTTCGTATCTAGAGATGGAGCCAATTTCCTTCACCCCAGCGGGGGGAGTTCCGGTTCCGGCAACAAGGCGAAAATCGGGAATAGGTAATTTATTTTAAGAGGAAAAACAATCAATTTTTCATTGAAAATTTGGTCGAAAAATCGAAATTTGTTGTCTTCTTCAACCGAAATTTGTGAAGTTTTTACATTGCGAAATAGTAGAAAGCAGTTTAGAAACAATTCCTCGATTTGTAACAGAAAATTGGATTCAAAACAGTCCCCCCCCCCGATAATGCCAAAGAAACAGTTCGTGAAATGAGCCGTTTTGAGCCGGATTCGTCCAGAAATTCTTTCGATTATCATTTTCGAGACTCTCTCCAGCCCCAACTACCCGATCCCCCAAAGAATTCGTGTATTCGGCATTTTGGCTATTTTTGCTTGCGGCTGGCTGGAATGTGGGGTGTTGGGCTTTGGGCCCGCGTGACGGCGCCATCAAGTTCACCTGCCGGCCGCCATACCGGCATGGCCTTTCGACGAATCGGCCGGGCAGCCCCACACCGTCCACTCACAGACTCTCGCCCCGAATATTTACGGGCATCGATTCATGGGAATGGGTGTGTGGAGGGCTAAATATAAACGGAAATCTGCTGGTGGCGCCGGGTGCAAAAACGAGTGGACCCGGATCAGAAGAAGCTGGAAGTGCGGGGCATTGGGGCAGGAAATAGTGTGTAGAAGCCGTAAAGTACGATGAAAGCCACGTTCAGACAGAACGTGATTTACGCCGCGCTACGACTATTTACGCAGGGGGCAAAGATTTTTTTAGGAACCAGTGAAAACACTGTATATTGGCTTTAGTAATACATGATTCTATCCACAATCGCGAAACTTTCTAGAAACTACGAAAAATGGTCGTATTATTCGAAATGTCAGCCGCTTTAGGTGAAAAATTCGATTCTGCGACCTAAAATATTGATTTTTGACGAAGATTCGCCGGGCATTTATGTGGAGCAACTTTTTCGAACGATCCAGTTTTTCCAAGAATTCTAAACTTCTAAACTGTTTTTACTATTCCTAAATGTAAATCCTTATCAATTTTGATAAAACATACAAAAAAAAAAATCGATTTTTCGACCAAAAATGGCTGATTTTCAACCTAAACGTCAGCTAAAAAATTTCTAAGTTTTTGATCGCTGTTCCACTTAAACCGCAGTCAAGTTTTACTAAAAACACTATTAAAACAGTTACTATTAAGTTACTAACCGTTTCTGGATCTATATCAATACGCTGCTCCCCACCCCGATAATGCGAAAAAACCCGCTATGTCCTTTCATAGACCAGTCCCCGATTTTTAGGCGCTCGGTTAACATACCCTATCTAAACAAAACCAACCCCGACGCCAGCACCAAAAACACTCGCTAATTATCACTGCTGACCAGACGTGGCTAGTTACGGGCTGGGGACCATTGTCGTTTCCATTCACGGCGATCCACCGCCCGTTAATAGAGTTGTTTTTCGGGGCGCCAAGCGTGAAGTCCGCCGCTACGGTGGTGCTCATCGCCACCATCACGGCTCGCCAAAGGGCACTTTAGTACAGGACGCGCCTTTAGCCGTCCGGGCTCTGTGGGGCGGCGCCGCCCATATTAAAAACCCAGAAAATCTACGTTTTATTCTAATAACTTTTTGTATATGATTTCGAATCTTTGGGAGGCGTGGGAACTTGGTAGAGAAAAAAATTATCTATCGAACTGTGTGGGCCGCGTTGAGAGTTCTCACCAAAATAAGGAGATTTTGAAGCCTAAAGTTTCCGAAATCTTCGACCCAGCTGGTTTATGGCTAGTTTTTCAGCCTGTTGTTATCAAAATACGATGAAATTTCGCTAAAAAGTTCGGTAGAGTTACGATACATGCTTTTGAATTCATAACCGAAGTGCTGGAAAAGATAAAACCTTGTCCGATGGCGTTTATAATGTTTTGAAGCTAGCACCTCAACCCAGAATTATTTGAGCCTTATATGTCGGTTTTATAGGAAACTATATCCATTTAATGTGGTATTTATCGAAATCTACTGAAGTATGCACCACCTAGTAAGAAAATAGCTAAAAAAGTCAGGCACTTGGACGCGTGGAGCACGAGCTTCATGATCTAAATCTCAATTTTCCTAACATCCACGCACCAGAGCGTACATCGTTACTAAGCCGAAAAAATTTTAATAGCAAGCTTGAAAGCGGATTATGGAGTGAAAATTTGACTGGTTTCGGAATTACTTTGCTAAAACGAGTTCTGGCCGCTTTTTGCTATTTCCTGGGGCTCTTTCGCAAGTTTTATTTGATTTTGTGATACAGTAGACTTTCGGTGATACTATGGAGCAAAAAGCAAAACAAAGATCATCAAAATGGGGGAGTTTGCGTCGGAGAGGAACCGAACCCGGGTGGTGTGGGGGGCTCGCCTGGGAGGTTAACCCACTATCCGTGGGGAGAGGGCCCGCACCCCCCAGAAGTGCGTTTTTGGTAAGGCCTGACGAGCCGTGCCATGGCGCCAAAACTATCAAGACTACTTCTCAAAATCTCTGATGTCAAAAAACACGAACATGGGCGCCCTACGTCTTTGTTGGGCGCCAATCTAATCGTCGCGATAATGCGGTTTTCCGTTGGTGATCGACGATTAAGCGGGGAGGAAGGCTGACGGCCTAGGAAAAAAGCCGTCGGCCGGGAGCTTTGTAGCGCAGATGCTACGCGTACGTATATAGCTAAAACTGCAAAAGAAAAAAGCCCAATTAAATGCAAAACGTAAAGAAAAGGAATTTATACACACTAAAAATCTATTTTTCTTTAAGTTTTTAGTGAAAAACCGCAAAGTCAAGAGATTTATCTACGAAAAAGTCCATTATTTTGAAGTTTGTAGTCCAAAGCGAAGCTCATATTAAAGATAGAAATAAGAAATTCATATTAAAAACCTATTTTCGTGAAATTTCTAGTTTTTAACCTCATTAACCGCTCCTAATACTGGATTTTTATACTCAATATCTCTACTTTGTAGCAGTGATGCCAGGCTGAATAATATACCACAAAAATACGCCAAAAATAGGAAGATTTTTCGCGTGGGTCAACAATAGGCAAACTAGAAAACCCACCGGTAGTTCCCAGAAAAATTGATGACGATCCGCGAGAGCAGCTGCATGAGCTCGGGCAGCAGCAGCACGAACAGCGCAAAACGGGAGAACGTGTCTAGAAATGGGGGAGTAAACGCGTTGAAATTGGCTGACCGGATCTGAGCGGGAAGCGCAGTACGCATAGCAGCGTGGGCACGAGTAGGCAGCCCTCCACGACGCACACCACCAGCTCGATTTCCGTGCCTGAATGTGATTGAATTAGGGCAGAACTGGGTGGGAAATATAAAGTTGCTCAATTTTTGCATAACTATGAATTCCGTTAATTTTTCTAAATTCCTAAAATAATTTTTCCTAAAATTTGGCAGTTGCCTTGGTTCTTGAAAAAGCTCGAAAATTGAGCGTAGAATTTATTTGTATTAGTCTAGTTACATGTCTAGTAACTTAAAATGAAGTGTTTCAAAAGTCTTTTTCATAAAAAAACTATATTTCAACTAGAAAAACCATAAAAAATTTCCGAACAATCGATATTTTTATATTTTTGCAATAAAAATATCTGGATTTTCACGTTTTGGAATAGTAAAAAAACGTGAAAAACACTTGCATTATTTATGTGTCAAAATTTAGATCCTAAGGAAAATTTTTCCCCACCCCCGATATTGCCAAAGAACCAAAGCGCTTACCGGCGGTGGCCATAGACGAGCAGCCAACGTGTCGACCTCCTTGGTGTTGCGTTAGTGATGTGTAGCGGGCAACCAAAACTAGTTCCTGCTATGGATCACTCACTCTCTCTCTGCTGATAAAGCGGCTCCGGTGGTGGGCTAATTGGGGGGAGCAAGTGGTAATGGGCAAGGAGGCAACAGGGTAGAGCTCTTTGATGGGCCCCAGAAAAATAGAGGGTCTCCGAGAAGGACAGGTGGCCCTGGTGGGGCCCTGGTGGGGCCACGCCTTCTCCGCGCCAGGCCCAATTCAACCCGTTGCCACCAAATGAGTGGTTATTATTGCGGGTGTTATAGCGCAGGACTAGCATTGGAGGGCGGCTTTTGAAGGGTACTGGACTGTTAGCGGGGGGTGCGATTTTTAGCAGGACAACTTTTTCCAGTTGTCCTGTACCGTCCTAGAACAACATAAAAACCACTTTGAGAGCATTTTACCTAGTTTTTAGATGGATAAACTTGACAAAAACTTATAAAAATTTTCGAGAATTTTAACTTTTGACCAAAAACGTCAAAAGTATGAGCACAACTTTCTAGCAAAAAAAACTATGAAAATCCCTTCTAAAAAGACACTATTAAGTTACCAGGCACAGGCGGAAAAACAAAATGAGTTTCCCCCTGCTGAAATTTCTAAAAACTAGTATACCCTAAACAACGTGCTTGGCACAATTTCCACGCCATATGCTCATTCGCCTTTATTTAACGCAAAATCATTCGCATCGCTCCTCCTCGCCGGTGGTGTAAATGTCCAGCGCCACTTGCTGCATCTCGTAGACACTCCCGTATTTCGCCGGCCCTATCGGATAGTTGCTGGTGCGCGTACAACTCTAGAAACACAAGCGGGTTCTCGGCACTCGAATTATCTCTATTTTCGAGCGCTTCGACCTACCAACGGATCCGAGACACCACATGTGTGCGTCATCAGAAGATACACGTCATTGCCCATCGTCTAAAACGAAAACTCTCCTTTCTCTTTCCAAGCAGCTTATTTCATCGACTACCAACCTTCACATCATTTACGCCGAAAATCGAAAAGTGACCCTGTTTATCGGATTTTCCACTCGCCAATAGATCGTCCTCACTAACTAAACGCGATTTTTATGGGTCTGCAGACATTCAGGCGTACCCAAATTCCCGTCCCATAGCTCTAGTTGAACGTCTGCTGCCGGCTTTTTCGCGCAGAGAACGTCTCCCTAAATAATCTTACTGAAAGGGAATCACCAAGCGATCACACCGTAACAGTAACGTTGATTCGCCCCCGTGCCGCAACACCAGCCAGTAGAAATGGCAAGGAGAGCAGAAGCGGGACCGTCACCATCGAGAGAACTGGCTTCACACCCGACAGCAGAAAACAATACAGTCAGTGCTTTGTTTCATCGCCGGCGGCCGGAACACGTCTGTTGGAAATATAAACAGTGCATGCCACGGTCATCGTCCACAACAGATTTCCAAATGGCCCCCTATCACCCGCTTACAAACCAAGACAGTGTCAATTTTAGGAATTGCCGCGCTAAATCGTAAATTCAGCTGCTGGAAGCCCAGAAATTGCAAGAACGTTTATTCCGACCTGGGAATGCAAACCATAGAACAAACTAAGGCCATGGATTATACTTTGAAAGGCCATAAACAAAGGGGGACCAAACGGAAAGCAAGAACTGAATAGAATTTTACTAACATTAACGATGGCTAAATAGAGGGGGGAAGGGGTGGGGTAGCAGCAATGCACGTGAGGGTCCGCGTCACGACCATGCCGATCCGTCGTCTATTCAAGGGAGTTCCTCAGTGAAGTCGGTGGTAGCCTGTTCGGCAGGTCTGAGAAGCCGGATGTATTTTGTATCTTGAAAATCGACTCACTTGCCCAATCCTCGGATACAATTGAGAGTATCGTTGATGGCCGCCACCCATTCGTCACAGTATTCGCGCGTGTCCGCAGCGAAGATGACCCTAAATCGTGAAATGGGAAAAAAGCTTCCAATATACCTTTTTCTTTCGAAGATGCTTGGCGTGCACGTAACGAGCATGTCTATGGAGAAGGCATGCGAGCGACTAGTGATTTCTTGCGTGGCCACCTCTACATCTTCGTCGATGCACTTGGACAAATCGAGCTGTGCGATGGCCGTTTTCTCCTCCTCGGGGTCGCGCGGGTCCTTCCAAACGCTGATCAGGCCGAGGCGGAGTACGGCCCAAAAGCGTTCCCACGAGCCGGTGCCGCCAACCATTTGGTACATCGTCAGGAATCCGGCATATTCGACGTCGATTTGCATGGGCATGGTGCTAACTTGGGCGGTGAACTCGATCTTGCCTTCCAATGGCCATTCTGGGTATTCCAGATAGTAGCCATTTGTGCCGGCATCCTCTCGGTTAATCGTCAACATGCCGCAGCATGTGAATTGTCCCGGGTTTGGCAGCGAGTTTTCAGTGCGATCGACCGGCGGGCGCTTGACGCCTCCTGGAAATTCTTATGGCTAGCAAAAATTATCTTACCTGGGCTGAAGAGCGATCGAGCGCGGGCAGCAAAGTTGATGCAAGACGGGTCGATATCCAGCTTGGGGTCGCTCAAGCGCATAGCATACACCTCCAGGGAAATCGTGAAATCCGGTGGCAAGTTAGCGAAACGGATCGACTCGTGGACATAGATGGCCCTCGGGCGCTAAAAGACAAGGTAACTGAAATAGATAAAAAGCCTACGTATTTGGTCACGGTCAACGGAGCCGTCGCCTCTACTTCACCACGGCAACGAAGCAGCACGATGAAGGCGTAGGATGAAGCTAAAAAAAGAACTAATACAAGCTTTATAACTAACGATCCGTTTGTGAGGCGTTGCAGAACCGCGGATTGAGGTGAATGCCGATGTTGCAGACCTGCATGGTGCAGCGCGCGCATTGCGAGATCTAAACAAGCCATCACAGTGATAAACGGAGGGTTACTGGTGGTGGGTAGGGGCAGACACGGAGTAATTCCTCGAGGCTGTTGATCTCGTTCTGTATCGACTTGAGCCTCTCACGAGCAACCAAAAGTGTACGACCGGCCACCAGCTGAAAGGATTCATTCGCAAGAGAGCAAGGAAGCCCGAAAGTATATAGGTCGCAGAAATAGTTACCTCAGCTGGAACACGGTCGCGTTGATCGTTCAAAGCCTTGTGTCGCTTTTTCGACAGCTCAACCACCTTCTCAGACATCTTGATCTGCTCCTTTTGGGCATCCGCTTGAGAGCGCAAGCGCTAAACATCCCATCTTTAACACCAGTTCCAATTAACGAGCCTGAATAGTCTTGCGAAGTTCGGCGGTCGTATCATAAGTTGGCTGCCGGCGCGAAGTCGCCGTAGTGATCGTGGAGAGGAATGTTGAGTCACCCCAACTAAAAAAGGTCAGAAAAGATCCGATCTCCTACGCATCCATTGCTGCTTTGTGCCTTCCTCCAGAAGTCATGCCGAATGTCTGGCGAGGTGTCGATGTGAAAATCGTCGATGTTGTCTTCGCCGCGCCATAAGGAAGAAGCTAAAATAGATAATAAGAATAGGCGACTCCATTACCTCATCATGGTGAGTATTCGGAGACTTGGGCATAAAGCTTGTGGCAAGGTGATCGTTTCCGAGACCCTTCATTGCGCCACCAGCCCCGAGCAGTGTTTCGCGACCCTAAACCAAAATCTTTTATTTGCCAACAATTTCACACGTCATATCCAAACTGAGGGGTCCGAATCGGCACGTTCAAATTGCGGGTCAACGTCGTGTTCGGTCGGGTAGGGGTGCCGAACAAGCCACGAGCCGTGATGGGCGTTTCAGGAGAGAAACGAGATGGCGCGTCCGGAGCTATCGGTGTCGATGTGGCCAAAGGACCCGTACGTCGTGCAGCAGGAGTCTAAAAATAAACGTCAAACCGACCAAAAAACCCTCGGGAATAAACCAGAGCCAATACCGACCCGTGATCCACGCTGGGAGACGTTGTACGGCATTGGTTGTGGCCGAGGCCGGTAGTGACTGTCAGCAAGCGGCGTGTTGGAACGGCCCAGGCATCCCGCCGTGTATTCTTGCTCTTGTTCCTTCAGTTTTCGATCGCCGCCGATGAAACCGATGAATTGGTCGAATTTTCGGCGGATCTTTTCCTTCGGCGAAATCGGCACGTCCTCTTGACGAAGCCGGGCGACGCTCGGTGCAATCAGCCACGGCTTGCTTGGTAAAGGCGGCAGCAGCTCGCTGGTGCGAAAGAGGTTCGGTGGTGTCTGAAATTGACAGAATATTCGAGAACAAGGAGGTGAAAGTTTATCAAAGTCTTGATTTTACCGACCGCATCAGTGTAATCAGAATTTGTAGGTGATACAGGGCGCGTCTCGCGAACGGCCTGCTGGATGGGCACTTGCACGACGATCGACTCATTGTGCTTGGGCAACGTCATCGATCTTTGCAGTGGATGCTACACAGATTTAATTGAAAATAGTCAGATACAAACCACAGATCCCGTGAGCGGAGCAGTTCCCAACGTGTTGACGACAACCTCGCATGGATTCTTGTTCTGCTGGAGTCGCCGGTACGCCGAGAGCTAAACGGTCGAATAGGGTCGGGGAACAAACTACCGAATGAACGAGCCCTTTAGAGTCGGGATCAGTCTCCGGTGGATTGTTGAGAGGCACCTCGATCTCCTGCTTCCGTGACGGGTGAAGCGCAGAGATCTCCACGGTATCGTTGTTCAGCTGGTCCAAAGTCGTCATTCCATGTTCATCCTGGAAAACTGAGAGTTGCTAGGCAAAAACCGCTGGGGAAAAATCAAGCATGAAACGAACCTCGACAAAGTTGAACATTTTGTCGATTTCGCCCTCGTATTGAAAAGTCTAAGAGATCGTAAGGGAGCTAGCGAATAGGTACCTGACGACTGGCCATGCTATGAAACGAGCAAGACTGTGCAGATGGTGGGATGTTGCGCCCATATTTCGGGTGAGCATCGGGGCTCAAATCTGCCACTTCCACAGTCACCGGGAACGAAGCATCCCGTCGTGAACGCAACGTGTTGTCGCCTTCTCCGACCTTGCGAGCTCCCATCGAATAGCTGCTCTCGCGCTAAATAAAAATTTAGGCAATAATCGGACACAACTCACATTTATGGCAGGAGCAAAGTCCTTTCTCGTCGGTGCTTTGTTGATTTCGGCATAGATTGGCTCCTTGAACGCGCTATTGGTGGAAGGTCGGCGGTGGAGGTTGGTAGTCGCCTTTTGGCTCTGAAGAACTGTAAGTAAAAACAGTCACACGTACCTCAACCCTGATTGGGACGCGGCGGCCCTTTCCAGGAGATCCGACATATGTCGCATCACTAACGGAGTCCTCCCCTTGAATGGTGGAAAGGCTGAAAGAAAAATAGTCTAAACAAATAGGATCACCTTCTGTTTGAGCCGGAGTTCGATAACGGCAAGCCCGACCGGCCATTGTATGGAACATGGCCATCACCAGAGCCGTTTTGCGCTTGCATCCCGTCTCCAAATGCGCCCGGCATATGCTTCTATAAAAATATGCACGCATTTGAAACCGGGTGTCACCCTCATCGAAGAGCTGCTCATATGCTTTTGCCAACGGCGTACAGGTTCCTCCACCAGGAAGCTGTCATCTGAAAACCATTTTGAAAATGTAATTTAGAACCACTACCTTTAGTCTTATTGTGCGGAGCGTAATAGGCGTCTTTGTTTAGATCCGGAACCGAATCGTAGTGCCGCAGAGTTGATTCTAAAAACGACTAGAATCTGCGACGCATTGCTACCATTGCCATCCTTTTGCGACACGCTTCTTCCATCCCCGTGGTGTGGTTGGTTATGGTCGACAAATGTGCGAGCGGGTGCCTGCCAGCGGTTCTAAACCCATATATTTGCTGTTGTTCATAGCGTTACCAAATTGGTTTGATTCATCATGCTCATCCTCTCAAACATATCCGCCATATGTCGCGCATAGCCAGATGCTCGGGGGAGCGACACTCTAAATGGAAATCAAACGAGTAATCATGATCATACCCTGGTGCACTAGATCCTTTTTGAGCTGCGGCGCGGGTAGCAGCCACAGTGGGTCGTTGAGGCATATCAGTGCGCGTCGGCGGCGGGTTCTGGAGAACGATCGGCACTCTGAAGGACGAACGAGTCGACGAATTCTAAAAGAAAACTAATAAGACGAGTCATTATGGTCACCCGCTGTAGAGGTGAAGATGTCGCATTAGTATCTCGTAGCGGTGTCGACGTGTAGTAAGAAGAGCGCTGCTGTCCCGGTGAGAGAAGACTTTTCGGCGTGACAGCTACTGGAGGCTTGCTTTCCTCGATCACTTGCATACGCAATTCAGCGGCATGTTGACGACTTCTCAGATCTTCCACAGAAGGCTAAACCCGAAATATTTCCAAAAAGATAGGCTGTAGTACCTGCTTTTGGGAGATAGCAGACCGAGTCTTGATCGGCACCGTGTACTCGCGAGCAGAAGAGCGTGAAGTATGGACGCGAGGGGGGCTAGCCGGGGCCACCTCCACCTCGGGCACCTCGGGCACGGTCTGTGTCTGAAAATCAACAGAATGGTGAATCCAAAGTATAGCCATACCTTGAAGCGGGCGCACTTCTCAAAGGTATCACGCCGGGAAAGCTTCGGAGTCATGCAACGTTCGTCGGAAAACACCGAGCCGCCCAGGTAACGAGAGCGAGTGCTCTTCGGCTAAATAAAAATTATAGTTGGAACCCAAAGGCATCCTACAGTTGCTCCAGTGATCTCATGCTCCACGGTCTCGGCCATTGACGAGTCAATGCTGAATTGAGACTTCCAGATTGGGCCGTTGCCGTTCACCGGAGTGGCAGCAAAGTCAGTTATATCGGCAAGGCACACCTAAACTTAGGATTGAGCTCACAAGGAAAACGGACATTTTCAGATTCCTGTATAGAAATGTCAGTATTGTCGCCGAGATAATGGCGAGCCGTAGAGGTAAGTGGAACCGGTGTTGCCTTATGCTCGATCGTAGGGCGAAATTTCTAGAAAGAAGTAATCTCGTAAAAAAATCAATGTACCGGTGCATTGGGCGTAGCGCAGTCCACCGAGAAATTGTGCAACTCCGGGACGGAAGCAAACTGCACGTCGGTAGTGGTCTAAACAATCATCAGCGCACCAAATTAGACTCAAACCTGTTCAATGCGACGTTGCGCGTAAGACTGCATGTGAAGAATGGTCACTTGGCTTTCGGCGCTTTCCGAGGGCACCGCTTTGCCAGCATCAAACGACATCTTTTGAGACGTTATCGCTGATGTCCTGAAAGCACGAATGTGTAGAAACTCGGGAAGATTATAACACGAATGAAGCAGAAATCATGTTGCAGGCTTGAGAAGAAACCAAGTATTTGCAGATCGATAATTTGTACGAAAAAAAAAAACTCAAATCAATCGGGAAACGGAGAAATCGAAAATGAGGAGCCTTTCCCCGCGGCTACGATCGACCGCGCCACGCGAAACCGTAATTTGTTTTGTGTCGTAGGGTTTTCGTGCGAGGCGAATATTTCCAAAAAACCCGAAAACTTGTTGAAAAATCATTCAAAAAAGTTTCTAACGATGTTCAGGGAGTTGACGAATCAATTTATTGGCCCGTACGGGTCGCCTTCGGCTCTTCTTCTACCTAAAATCAGGGAAGTATTGGCCGACACAAGCCCGGCCGGTCCGCCGTGAGTCTAGAATTTGATACAACGCCCAAACAGATGAAAATTGCGGCTTTTGGGCAAGGTAACATGTGCCATCTCCATAAGGCTCTCTTATTATCTTTCCACTTTTGGTTGCGTGTGGCTGCATTTCGTGTATTTCAGAGAGTTAGTATGCAAAGCAGGTAATAATATTTATTCAATAAGCGCAAGATCAATGAGTCAGTGAGAAAAAAAACCAGTAAAAAGGGCATGCGGTTCCAGAAAACTATTCGGCAAACTACACGTTTTTCTGAATGACTTCGACCACCGCGACGCCGACGTAGCCCAGGATCGTCGGGGTTGGAGCGGTGGGGGCGGGTTGAGGCTCGGCAGCGGCTAGCGCGGCGGGGTCTTCAACTGCCGCGGCTGGCGTCTCCTCGTGCTGCCCGTCGAGGCGATCAGCCTCAGCCGCCTCCTCCTCCATTTCCTGTAAAACGAGTTATTCAGGTGAGGATCAATCTCAATTATTTCGCCGCTCGGAGTTCGTATTGTGTGTTAGGTTCTAATTACCGAGTCACTGGATAGGGTGGTGCTGGCAGAAGAGGAAGACGTGGACGAGACTGTCGAAATTGAAGTATTCGCATCCGGGGGAATCATCGTGAAGCGCTCCTCGCTAGCGACGCGCATGGTCGAGACGGGGCCGGATGGGTCTTGCTGAAACGGGATGAGGTTTTTTTAGTATCCTGATCGAGCAAAGCTCTTTGGTATTAACAAAAAGATTCGAGTAAGCTGCAGTCCGTCTGGAAATCCTACGCACCAGAGGGCCCAGGAGGAGAACGCCATTCGACGGCATGAAACCGGCCTCGTCAAGGCAGAGCTCCCTCAAAGCCTTCGTGCTCGCCGTATCCGCATGCGCGATTTCTCGAGCCCGTTGCATCTGAAAGGCAGTCTTTCAGTAGTCCGCTGCAGCTGATTGGAGATGATCACGTCAACTCACCAAGGAATTAAACAACCTGCTCGATTCGAATAGTCGCGTCTCGGCGGCCGCCAAGGCTTTTTTCGCGTCCGGGATGGTCGTCTCCCATTTGAGTTTCGCGATCTATAAAATCATCGTGATGTGCAGGAATATTTATTATACCTTATTTAGATCGGCAATATCGGTGTCGAGGTACTGGGCGATCGTCTCATACGGCAAGCCAGCGAGCAATTGGCACGGAGGCGCGGGATAATCCCCGACTTCCTAGAAAGCAAATTTTTCCTGGATTTTGTGTCCAGCAAATCCATTAAAGCCATCCGCGACCACCGAACGGCCCTAATATGGCTTGGCAGTTTTTCGACCCTGTTTTTGACCCCATCTGAAAGAGCATGGTCGAATTAGTGGAGTGGCACTATTTTGAGAATTTTAAAAGTTTAATTTCGGGGTTAAATCGGACGTTAAAGTTGCCAATGTCGAAAAATTATCTCGAAAGTGACTTGAGGAATTTGCTCAAATTTGGTGTGTATGTAATTTTAGACCTGATCATTTTCTAATACATCGCGAAACACAAAAATGAGCGGAACATGGTTAACTCACGTACTCGAGATGGTTTCCGAATCCATAAAAACGGCCTTCTGCGCTCCATGAAAATAGCATAGAAAGATGCGCCATATTTTTACGTCGATAGTGTCGTTTACCGGAAACCAGCTCCTCCTCTTGCTACAACGCGTTTTATACGCCAAAAAGCGCCAAAAATGGCCCCAAAAATAAAAAATCTCCGGTTCAGAAAAAAAGAAACAGATCGCATCTAGGGAGAGCTGAACGATTGAAAAGAGCAAAAAAATTCGGCTTCTGAGGGCTGGGGTTGGACCCGCGCGCCTCCGTATTGGCACGCCGACGCTCTTGCGCCACGGGGCTCCAGGCGGAGGTCGGTTCGATTCGAATTGTAAGCCGAATTTCTTTTTGCTCTTTTTATCGGCTGTCTTCTAGTGCGATCTGTTGTCTTTATTTTCCGAACGGAGGTTTTGTTTTTGGGGGCCTTTTTGGGTTGGCGTATTGTTGTAGGGGGGGTGGTTTCGGAATTATCGATATTGGCGTTTCTTTTTTGGGCGGTTGGTTGCTGCGTGTTTGTTCGTTTGTGTTTCGCGTGTATAATGATCGGCGTTAAATTAGGTAATTGGCCCTGGTGATTTTTTGACTTGGCTGTTTTTGCTTTGTCTTTGGTGGGGTGGCTGGGCTATATTTAAACAGTTCGAAGCTCTGCTAGGTCATACTATAGATAAGTGTTAGTTATCAACTTAATTAAACCCACGGCAAACTGGTCAGCCGGTGGCTGCTTGCACGGCCGGCCCATCGCGTAGTCGTCCAAGTAGGCGTTGCGCCAGCAGTCATAGGCCCCCTTCTTCTCCGCACAGGCCAGCTTCTCGATCCGATCTTCCAGCCAATAGTGCAGCATCACCTGTAAATACGCTCGTATGACTGTTTCTCTCTCCTAGAAAAGCAAAAGTAAGGGTCCACTGTAGAATCTAGCCTCTTTTAGCTGATCGTAGCTTTGTAGGCTTGCTATTCCGGCTGTGCACGCCTTTACCGGCGCAACCAAATTTGGTTATTAGGAGGTGAAAACGATAGCAGCCCGGCAAGAATTCCCTGGAGGCGTCCATTCCAAAGCTTCGCTATCCCCATTACGGTGTTTTTTGACGGCTGCCGGTGATACCTCCGATTCGACGACGGCCCGCGCGGAGCAACTTCTGTGCGATCAGCGCACATCTTCTCGAAGGCCGTTTCCTTGTCAGTAGTGTGAATAGTGCGGTCCTGAAAATAAATCCTTGGATGAAAATAAGGGGACTAAAAAGTGCACAATCGTGAACAAGGAAACTCACAAAAATCATTGTTCCGAGTTTGGAAGTAAGTAGACTAAATTGTTATTCGCGGTAATTTCTTTTATTGCCAGAAACCTATGCAAATGCAGAGCTTCCGGTGGGCGAATTCGTAGCCGAAACGAATTATGCGTCTTGATTATGCAAAACGTATAACTAAAGAATTAAAACACGCAAGAACTATGTCCAGCCTTTTTCTCGTTTTCCTCCCGTTTTAGAAGTTCGATCCACGCGCGTGCAGAGCCACCGAGCAGCAAAGCTTTCCGTCGCCGTGGAGCCAGCCACGCAGGTCAAACGGATAACAAATACGCATACAACGGTTTGAATGACGCCTTTTTTAGGGGATAACGAACGCCCGCGTAGAGCACGGCGCAAATATAATTGGCGAAAGTTCAACGGGAACCGGTAAAGCACGTTCTATGCCCGATGAATTCTTGCAATTGGCATTTTCTGATCCATTGGTACTATTTATTGCCCGAACCAGCGACACTAACGTTATACGTGAAATAGTAATACGTGGAGAGCAGCACCTTTGGTATGTGGTGGGTGGAGATCAGGCGTTTGCTGCAACATTCGGGGCCCTAGGAGACCGCGTTGTTGTTAGAGGATGGGCGTTCGTCTACCTCTTTTAGTTTTCGAAAGGATGCCTGGGTGCCCCATGCACGATCTACAACATTTGTCGAGTTTTCCGGGTCCACGATGGCGGCCACGTCGATTGGCAGCATCCTGAGGGTACCGAATAAATAGTATGATTTTTTTCCACTAACATGTGCCTTCCGATCTCGTCGACAGCTTCCAGCGGGGTCACGCCGGCGTTTTTCAGGCACCAGCCAACCTAAAAGGTTTGAGTATTTGCGAATAGACATTTTTTAGCGAACCAACCTCGGTATCTTCATGGAAATAAGTAGTGTTTCGACATTTTGCGCCATCGTCCATCACCGAGACGAAACTGTAACGCTAGGAAATCGGTTCTTTGGCATTATCGGGGGGGGTGGTAACCAAAATTTTTCTGTAAGTTTGGAACCGCCGGTTCTTTTATTAGCCAGTGTTTCAATAGTGAGTAAAAGCTAGCTCTATTTAAACTAGAAAAACTATCCAAAAATGCTGCAAAAGTCGACATATTGGTAGCAACAACCATTTTTGGGCGAAAAAAAAATCGATATTTTTTGTATTTTTAATCATAATTTGTAAAGTTGTACGTTTAGGAATAGCAAATAGACTTTTGAGAAACACGTCAGCTAGTTTTATTAGAAAAATTGAGTCCTTAGAAAAAAGTTTGTTCCCTCCCCCCGATAATGCAAAAGAACCCGGAAGTCTATTCAATTTCAATCCTTACGCTTTTATTGCCCCGCGAGACATAATATATCCAGACCCGCCGCTTGCATAGGTAAAGTTCGACGGATATACCTAAAACTTAGTTTTTAGGGGATTCTGGCCCCTCACTTTTTCCATATTGATGAGCAGGGCGCCGAGTGAAAATGGCGCGTCCGGGTCGTGGCCTTTCAGGCGGTCTTTCAGGTTCTCGATGACAAAGAACGTGTCGTCGTCCGTTTTCAGGAACCAGTCGTAGTCGTTCTGAGGGTTGAGTTCGAGCTTTACCGGTTTCAATTTCGTTTAGTTACCAAGAGTTCAGCGTGGACACGCCGGATGGCTAAACGGATTCGGTCCCAGATCCAGATGTAGTTCCTCGTATCGTGCGTGGCGTTGCTAGGTTTTTTTTTGGTACTGGTCTATTAGCAGGGGAGGGTTTTTTTGTCCATGCCTATCTGTTCTTAATAAATTGCCTATTTTTGTATTGTTTTTCATAGTTTTTGCTAGAAAGTTAAAAAAATGTTTGTGAAAATTCGAAATTTTTGACTTTTTCGGTAAATTTTTGACCAAAAGATCAAAAGTTTTGTAAGTTTATATAGGTTTTTCAAGTAATTTTTATATGTTATATGTAGAATGCTATAAAATGGTCTATATTTTGTTATAGGACCGTACAGGTTTAATCGAAAAAGTCCCCCCTGCTAACAGTCTAGTACTGAGGTTTTTATAGTTAGAGTGTACGTACAATAATTTAGATTGTTTTTGAGACCGGCAACTGGAGTGAATTTACCCGAATTTCAGCTCCCAGAATGGCGAGATTCCAGCCTCGGTCACCGGGTCGACAAACGGCGTCATGAAGGCATGGCCGTCACAATGCCGGGCCCACGTCGCCTGATAAACGGTGAACGTTTCGACGATAATTTGGTTTCTTCAGGTACTTGCAAAATTACCAACATTGATGGCGCGCGCCTTGGCGCGGCTCCTGGCGCCGGGCATGGTGTTGATCAGGCAGAAAACGCGTGGCCACCCGACCTCTACGTTTTCTTCTTTCACGCGGTGTTCAATTTGAGGGGCGATAGTTGGACACGGCTCTATAGATGGTTGTTATTTTGGGTTTGGAAAGCTAGTTTGTTTTTTAAAAAAGTTACTAAGTAATTTCTAGGGACAGTTTTTGTTCACCGTCTTACGAAATTGACAGTAGAAAAGTTAACGTAATCCATTCAAGATTTCGGTACTCCCTTTAAAAAGTGGCGCGTCTGTTTTGGGGTGTTCCTTCATCCAATAACGAGGTTCGTCACGGAGTGCACTGAAATTTAGAAACGTTTTCTTCGGGTTTTCCTACCTATAGTACAGAGGAGACCGGTTAGCGGTTAGCAGGTACCCAAGGAGCGCGCCGAAGATAAACCCCACCCATCCGTTCCTGAAAAAATCAACTGACAAACAAACACGTTTTGCTATCAGTTTGTCGAAATCCACTTTGTCGAAAGATGATTTTCTCAAAAATCGTTTTACTGAAAATCATTTTGTCGACATTTAATTTAGCTATGCACCGAAATTTCGATTTGCGAAATGTCTGAGACGAATAATCGAGGCGAAAAAAGGCATTGAAATTTCCACAAAACGTTATTTCGAAAAATGATTTTCGAGAAGATGAAAATAAGCCGACAAACACAACTTCTCGCGAACTACCATAGGAATCGAGCGGATCGGTCGGTTAGCGTAGCGAAGCGGAGTCGTTGCCAGATCCTGGATAGCCTTGACATTGTCGATTATGGTCCGGAGAGGAAAAGCTGATCATTGACAGCGGCCGTATGCGGGAACTTCTATTTACACAGCCGGCGTGTTGGTACGTGTTTCTCTTTTATGTAATTGGAAGCTAACGGGGGGTTTTGAGGTTGCGGTTGCCACTGTCTGGCAAAGAGGAAAATTTAAGAATCCTAAAAGATAAGTAAAATCTTGTTTTAGCCATCGCATTTTTGAGCCGGCAGGATTAACGTGTCGTAATGGCCTCTAGATCCGAAATCTCGGGGAAATGAAATGAAATGATTGCCTGATTAATTTTAGGGTTATTTGGCGTTATCGGGGGGACCAATTTGTTATACAGTTCTTGAAATGCCTAGTAACGTAATAGAAAGTATTTTTGGTCAAATGTAACTCTAATTCAACTAGAAAAACTATGTAAAAACTTAAAAACATTGTAAATGTAAAAATTACCGTCAAAAACGGCCTTTTGGCCGAAAAATCGAGATTTCTTATTTTTTAATAAAAATTTGTGATGGGAATACGTTGTAGATTCGTAAAAAAACAGTTTAGAAACACTTCCGCGATTTCCCCCCTCCGATAATGGAAAAGAACCCGAACACGTAAACACATTTTTAAAGTCAAGATTTTGGTCGAAAATCCATATTTTTGTAGTTTTAATGTTTATACAATTAAAATTTCATCCGAAAAAACGTTAAAGTCAGAAATGCCGTCGGAATTTGAAAATTCACGGGTTTTTACGACTGTTTGAAGGCGCTGAAGGGCATCCCGCGCGGTCGCGTTGCGGCTGTGCCTGGCGATTTGCCAGGTATCCACGGGTTGACAATGTTTTTTTCTTTTCAATTGAAGCACCTCATCCCGAGCCAGCCGATGATGGACATACGCGAACACTGGCTCCCGCCCGGCTCTCCCCCTTGGGCCCTTCCCGGGGTATGTGAGCGGGGGAAGATGGCGTAATGGGGGATTGGTTTGAAGGGGAGCGTCTCGTACACCTCGTGCTCCCTTTCCCGTCCCTTTAATGCTCTCCTTTTCGGGGCCATTGTCCCCCTAAAGGGGTGCGCGTCGACGGGCAGTAAGCCGATTCCCGCCCGGCCACCCACTGGCGGCTCGGGTGGGTCTTATTGGGCTGCTTCTCCCGCAGGAAGCCCTTGAATTAACTGGAGTGTGCGGTGGGTGGCTCGGGTTATTTTTATTCTTCGAAATATCATTTTGTCGAAATCGCAGTCTTGTGAAGAATTTTTCGCTGATTCCGGCTGGTGGACATTCTTTATTTTCATCATCTCGCTTTTTTCTTTTCTAAATTCCCTCCGGGACCTAGCCTATCTTGTGCAGAATTTTTCGCTGATTCCTGAGCTGTTTTCCGAATTGGCGGAAGAACCCGATTTCGAAAGTTACGACAGTTTTTGTTGCAAATAGCTCAAAATGGTGGGTTCCGGAGAAATATATTCCGGAGAAAAAAACCAAAATCTTAGGTAGAAAAATATGCTCTTTCGGATGAGCTACCCTACGAAGTATTTCACTACATTTTTCGAGGCGTTTAAAATCAAATATTTTAAGCTCGTTTTAAACAAAAACCGTTGTAACTATTAAAATCGGACTCTTCCACAAATTAAAAAAGAGTTTCGAAATCAGCGCAAAATTCTGCACAAGATAAGCCTGGTCCCGAATCGTATTTACAAGGCAAAGGGTCCAGATGCAAAAAATGCAAAATTTCCCCTGCGTAGCCAGCCCCCCGTAAAGAGAACAGTACCATTGCTTTATGATCTTTTTATTTCTTGCCCCAAATCGGGGTTGTTACCGTTATTCGGTGCAGCCGTCTTATTTCCAGCCTAATGCCCGGGCAAACAACGGGTTACTGAAGGGGGGCAGGTGGCGGAAATGAGCTAAGGAAGGGCTTTCGGGGGCCAATAAGGGCCTCGAGTCCACCTTGATTGTTTTGGGGAGGGGCTACCGTAGGTGGAGAAATCGGATTTATAGCGGGTATCCAGTTTCTGATGGCAATTTCCATGGCACGCCTTGGTCTGGCTGTCGCTCTCTCTCTATCTCTCCTTCTCTATCTCAATCTCGCTCTCTGTGTCTCTCCTTCTCTGTCTCTCTCTGTCACACTATCGCTCGCTCTCTGTCTGTTTCTCTGTCTCTCCCTCTCCCTCTCTGTCTCTCACTCTCTCTCTCTCTCTCTCTCTCTCTCTCTCTGTCAATCTCTCTCTCGCTCTTTTTCTCTCTCTCTCGCTCTCGCTCTCTCTCGCTTGCCTAGCTCGACCATGACAGGCTTTTTTGCGGATCCGCTATCGGCGATGCTCGGGGTGGAGTCTGTCATTACCCAATTAGTCCTAATGCACCCCTACCGGAAGGGAGAAGACCCCTAAGGGGGTAGCGGCTGCTTTTGGCAACTGCCCCCCTTGTCTCCAGGGCACATCCCAACCAGCCACTCCCACAAACTGATTTGCCCCCTTTGTTTCGTAGCCGTCGGCTTTTCATCATACTTGCAGGCCCAATTTATCGAAGTTTTTTGCAACCTGGTAAACTTTCCGTGTTTTAAACGGACCGGAAATTGCAAGGACCGACCCCTTTTGTCGATTAGGTTTCTAACGCTACGCGGCGCGCCAAACGACGTCTGTGTGTTGCCTATCAAATAGAAATAGATGGGGGATATTTCATGAAATTGACTTGCCAAGCCCTTAAATCGGTTCTGATATGCATCCCACCTCTGAAAGCTTTCTGTCGCTCTCACTCCCTCTCTCCCTCTCTCTCGCTCGCTCTCTCTCTCTCTCGCTCTCTCGCTCTTACTCTCTAGCTCGTAAGCACCTAAAAAGAATTTTGTCTTCCGGTAAACTATCAAATTTGCTATCATATCTCCACCATCCCTCTCGCCGACACTCTCCATCTCTCTCACCATCTCTTTCTCTCTCTCTCTACCCCCCTCTCTCTCTCTCTCGAAAATACCCATCGTATTCTTCCACACAAAGATGCGTCTCGCTGCCGATCCGTGCTTCCGGGCCCCCTCCCCTTAGCTCTGGGTCCTGAATCGTGGGCTGATTGGATTGGATTGGAGGGTAGAGGAGTGGCTGGGAAAGTGTTGCTCCTCACTCCATCTCGCCCCCTATCTCTCGCTCATCCCTTTCATCGGCCCTTCTGGCGTCAAGTCAAAAATGTCTAGTGGCAGATGGGATGTCTGGCGAGTGTTGCGGTTGCCTTATAAGGGTGTAAAAGCAGAGAAACGGTAGTATTTAGAAAAGCGGAAAAACTTTAAGAAAAACGGAAGGCTGTTTGGGAAAGTTTGCTTTTTACTTTACATTACTTTTATACCCACACGAATTTCCTGTCGTAATTCCGCTCTAGGGTCCGCAAATACTTAGCTATTCTAGGAAAAATTTGCATATTTCAAACAGCAAACATGGCCAAAGTATTTGCCCGATTCCAGGGAGCTTTGGCTTTATCGGAGGAGGGGGTATCAGAGGGGCAACCAATTTTTTTAGTCAGTTTTTTAACTAGTTAATTTTGTAGTAGATTAATAAGAGTTTTAAATTGCTTTTAATACTCCTAGGCAGAAACTTTACAAAGTTTGGATTAATAAATATAAAAATACCGATTTCTCGACCAAAATTTCGCTTTTTACACAGTTTTTGAAGATTTTCGTTTGAAATACAGTTAAATATTGCTAAAAAGGCACTTAAAACGCATACTATCACCTCCATAGAAATTTCTAGAATTTCTCGATTCTCGAAATAGCTCCAGAAGTTCTGGACCAGAACTATTGCAAGTTCACGCGTTTTCACGTCAAAAAAGGGCTTAAAAAATTCCGGGTGCGGTGGCGTTGCGGCCATTTGCCAGGAATCAACGCTGAGGGGGGATCAGACTTTTCAGTCCCTTTAAACGATCACCCCCTATAGCCAGTGTGTGAATGAGACTCTGAACCGAGTAGTGCCAGCCAGTCACCCATCCCCCTCCCATCAACACGCACTTCCGGTCTTCGGCCGGTTGCAGCTCGTCGTCGTCGTGTCGCTTCAGGGCTTCTTCTTCGCCGCCCGGCCACAAGAAATTTGGGGTCCATTTTTCGGGTCTCCCCCCTCGAGGCACAACTTCCCCCCTCCATGCCACCCACCCGGCTACTATCGACGGCTACTTCTCGGTTCAAGGAATGGATCAAATTGATGCTGACGATTTTTTTAAAGGGACCGTGAAGGCGGGATTATCATTTTTTATGTCATAGATTTTCAGCAAATCATTTTTCGTCACTAATTTTCAGACTTTCCGATTTCATAACGTCGAAATTTTTTATATGGCATTTGGGGGATTTCCTGAAATTTAAAATGTCGAAATTTCGGCATTAATAATAGTAACTATTTTTATTGAGTTTCTAGCGCAATTAGCTAGAGTGAAAGGGGAAAAACCAACCGAAAAAAGCGTAGAATCGGTTTTCCGGTAGAAATTTTGCTAAGAAACGGTCATTTTTGGGTAAGAATTTGTATTTTTTGTGTTTTATGACATTGTTCAAGTTTTAGCGTCCAGGAGCAAGAGAAAAACGTGTAGAACGATGCTTGTAATTTTACTAAAATTAAATTGAAAATAAACCACTATTTTTTAGAAAAAAAAGCATGCTAAGGAAAAGTGCGCCCCCCGCTAACGCCGAAGTACCCTAAATTCTTTCACTAATTTATGACATGACTGACAACTGGTCAACGACGCTCGCTCGGGGCAGAAGCCTCCAATTTCATTTCTGCATTTCTGAATTTCGGGGGGTGCTGGGGATGGGTGTCTCCCGTTTCGGAACGTTGTCTGCATATTTTGGTTTGAAAACCGATCTCCCTTCTGCCGGGGGCACCAATTTGGTATGTCCCCCCATCTCACCCATCTTCTTCCGTTTCTTCCGCTTCTTCCCGTTTGATTCCGGGGGACCGGGGGAATTCCAGGGGGCGCCTTCTGTCCCCCCGGCTTCGTCGTCGGCTGCCTATAATGAGTGTTGCCCCCCCCGAATTTCCTGCCATGGGCACACATTTGCATAGATAATCTACAGGGGCTGTGGGGGGTTGTTCGGGCTTCTGGCCCTTGGCCTGAGCATGAGGTCGTGGATTAGCCAATTTGGCTTCAATGGACCGTTTTGAGTAGCGTTTCGTACTCTTGTCTCTGTTTCCGAGTGCATGTTTGTGGATTTTCTAAAGTCATCTACGTCTTTTTAAAGAACACTCTACCGATATTTTTAACTTGTTTTTTGGTGATTTTCCATACCTATCTGACCAGAATGGCATCAAAATTTCTAAAATATTGATTTTTTGTGCTTTTTTATTGACAAACTGTGTAAAATGATACAAAAATCGTTTAGATTCCCTTATCGAGCCCTTCGGGATTGCTGGGGAATAATCGCTTTCCTCTCTACCCCTCCCCCTCCGCTAACAGTCCAGTACCTAAAAACTCATAGAAATAGCTTTTTGGATATTCACTTTTGCCGAAATGTGTAAAAAATTCGAAAATCGCAAAAAATCAATTCTAGCACTTTCGAGAATCTCTAAAATTTATTGGGACCGTTCTCATACCTTCTTTGCATTTGGAAGCCTATCAAACGCCCTAAAACCCCTCTAGTTTTTATCACTATAAGCGAAAGGGGTGCGCCTCCCCCCACCGTAAAGAAGCAAGTACCACGTTTTACAAGCTTTCTAAGTTTTTGCGTTTGAAAACCGCGTTTTTGACAAAAAAAGCGACAATCATAGCTCAGCCTTAGCTTTATATCTTCGAAAAGCTGGAGGTTTGGGGTAAAATTCCGCAAAGTTCTTTGCTAGCTGTCCTACCAGGCGGTTATTTCCGACTTGCGAATCCCTTTAGCCACATTTCTCGGGCCCATCGTCTCCCCGGCGAGGACAGCGGCCCCACCAGGGGTCTTGACCAATTTGGGGTGCTTTGTGTCGCGTGTCGGCGGCTCATTATGCTCATCTTCGAAGGGAAGCAGCAATGGGCAGTGGATGGCCACCCCCCACCATGGCTTCATGGTGCCCATGCCGATCCACGACATTTGACACCCACCACCAATGAATGTCCCGTTCCGCCGCCAGAACGTTTATGTCGATGCACAATTAGGGGGAACGGCTCATTTTATTGGCCAAATGCCTTCTAAAAATGATTGGATGGCCAAAATTTAAGTATTGGTGAACCCTAAGCCTAAAGCTTAAACCTAATAAGCTGTAAGCTAAGCCTGAACCTCAGCCCAAGCCTAAATTAGGCCGAAGCCTAGGCCAAAGCCCAATCTAAGCCTCGGCCTAAGCCTAAGCTAAGCATAAGTCTAAACCTAAGCCTAAGCCTAAGCCTAAGCCTAAGCCTAAGCCTAAGCCTAGGCCCAAACCCAAGCCCAAGCCTAAGCCAAATCCTAAGCCTGAGCCCAACCTAAGCCTAGGCATAAGCCAAGCTGAGCCCAAGTACGGGTTTTACGTCACTAGGCACATCCACAATCCTAGGGAATATGCTTCTATCGATCTTTCCGGAATTATACTCTCCCCCGCCCCGATAATGCAGCAGAACCACCATTTAGCATTATTAACTTTCCTTACGTTTTTGGCTACGTTTTCTCTCTACAATTTCACAACTAGAACATTTGCTTTTTTTCAGGGAGACCAACTTTCCCCAGCCAGCCACCGGCCATGAGTCCGACTCGCCAATAGTACAGCCAAAATGCGGCATTTTTCGTTCGGGCTCCAATTGGTCGGCTTCGCGCTGGCCATCGAGCTGGGTGAGCCGCACTCTTCGTAATTTTTCAATTTTTTTCACATCGCAGGCCCCCCCAAAACTACTAGAAGAACCGCCGAACGAGGTCTGGTTCCAAGATAGTCCACCCGACGCCACCTCCGCCACCCCGCTCACCCTCAAATGTATCGCATCGGAAAATACGGAGACGTGAGTGTTGGTTTAGGCTTGGGCTTGGGCTTCGCTTTCGGCTTGGGCTTAGGCTTAGGCTTGGGCTTAAGCTTGGGCTTGGGCTTGGGCTTCGGCTTGGGCTTGGGCTTAAGCCTAGACTTAGGCGTAGGCTTAGGCTAAAGCTTGGGCTTGGGCTTAGGCTTCGACTTCGGCTTCGACTTCGGCTTAGGCTTGTGCTTAGGTTAGGCTTAGGCTTCGGCTTCGGCTTAGACCTCGGCTTAGGCTTAGGCTAGACTTAAACTCAACCTCCTTGGCAGTGCTGTCAATTTAGATTCTACTGGATGCGAGACGGGGTTCGACTGGAAGTTGGCGACGGCTTGTTGACGACGTCCGACGGGGATAAGTCAGATGCTGTCGAAGTCAGATGGGAGCGACCCGGCCAGAACGGCTCGCTCGTCTTCCCCCGTCCTGTCGCCAGCATCCAGGTATGACGATAGACACTATTTTACAACGATTTTTACGGTGCTGGGCTCTTAGCGGGGGGGGGGGCAATTATTTTCCTAGGAGCTAATTTTCCAAAAATAAATAGTCAGAGTGCTTTTGAACGGTTTTTTTACTATGCTTAAACGTAAAATTTTTACAAATATTACCAAAAAATCTATTCTTCGACCAAAATAGCAGTTTTTGACTAAAATTTCGAGTTTCCCAAACAATTTTTAAACGTTTTTATCAGGTTGGAAGGTAAGTCCTGTCGCCGAGATTTTGGAAGGCTGGCTAAAATCGTAGTTAGCTCCATTCTGCACATGCGATGTGTAATTTTGTAGCTCAGCGCCTGAACCGTTTCGGGAGGAGTTTTAAATATTTTTTAACGCCAATCGATAGCCCTCGAGGAGGAGATATCGATAGATGTTGAGATCATCAAATTTGGACACTGGATGGCCGAGATATGGCCCCTTGAAGTTTAGCCCATTTCTTAGAACTTTTCCCGATTTCCCATACATTTTTTCAAAATCGGCTCCGCTAGTCCAAAAATAAAGCGGTAATGTTTGGCACCTGTCCGTCAAATTTTTGGAAATGTATGGGAAATCGGGAAAAGTTCTAAGAAATGGGCTAAACTTCAAGGGGCCATATCTCAGCCATCCAGTGTCCAAATTTGATGATCTCAACATCTATCGATATCTACTCCTCGAGGGCTATCGATTGGCGTTAAAGGTATCGCACGCAATTGACTCTATGCAGAGATAACTTGCAAAAACACTTTTTGGTGATTTTGTGAAAAACTTCTTGGGCCTGTATATCGGCCCTCCTTGAAGTTGGTGGCCTAGGACCCACCTCCCGAAACGGTTCAGGCCGAGACCTACAAAATGACATATCGCATGTCCAGAATGGAGCTATCTACGATTTTAGCCAGCCTCCCAAAATCTCGGCGACAGGACTTACCTTCCAACCTGATAGATGGTTTTCCTACTTTAAATATAGTTTTACGTCACTAAAAACACTATTAAAAATTCTTTCTATTAAGTTACTGGGCATTTCTGGGGTCATACAAAATTTTTGCCCCCCCCCCCCCCCCGGATAACGCGAAAGAACCCGATTTTTGCGCAGGGCTTCTACCAATGTTTCGCCGGCAACATCTACGGCACCGCCGTCTCCAACAAGGTCCACGTGCGCATGGGCGGTATGTGCCAAGTCGGCCAACTTTTCAAGAGACATTCTTTTTCCAGTGCTCGAGCGTTTCGCGCGTCGCGGTGTGCGTCGCGTACGCGTCGACGAGGGCGCGCCGTTGACGCTGAACTGCAGCCCGCCGATCGGCAGGCCGAAGCCGCACGTTTTCTGGTTGTACCGGTATTTATTTTGGGGGCTATTGCCTTTATTATAACATTAGAATTACTTTATTGTGATTTCGAAGGCTATAGAAATGTCCAAAAAATCCTCATTGTCCTTATTTTTCAAGCGAAACGCTAAAACGATCACTCAAGTAAGTGCCCCGTGTGGCCCACGCCCTTCGTTTCGGCTTTTATCCGCGTTTGCATGGCGTCAATAGGCGTATCCCGTACTAGTACCATTTTAGTGACACGAATCGCGAGGACGTCATCGAAACGATTCGCCGGCGCCATATCGGCATCGACGCCGACGGGAGGCTCCACTTTACGGCCGTTCAGGTCCCGATTTTGGTACTTGGCTGTTAGCGGGGGAGAAACTAATTTTTCCCGGTAATCCCGCACGGTATCGACCATTCTTATAACATTTTTGCATCATTTTACGCACAATGTTCTAACTTTTTTTGCCTTTTTTAGGTAAAAAAAATGTATGAAAAACGACCCAAAAAATTTTTCATATTTTCAAAAATATTTAAAATATGTTTTGTAACTTTTTAGCAATCAAAAAATACTAAAAACTATAAATTACACTATTTAACAAGATAGGCAAAAAGCAAAAATTGGTTGCTCTAATCGTTATTTTCTTGCCGTTTTCCAGGAAGAAGACGGCCGTCGCGGGCTGCTGTACGAGTGTGCGGCCTCATCTCCCGTGCTTGGAGATGAGTACCGAGCCGGCGAAAGGATACAGCTAGAAGTTGTGCCCAGACAGGGTGAGGCTTCCGGAAATCGCTCGTAGCAAATGCTTCCAGTCTCCGCCGTCCCAATCCGTACGCTCTACGTGACCCCCGATGAGGTGACCGTCCGCACCGGCGGCCGATTGAAGCTGCAATGTATCTTTGGAGGACGGTAGGCTTCCAAAACCAGCGGCAACTTGCGCTTCCGGTTTCAGGCCTCGCCCCGTCGTTTTCTGGGAGCGCGAAGAGGGCGAGCTGCCGCGCGAACGGATGAAGGACCTGTCGTCGGGGGAGTCGGATTTTGGGATGAGCCTCGTGATCGATTCCGTGGTGCCGGAAGACGCGGGGACCTATCTGTGCCGGGCTCAGCATCTTTTGCACGTCTTCAACGTGCGCGTACATGGTAACGTTTTTGTCGAAATTTAACCTGTCAAAATTCAGTTTCTCGAAATATCATTTTGTTCGAGAAATTTCAATTTGTCGAAAATCATTTTATCGAAATATCATTTTGTCGAAATTGCGATTTGTCGAAATTAAAAGTTGTCAAAATTTCAATTTATTAAAATCATTTTATCGAAATATCATTTTCTCGAAAATTCAATGCCTTTTCGCCTCGATTATTTATCTCAAACATTTCGAAAATTCAAATTTCAGCCCCTTGAAATTTTGACAAGATCATATGTCGACAAAATTTCGACATTTTTCGACAAAAAGAATTTTGGCAAAATCCTTTTTTAAATGAATTCCGACAAAATTAATTTTTTTTGTCATTAGTCATTCGTATTCGGAAAAATTGATTTTCGACAAATTATAGCAAATTTACCAATATAATTTTCTTTAGCCGCTCCCTATTGGGTAGCCGGTCCCCCAGCGGATGTCGTGCGGAGTGAAGAGGGTGAAGCCGAAATCCACTGCATGGCGGCTGGCAGCCCGACGCCCAACGTAGAATGGAGCATTAATGGTGTTCCCATAACCCGTAAGTCTATCAATTATAAAATTTTCAATATTAGATTATATTTTTAATTCCAAGACAAGAATGCATTATTTTATATTAATTATTATAAGAATAAATTTTAATTACAAGTATTGTCGATTCCGTTGCAGAACTACCCACCGATGATCGCCGAGAATTCCTGGAAGACGGTCGTGTGCTACGGATTACGGTAGCTGACCCAAAAATTAGCAGTAATTCGGTGGTTTTTCAGACTCTTCGACACGACGTTGACATGGGCGTCTACCAGTGCAATGCTTCGAGTCCGCTGGGATACGTCTACGCAAACGCTTTTCTTCACGTGAAAGGTTAGGCTTTCGGCAAGCAAAAGCAATCAAAAAACTACTAAAAGATATAAAAATACGGTATTTACGATTAACGGGTAGAGCTATAGACGGAAAAGAACAATTCGTTTCCCCCCGCTAAGGGTCCAGTACCAGAAATTTCATGGCGGGCTTGCAGAGATCCTTGAGGTTTTTGTCACGTTTTTTTTGGACAAAAGCAAGCTAATTCTGAAAATTTAAACGAATTAGATAGAACCTTTATCATGCCTTTTTTCAGCGCACGCGCCCCGGTTTCTGATGCCGGCGAAGCGTGACTGGAGCGTTGTGATGCGATCCACCGTGGATCTCGATTGTCAGGTAGGGAAGTGTTGGCTATACAGTATACAAGTATACAAGATATAGTATAGTAGAGAATACAAGCTAAAAATTGACATATGGGATAGTACAGACTACAGACTGCAGAGTACAAAAAATAACACCAAATTGCTTTTTGCCAGGTCGAGGCGGCCCCGGCTGCCGAGGTGCACTGGGTGGACGAGGACGATCGCCCGATTGTCCCCATCGATCCCAGGATTACTGTGAGTTTTATGAGAGGGTTTATTTCCCTATTTCACTATTTTCAATCATATTTTACTTTTTAAAAACCTTTTACTTTCTTTTTTTTTTTTTTTGGTTGGGGGGGGGGGAATTTTTTTTTTTTTTTTTTTAAAAAAAAATATTTATTAAAAAAAAAATATTTATTTTTTTTTTTTTAATATTAAAAAAAAATTTTAAATTAAAAAAAAAAAAAAAAAAATAAAAAAATTTAAAAATTTTAAAATTTTTTTTTTTAAAAAAAAAAATATTTTTAAAAAAAAAATATTTTTTTTTTTTTTTAAAAAAATTTTTTTTTTTTTTTTTTTAAAAAAAAAAAAAAAAAATTTAAAAAAAAAACCCTATTTATATTTAAAACTATTTCTATTTTAGATCTTGCCAAATCACACCCTCCGCATCCACGACGTGCACATCACCGACGAGGGCCTCTACTACTGCAACGTGTCCAACAAGTATGGCCTGGGCCGGGCGCTCAATCGACTCGACGTCTATAGTACGTATTTTCCACTTTACGGCAATTCCATTTAGAGCCCACATATTTCCTGAAGGTCCCGCAACCCCGCGAACTTGTTGTGGAGGCTGAAGATGACGTGGGTCCTTGAAAATATCTTTTTCGATGAAAAACTTTTTTAATCTTTTTGGATGATTTTGTTTGTATTTCAGGTGGAGCTGGAGTGCGAGGCGGAGCCGGACGAGCGGTTGACGGTACGCTACGTGTGGACGCTAAACGGGAGGCCGGTGAACGCGTCGAGCAGCTTCTCGTTGATCGGCCAGCACAAATTGAGGCTCCGCAAAGCCGCCGGGAGGCATTCGGGAATCATTGAGTGTCTTGTCATTACGGATGTCGACTTGAAACGTGCCGCCATGCATCTCGTCGTTAGAGGTATAGCTTTGGAACTGGATTTTAGTCATTTAACTTTTGGTTCTTTCGCATTATCGGGGGGGGGGACTTTTTTGTATAAGCCTAGAGATATCTAGTAACTTAAGGTAGTGGTTTAATAGCGTTTTTAATAAAATATTTATATTTCAGCTGGAAAACCTATCTTAGAACTGTAACAAGGTTAGAAAAAGTCGATATTTTGGTCAAAAATCCTATCAAAAATCAATTTTTTTCATCGAAAATCGATAATTTAAATGTTTAAATAATGATTTGTAACGTTTGACCCCTAGAAATAGTAAAAAACAGTTTCGAAACCTTTCCATGATTTATATTTGAAAAATCGGATCCCAAGAAAGAAGTTGGTCCCCCCGATAATGCCAAAGTACCTAATTTTTCCATAGATGTCCCCTCATCCCCGGAAATGTCATCGTGTAGCTGCTCGGAACGCAAGGCCACCTTCCACTGGAGCCCCTCAAATCCGCACGGCGACCCGGTGCAGCGCTACTCTGTCGAAATGCACACGGATTTTAAACCTGTAAGTTTCGCGAATAACGTGTATTAAGTAAATGCACTAAGTTAAATACTTACCCTCGATTTAGGAATACTGGGAGACTGTCTACGAACGTACAGGCGAGGAAAAGCCCGACTACGATGCGGAAATTACACTGACGCCTTGGGTACGATAATTTCTGAATCTGGAAAAACGTTCTAGGTGAACTACACATTCCGCGTGATCGCCGAGAACAGCTTTGGGCGCAGCGACAAACGACCGGCGGCGCTGGATGAAGGTATTGGGACCAGCACCCAAACGGAAACCGTACGTTCAGGAGAGCTGCGCGGAATCTGCGAGTGCCACACACGCCCCTCGTTCCCGTACACTAACCCGGCAGGCGTGTGGGCGCAGGGCGATCGACCTGGTTGGTGAAAGAGGCAGACTAGCGGAGATTGTTTGGGATTTGGGAACTGTATGTAGTGCTGAAAGCCTACTTTTTGGCATATGCTACGTGGGCTCCTATTTACGCGTAAAGACAAAAGACAGCGAGAGAGAGAGAGAGAGAGAGAGAGAGAGAGAGAGAGAGATAGAGAGAGGGCGAGCGGGACAGAGAGCGAGAGAGAGAAAGAGCTATAGAGATGACGAGAGAAAGAGAGAGCCAGCGAGAAAGACAGAGAGCGAGATAGAGAGAGAGAGGCAGAGCGAGAGAAAGAGAGAGAGAGAGCGAGACGCAGTGATGATGGCGAAAAACGGCTCCTTTCCAGACAACTTGGTCATCCACTGGCAGCCGATGGACAAATACGACTGGAACGCCCCGAACCTTCAGTACCTCATAAGGTATTTTATTTTCACCAACTTTTTTGTATAGACTACTCTTAAAAGCATCTCTTTAGGTACAAGCTGAACACCTCGCAGGCGGTGTGGACCGAATTCGTGGTGGAGGACCCGCTGGCGGTGAGCTGGAGTTGCGCTACTAAAATTTCTTCTTGTTGCAGAATCAGACGGCCATCCGAGAGCAACCGACGTATCGCCAATTCTTGGTGCAAGTCCAGGCCGCAAACGCCGTCGGGGCTTCGATTGTGCCTCCGGATACCGTTGTTGGATATTCTGGAGAAAACGGTAATTTTTGGAAACCATCTGTCACTCTCTCTCTCTCTCTCTCTCTCTCGCCCTCGATTTTACTCTCTCCCTCGCTCCCTCTGTTTCACTCTTTTTCTGTCTCTCTCTCTCTCTCTCTCTCTCTCTCTCTCTCTCGCTCTTTTCCTCGTTATCTTTCTCTCTCTCACACACACTCTCACTCTGCCTCTCTCTATATCTAGCTCGCTCTCTCTCTCTCTCTCTCTCTCTCTCCCTCTCCCTCTCGAAATCTACTTTTCAGTACCGACCGAGGCCCCAAACTCCTTCACCCTCGGCTCATTCCACAACTTTTCCGCGGTGAACGTCTCATGGCTGCCCGTCGACGCCAACACGATCCACGGTCATTTCCTGGGATATGAGGTCGGTATCTTTATCATATAAAACCTTATTGAATTCTTTCTTATCTTTAATGCACATCCCAACCTATCGTTTAGATCGAATACTGGCCAACGGACAGTATTGCTGTGGCCCCGGTGGAGCTGATCGTGCCCAAGGACGAGACGGAAACCGTCATCGCTCGTCTCCGCCCACACACCAACTACTCGGCGGTGGTCAGGGCGCGGAATAAGTACGTTTTACGGTTCTTTCTCATTATCAGGGGAGGGGGCGGGGCAGGTGCTCCTAAACGGCTTTTTTTCATATTCCTAAACGCAAAAACTTTACAAAGTTTTATCAACAAACATTCAAAAGACTTTTTCGACCAAAAATGGCCGATTTTTTTACCACAAATTCGACTTTTCCGATTTTTTTTAGTTTTAGATTGCTTTTCTAGTTGAAATATAATTATATTATGCTAAAAGCATTTTTAAAACATTTTCTATGAAGTGGATAGAGGTTTCTAGACTTATAAAAAAAATTCGGTCCCCCCCCCGATAAAGCGAAAGCTCCCCTTTTACGATTGTAATCATGCTTTTTTCCTTTAGGCAATACCGCGGCCCAGCCTCCAACAAGATCGAGTTCGAGACGCCGGAGGGAAGTGGGTGAAAGTTTGCATTTTAGCGTTAGAGCAAACTGAAGAGAGGATAAAATTAAATAAAGACTCGTTCTCAGACCCAACCTAAACTCGCTATTTAAGTCCCCTCGGTCGTATCATCGCTACGTGTCGTGACCGTTGGCGCCCACTCGATTTTGGTCCAATGGGAACCCCCGCAACGTCCCAACGGCTTCGTCCGCGGCTACTTCTTGACGTTCACGAATGACCGGAGTACGACTTTCCTCTTTACACCAGAATGAAAGCCATTTAATCATTGAGAAAAAGGAACGAACCCTTATTTTCAGACGACACCGAGGAGACTTACGTGCTTCACCGACAACATCACTATCTTCACGAGAGGGCCGCTGCGGATTCTCCGTATAAGGTATTGATTAACGCTTAAACTATACAAAACTATCATTTTTACCTATTAAAACCAGAGAAACTAATTGTAATGTAGTAAAACTGGTACTGAACCGTTAGCGGGGGCGGGGGGGGGGGTGCTTACGGGGGAAATCGATTTTGTCAAGTAAGCAGCCTCTGACGAATATAAATAACTTTTTTAGTATTTTCTACAGATTTTCGATCTATAAATAACTATGAAATTAAAAATTTAGGAAACGGAAAAATAAAAAATGGCCTAAAAAGTCAAAATCTTCGATTTAAAAAATTTACAAAATTTTTTTACGGCCGTTTAGTTATCGAAAACTATTAAAACACTATGAAACTGCGTTCTTTATAAACAACAGGATAGGCGGAAATATAAAAATGTGTGCCCACCCCCTGCTAACAACCCAGTACCCCAAAACTTTCAGGTGGCCGTATGGGCAGAGACAAGGGCCGGCGAGGGTCCACGTCTTATCCGAGCCGTCAGAACGTTTCCGGTCGGAGGTAGGCATTAAAAACCGTTTTAAAAATTTATAAAACTGTAGCCATAAAAAGCGATTCAGACCCCTACCGGCCCTCGTTCCGCGTCGGCAACGCGACCAGCGGCGCGCTAGACGTCGAGTGGTTGCCGTGGACTGGCGGAGGAATGCCTGGCGCCTCGTTTGTCGTCAACTACACGCACGCCGGTAAGAGATACCCTAATGCCCACTAGAACCCGAAACTGTAGCCAGCGGCGAAACCCATCAGACGCCTCCCGTCTTCCTCCCCGACACCGCCATACACATCGATGGCCTGCGCCAGGGCGAGCGCTATATTTTGGTTTGTTTGGCCATGAGTAAGGTAAATCGAGCGCCGCATAGGTGGGCATCGCCCGAGATGGGAAACATTGGACGGCGTCTAGCCTCTACTACATCGACACTGAAGCGCCGAAGGGACCGGCGAGGCTTAACCAAGGTATCCGAATTTTTCCTGGAAGGACAGATATCCTAGTAATAATTTAATGGTAAGCATTTGACTAGGAAAAACTATTCTGAAAATTAAAAAATTTTAATCTCGAAATTTGGCGGAAAATCGATATTTTGGCCGTTTTTTTAAGCAAAATTTGCAACGTCTTTACGTTTATGAATGGTAGAAAACAGTCGAAAACCATTCCGTCTATAAAATTAGAAAGATGGTACGCTAATAAAAATACTATTTACGACGAATGAACCTAATCAAAAAATCAACCGCACTTTTACGACAAAAACGTCATTTCAGAATCTGTCCGTACCGCCGCGTGGTTTGTATCGGCACTAGTGGCCGGATCTGTCGCCGTATCCCTACTCCTGGCCGCATCATGCTGCGTCCAGAGGGGCCGAGTGTACGCTGAATCTTGTGTATACCTTTAAACCTACGTTTTTTTTTAGATACAAGGTCAGCCGCGAGGAGATGCGCGCTGCCGAACGGCGCGACCAACCCGTCGACGTGGAGGAGGAGGCCAAATTTCTCGAGTACAGCTACGGGTTCAAGCAGTAGATGAGGTGGTGTAACATCACAGCATTTTAACAATTTTCAGCATTTATGAATTTTTTTGTACAAATTATTTTCTGATTATCGTTATCTGTTTCATGCATTTCACTTGACATTTTCCAATTTTTTATTCGTTGTCTTTTACCTTTCTCGCCAACGATCTCTCTTTCAACTGAAATTCCTCTGCCAGCCTCGACTATTTGTGATATCGCAGTTTGCTATGATTTTTATGTCTTCGACTTGATCACTTTGACACGTTTCCCTACGCGATTTCACGTTCTTTCAGCTATGCCATTTTGCTGCCCATCTTCTATGCATTGATGTGCTCTTTAAAGAATAAATGTTTTGATTTTTCGCTATGGCGTTATGAACCGTATCAAAACTTAAGCTGGCGACATTTTCTCCAACGGCCAAAATGTTAGAATGCGCGTAATAGTCCTAACAATTTTTTTCTCGCCCGGGTCTAGATAGTAAAAAAAGAAAAAACAAACTTTTTGAATAAAAACTTTTTCTTGACAATCAGATTGTGCGCTGGAAGAGGTAAAAAGCGCGAAATGTCGCCCCAAACAGCCCTCACGCGTCGTAATTTCTTCTCTAATAGCATGCACTTATGTCAATTGCATTTATTAATACCGAAAACATCAAGATGTTTTTGTTCTCAAATTGGCGGAAATATAATGCACCATTTTTCAAACGTATACTCGTGTCTTTTGTAAAGAAACGGAAGAGAAAAGAAAAAAAGCGCCGACATTTCTAACCCGCGCTTCGTCGGCTCCAATGCTGTATTCTATCCAGCGAACTCGCGTTTTAGCCATCGTAGTAACTGCATACGGTAGCTCTTGCCAGCCGAATCAATCAGGCGGCATTTCACTTTTCGCTTTCCCGTGTCGAGGATTTTTTTTTGAGTTTTCAGCCGGAATTTTGTCAGTTTGCCCTCGCGTATTTTCTTCGACACCTCTCACGCGGTATCCCTGCGTACGTTAATATTAACGCGCGTTAATAGATATTGTTTCGAGTTTGTTTCCAGATAGGCGCGATGAGTATTAGTCGTATAGATAACCGCGCCCTTGATCAGATTTTCATTGGTATTGAATTTTCCTGGGGCATCTTTCATTTCCAGTCATTCGTTTTTCGTTATAAATTAGCTCACCTTTTTTCTCAGGGTGATCCGTTGCATCTGCCTGATATCTGATTTTTAGCTTTTAGCTTAGTTCTTTAGCTTTTTGGACTTTTTTAGCTTTCTATTTTGGCGCGATCGATAGTTACCCTCAGGTCGCTACATATTTCATACCCTGCCAGCGTAGCTCTAGCAGCACCATCGTACCGCTGATTTTCCTGTTTCTTCGTTTTTCTATTCCTGATCTAATGTTTTACACCCTCTTTTGTATGACCTTTATACGGTAGTATACCTTTCATTTCCAGAATGATCTCGAAGGTCCACGCGCGCCAGATCTACGACAGTCGTGGAAACCCGACTGTCGAGGTCGACGTGCACACCAAGATGGGGCTGTTCCGGGCGGCGGTCCCTTCCGGCGCCTCGACCGGCATTCACGAGGCCCTAGAGCTGAGAGATAACGAGAAGGCCGTCCACCACGGCAAGGGCGTGCTCAAGGCCGTGCGCAACATAAACGAGATCTTGGGGCCCGCCCTTGTTGCTAAGGTAAATAAATTGGTTTTCGCATTTTATCCCCAGGTTTCCGATTTGGCGTTGGAATACATTATTACGTTTAGGGCCTGGACGTCACCGCGCAGCGGGAGATCGACCACTTCATGCTCGCCCTGGACGGCACCGACAACAAGGTAATCCATTTTCTTATTGCTTCCAAAGTTCTTCTTTAGAACGTGCTCGGAGCCAACGCCATTCTCGGCGTATCGCTCGCCGTTTGCAAGGCCGGCGCCGTCCACAAGGGACTCCCGCTATACACGTACATCGCCGAGCTGGCCGGGATCGATAAGGTAAGCTCATTTTCGTTTTTATCATTGACTTTTACTTTACTAATTTGCTATTTTAGGTCGTCCTTCCCGTGCCGGCGTTCAACGTCATCAATGGAGGCTCGCACGCCGGGAACAAGCTTGCCATGCAGGAATTCATGATTCTGCCCGTCGGAGCCCAGACCTTCGCCGAGGCTATGCGGATGGGATCTGAAGTTTGTTTTCATATTTCTTCTGGTATTCAACTTTTTTAGGTCTACCACCACCTCAAGGCCGAAATCAAGCAGCGCTATGGCCTCGACGCGACGGCGGTGGGAGACGAGGGTGGCTTTGCCCCCAACATCCAGGACAACCGGGAAGGCCTCGACCTTCTCAAATCGGCCATCGAGAAGGCAGGGTACACCGGCAAGGTCAGAAAATCTTTATTTTGTTTTTGAAAAACTGAATTTAGATTAAAATCGGCATGGACGTAGCGGCCTCCGAATTCTTCAAGGACGGGAAGTATGACCTGGATTTCAAGGTACCTTTCCTAGGCATGCGATAATAAACCTTTTTAGAACCCAAAATCTGATCCGGCCAAGTGGATCAGCGGCGACGAGCTGGCCGACCTCTACCACTCGTTCATCAAGGAGTACCCGGTCGTCTCCATCGAAGATGGGTTCGACCAAGACGATTGGGAGCACTGGGGCAAATTCATGGCGAGCGCGGATCTGCAGCTCGTGGGCGACGACTTGACGGTGACCAACCCAAAGCGCATCCAGATGGCCATCGACAAGAAGAGCTGTAACTGCCTTCTACTAAAGGTAAAAATTTTAGCGCTTTTTGTTTTCCATTTTATTTTGACTTTCAATATTTTGCTTTTTTAGGTCAACCAAATCGGCTCCGTCACCGAGTCGATCGAGGCGGCCACCCTCTCGCGCAAGAATGGCTGGGGTGTGATGGTGTCTCATCGGTCCGGTGAGACGGAAGACACTTTCATCGCCGATCTCGTCGTCGGGCTCGCCACAGGACAGGTAAAAAATTATTTGATACTTTCCAATTTGTCGTTTTTTAGATCAAGACCGGGGCCCCGTGCCGCTCGGAGCGTCTCGCCAAGTACAACCAAATCCTGCGCATCGAGGAAGAGCTGGGCCCGGATGCCGTCTACGCCGGCGAGCATTTCCGCAACCCCCAAGGCAAATAAGCGGTTTTCCTCATCACCCCCTCAGTATTCTCCCCATATAAATTGTGCCCCCTCCCCGTAAAATAGAATAAGATCCTGTGTTTGTGTTCCATTCCTATATTTTGCTCTTTCCTGTTGTGTAGCTCTTAACATTGTCAATTTCCCAGTCCATGTGCCATTTTTGCAACTTGTAAATTCCGTGCGATTCACTACTACGATGTCATAAATATTTTATCAGCCAGCAACTTGTAAGAATGTGCGCAGCAATGGGCTTACTAGGGAGGTATCTGAACTCGGCATCGAACCTTGAGAAGTCAGATACACCATTCGACGCGCCTTGTCGAGGGGATTCCAAATATGTAATAAAATCAACCAGAGCCTATAACGATAAAAAGTTATGAGCATTTTAAGTTTTGCAGCGAAAACCGCCGCGGCGATATGAGCCCCACCCAGCGCACCCTGCTCATCGGCCCCGTGGCCCAGTGGTGTGCGCATGGGTCCCCGGTCTGTACGACCAGGGTTCGGATCCGCTCGCGGTTTTTACTTTTTGCTTTTTGACGAGTTCTTACTTTTTGCATTTCCAAACTCGGGAATAAGTTTTTCTTGACTGTGTGACCCCTAAAAGGCACCAGCGATGATAAAATAACCTCGGGCAACAAGACCAGGATTGGACGCTTTCTATATCAAAGTTGGCAAAATCATCAAAAACCGCCCTTTTAAGACTCTGTACAAATTCGAAGAATGTAATTTGTCAAAAATAGAACAGTACATCTTGATCAGCAGAAAATTCTCTTTTTCGAATGGGCTATCTTACATAGGCTTTACGCGAAATTCTCGAAAAGTCTTTGGCTAGCTGGCCATACCCTACCCTTACACTGCATTCCAAAAATATTTTTTGCGGAAATTTTTTGGCAGCCGTATGTAACATAGCTCATTTGAAAGAGCTTTCTTTGTTGAATAAGGAGCACTAATCAGTTTAGGCTAAATTCCATTCCGCGGCATGATACAGGGTCTCAAAGATACTGTTTTTCATCATTTTGTCGACTTAAAATGCTCATAACTTTTTATCGTTATAGGCTCTGGTTGATTTTATTACATATTTGGAATCCCCTCGACAAGGCGCGTCGAATGGTGTATCTGACTTCTCAAAGTTCGATGCCGAGTTCAGATACCTCCCCTAGTTAGCCTGGTGGTTTTTGGGATGGATTGGAACAAAACGTTTGCGTCTTGGTTTTTACAGGATTTTCTTAAGCCCCCGCGGAATTTCCTCAAAATAGTTCTGAAATTTGGCGTTTGTGCTCACCAGTGTTCGATTATCTCACCACCAAGCTTTGACCAAGAGTCCCAGAGCACTAAACTTCTTTGGATCTTCTCGAAGCCGGAGGCCCGGGGGATTCACCCCTATTCGTTGCGCTGCCCACAGAATCCTCCAGTGCCGAGACAACTTTCTGTGTCTTTCAAAGGTTCTGGGAAATCATCCTGGCTCTTGAGTAATAGCTAGTTTTTTATGTGCAGCCATTCAAAATTCTTAAACTTAGATTGTAGAGTTTACCCGGTGATTGATATTCACCTAAGCTTCTCACTTTCTCTTTTGCCATCACCACCCATTTTCAGGAAGCCGCTCGCATGGAGGAGTACACACGTGAGCCGTGGCGAGTTTTTTCACAATTTTTGATATCGGTGCTATACCGGAGAGCACTTTTCTAATCCTAATTTTCAGCCCCTACCGAATCGGTGATGACATCGGCTCCGCCTTCGCCATGGGCCTGGTCGGCGGCTCGATTTTTCGCTCCTTTTCTGGGTACAAGCACTCTGCGACCGGCCAAAAATTGGTGGGCTCGAATTTTTATTCAAAACACAATATTTTTTAGGTAGGCATGGCGCGCGAAGTTCGAATGAAGAGTCCGCTCACGGGAGTCCAATTCGCGGCGTGGGGTGGAATGTTCAGCACGATCGACTGTTGTTTAGTGGCGATTCGGAAAAAGGTTGTTGCTCTACTTGTTGATTTTACAAGCTCGTCTAGGAAGACCCATTCAATTCGATCACCTCCGGGGCCCTCACCGGTGGCCTCTTGGCCATTCGCTCTGGCCCGCGGGTGATGGCTGGTTCAGCGCTGCTCGGTGGAGTCATTCTTGGTGGGGATTCGTTCTCTAGGCAGTTACTTTTATTCCGGGGGGAACAAAGAAAAAGTTTCGAAAAGTTGATAACGCTAACAAGGAAGGTTTTTTGGGTCGTAGCGTGGTTTTGCCGAGTTGAAATAGCGGAGTCGATAGAGCTTAAAATTTTGAACAAGGTCCATCTTTGAAAAACTGCGGAACGATTACGGTCTTTGAGAAATTTACTTTGGGATCTCGAACCAGATCTGTGACAATTTGGTGAATTTTTGAATTTGTAACATTTTTCTCGACGATCATGAGCGTTGAACAATTTTTGGAGAAGTGTTCCAAATTTCAAGCTCTATCGAATGAGATATCTCACATAGCAAAACTCGCATCTGACGTGAAACACGAATCCTTACGAGATCATTTCGTGCTTTACAATCTTTTGTTTCAGCTATGATTGAGGGCGTCGGTCTGGTGACGGCACGATGGATGGGCTCCATGATGGACCCGACGGCTCCTCCTCCAGAGCCCCTCGACGATCCGCGAGCTCTTCCGCCCGCCAAATCCCCGACAGAGCCCGGTCTTTCGCAAGCACCCAATGACAATGCTCCCTTCGGCCTCCCCGGCCTCAATATGAACCGATGAATCTGATTCTTTCACGTGCTCGGTATTCTCTTCTCGACCCCCGTTTTCTTGCTGGTTTGTTAGTTACTTTTAGAGTTTTAGTATAGCTTACAAAATTTTTCGTCTGTTTTGTTTTGTTAAAATTGTTTGTGTGCCCGTTGCCCGAATATATTCGTTGATGAAAGGATTGCTCGTGACCATTAATCGATCAGATTAAGAAGAAATAAATTGAACTCGTTGTCATCGAACGTTGCATTGCAGTTGTGTTCCTGATATCGTTGGATTGTGGTTGGATTGCATCATTATTGCTTTAGGGACTCGAAGTGCTGGATGCGCAGGGGCCCATCCGTGCTTCTACAGCTGAAAGCCATCAGATTTTCGGTAATTCTTGTATTTTTATTCGATGCATTTTATACAGGTAGCCAAACGTCTTGCGAGCAGCAAAAAGGAAAACGAATTCGAGGTAAATTGATGATTGATTTCCACCCTCATCCATATCAGGACCTACAAGACCGTATCCAACAGTACAGCAAGAAGCTCTACAGGAATAACGCTCTAGCCAGCTTCAGGTGCATTTCAATGTCCGTTACAAACTCCTTGTTTAGAGCCCGTGAATTATCATCCTCGATCGATAATCTCGCGCGAAGTATTGCCTCGGTCCGGGCGAAGCAAGAGTCTACAAGGGATTTGATGAATCCCGACATCAACGACGTCCCCTCCTATATCTTCATCGATGTAAGCGAGACCTTTTTCCTTTTCTTATTGACTTCATAGATTCTCAGTAACGGAACTGCCCAGTTGGCCCCGGCGATTTCGCTGCGGACTAATCTACGGTCGTACCTATTCAACTGTCCGGAAGGTTTGAATTTTCCCACAACCCGGTACACGGAATTTTAGGCACCAGTCGATTTCTACCCGTGCATCGACTCCGCGAGAACATCATCAATGATATTTTTGTGACAAGAGGTGTGGCCTAAATTTAGTAAACACAACTTTGTTTAGGTACTTGGGACAATATTGGCGGCATTTCGGGGCTGCTGCTGGGAAAGGACGCGTCCGCGCCAGCCACGCGCATCCACGGAGCTTTGAATATCAAGCACTTTCTCGAATGCATCCGGCCCTTTCAAGATGCCGATTTTGGATCGGCAAAGTATCCGACCCAGGTGACGGTTTTTGGCGCTACCTATAACTCTGGCCTAGGTTGACGAATGTCCGTATACAAATGGATCTTACGAGGATCCGGGAATCAGGGTGGACTACATTCCGATGAGTCGCCCTCTGCATGCTTCGCTAGGGAATATGAAGGTTGGTAGCTTTTCCTGTTGTATTGACTTATGAGACCTCCGCTACAAAGACGATCAAATTACGCTACACTTTTAGGGAAATGGGCTCGACATCGCCTATCTCATCACCCTGAAGGGCCGGCCAAGGAAAGTGGACGTAAAGAAGCTGATAGAACTGAAGGTATCCTTGAAAATCTGCCTTCATCTAACGACTCCTAGATTCCCAAAGGTCCGCTGATCGGGAAGTTGAAATCCGGGATTGCTGTCACTCTACCTGATGGGCGAACAATTCAACCGGGAGATATCCTGCACGAGGAGACGTCAGGAGACGATCGCGAATCCCTTCTGGTTGCTGACTGCGCGGATGTTTATTGCAGGGATGCCCTCTTTTCGAACACTCTCCTTCAGGTGACTGATCACAACAAAATTCCAACAATTTTTTTAGCCCTACCTGACCGGGAGCAAGCACCTTTCCTACATGCTGCACCTCTCGCAACCTGACGTACTTGGCACCAAGGAATACGGGGCTCTGGTTGCTAAATTGGGCCCGAGGTACGTGGATGGATTCTATGAATGAATTCCCGGGTTAGTTGCGAGCACATTGTGGTGAATGGACACGGACCAGCAGTTCCTCACCACGACGGCATCTACCAACACCAGCAGCGCCTACGAGTAGTCGCGCCGGCCGTCTTCCCGATGCTGTATCCGTTTGAATGGTCCGGCACCGTCACCCAGGTACCCCGTTTTTCTATCCTGAAATATAGTAGCTTAGCAATCGACACTCGCTTCTCGAGAGGGCGTATTTTCCTTTGCAACACCATTACAAAGATTCGTGATGCGTGCGGGAGGTACTGAGGAGCCGATTACATTGAGTAAGTAGTTGATATTTGGTACAAAATAATTTTTAGATCTCCCAAGTGCGCCGAGCAACACGGAACAGCCGAACCCTCTATTTGAGCTCTACACCGAGGAGGAGAAGCTTGCCGATAAACAGAACACCCCGGACGAAACGTTGGAATTTGGGAAGCGCGTGGCCGAGATAAAGACTCGTATGTACATCGTCTCTGTTTCTTGACTCTCATTTCAGTCTCTAACGACATTCTTTCGAATGCTCCTCGCGAATATCCGGCTATATCGTTTTTGGGGACATCTTCCGCTACACCTTGCAAGTATCGGTAAGATCTGTATTGCAGGTGAAACGTTCCCTTTTTAGAAACGTGACTGGCTATTTGGTGGAGACAAGCGATACGGCTTCATTTTTGGTCGATGCCGGGGAAGGGACTTACGGGCAATTGCGGGTTCTTTTTGGCGATGCGGGTTGCAAGAAGGTGACTATCATTGATGGTAAAATACGTTTTTTTCAGTTGTTGACCGGGCTCCATTCGATCTTTATCACGCATGCCCACCAAGACCACATTGGCGGTATCCTGGCTATATTGGAGAAACGGAAGAAGGCTTTCACTGACCTTGGTAAGCGTTTAGAAATCAGAAATATTTTGTTTTTATGATACACTTCGAATCCAACTTGATTTTAGGGATACCCTATCGGAAGCTGATCTTGGTGTGTAACCGGAATGTGGTGAAGCCGTTGCGCATTTATTCAGCCAGTTTTGCTGACTTGACGGAGCTCATGGTAGAAGTAAACCTCAGCGTCGTCATTGCCAATGCTCGGTCTGGCAGGTAATTTTGGCCTTTCAAAGAGCTTTTGAAGTTAGCTGTTTTTACAAAGAGGAATGGAAAAAGCAAGCCAAAAAACGCAGTGTTTTTGCAGTAGTTCTCCACCCACCTTCGCGCCTGTCATCGACGTTCTACCCTTGATGCCAACGGATTTGTTCAACGTCGAAAAGACGGGCATCAGCGAAGCAAGGGCGGTCCAAGTACATCATACACGCAACGCGAATGGCTACGTTTTCCGTTGCGGCGACAAGAAGATCGTTTTCAGGTTTAATTTTTTTGCTAGCGCCAAACCGTTTTCTAGCGGCGACACCAAACCGTGCGATCTTTTGGTAAAAGAAGGCCAGGAAGCCGATCTATTGGTCCATGAGTCGACGTTTGAGGACGGATTCGAGGTACGCGCTGGGAGTGCAGGCTCAATTTTAACCGTGTTCAGAAAGACGCGGAGCGGAAAAAGCACTCGACCATGGGCCAAGCCGTCGATGTGGCAAGGCGGATGTCGGCAGCATCGACTATCCTCACGCATTTTTCGGCTCGCTATTCCAAGGTATGTGCATTATTGCTTGTCCCCATTTTTTTCATAGATTCCCCCATTGCCCGATTACCTTGACGAGCATGGGATTGGGATTGCGATGGACAATATGAGAGCCCGTTGTGACCATTGGCATCTAATCCCGAAGCTCGTCCCGATTTACCGGTATAACTAGAGATTTTTCTAGTATTGATTTTATCAGGCATTTGTTCAAACAAGAGCTCTTCGAGATGAGTCTCCGAAAGTTGCAACGCGATAGACGGGAAGAATTGGTTGGTCTTGTGACGATATCTGTAAACGCCTTTAGGCAGCGCTGAACAATGCCGGCGACGCATCGTCCAAGTCCGCGGAGAACGGAGCGCACAATAAAGTATCCTTGTTTTTTAACTCAAAATTGTCAATTTCAGCGCGCCACCAACAAGCCAGCCAGCCCTAAGCAGTCGTCGAAGAAACGGAAAGTAGACGCGCAAAAATAACCTATTTATTTGTTCTTGTCGCCTTTGATACCGGTTACCCTTGTTATTCTGTTATTGTTGACATCTTTTAGATCCTTTATGAATAAATTTTACTACGATGTTGGGTTTTTGGCTTGTATCTTCGGGGTCTAGACCTCAAATACTGTTTTCCGAAGCCGAAGCTCTGTGGAACTGTACCAACTTTTTCTTGCAATGATCAACTTTTACAGCATCATGAGCTCGATCGGAACCGGATACGACTTGGCCGCTGCGACATTTTCGCCTGATGGTCGAATCTTTCAAGTAAGCTTGACAAACAAAAACAACTTTGCTTTGTAGATTGAATATGCGCACAAGGCCGTCGACAACAGCGATACGATGATCGCGCTGCGCGGCAAGCATGGAGTTGTCTGTGCGGTAGAAAAAGTAGGTCCCAAGACAGGCCGGAACGAGACCCGAAAAAATCCGACAACCCCCTCCCAAAGAGCACAGGCTTTCAAGGCATCAGACGAAAAATTCAGATCGTGGCCTCAAAACTGAATGTCGAGAACGCGAACCCACGAATGATGAGGGCCGCCGAACATATTGGACTTGGAATGGCCGGTGTCTACCCCGATTGCAGGAATTTGCGGTAGGCCCCAAGCTTAGGGCCCCCCAAGCCTATTTTGCTGAATTTACGCAAAACGGCGCTACTTAAGTTTGCTGGCCCCACTTATCAATGGCCAAATCCTCATTTCTTTGGTTCAGTTTTTTGCGCTGATTACGGAAAACACTATCCCAGTCCACGAAAATGAAATCGTGAATTTTGAGGGGAGAAAACACTTGATTTTCGATTTTTCTGGTTTGAGTTTTTAAAGGGGATCAACCCGGTGTTTTGATGCGGGAGCCTATAAAACAGTGGAAAAGCTTTTTCCAACGAGGCTGAGCGATTGCATCCGCTTTTTTTCCTAAAAATAAGGCTTCGTGCCACCCCGGGGCCTAGTCGCTTCGGATGGGTGCGAGCTCGTACAGGGTTTCGAAATCGGGGCGACCGAGGCGCGCGAAGCGGCCAGGCGCCCCGATTTCGAAAGAGTGGAGCGGCAGCCCATCCGAAGCGACGGCCCGCCTTGCCTGACAATGCTACTGGCTTACTTTATTCATGATAAACCCGTTTTTGGCCATTATTTAATTAAAAAACCACAAAAAGGCTCCTTTTACGCGACCGCCGTAAAATGGAATTTTCCCGACTTTCCAATTAAATTGTTTTACTAAATCGCATTTTCGTGGGCTGGGATAGTGTTTTCCGTAATCAGCGCAAAAAACTGAACCAGAAAAATGAGGTTTTGGCCATATATAAGTGGGGCCAGCAAACTTAAGTAGCGCCCGCAAAACATTAAAAACTTAGCATGTTGCAGTGATTATGCGGTAGACGAATGCCTGAAGTTTCTCCGCGACTACCGCGAGCCGATCACCCCGAAAAAACTGGCAGCCACCATTGCGGAGTTCGTCATATTTTTGGACGGAAAATTGTTTTTTTAAGGTATGTCCATGTCTTCACGCTAGGCATCAGCCGTCCGTATGGCTGCGCGATGTTCGTCAACTCGTGGGATGAGACCGACGGGGGCAAGATCTATTTGATCGAGCCCAGCGGTCTTAGCTACGAGTATAAGGCGTGGGCTGTTGGCAAACATCGTCAGGTATCGTGATTTGGCCTATCCAAAAATTGTCTCTAGGCGGCTAAGGCCGAAATCGAGAAGCTGAAGCTAGAAGAGCTCGAAATGGAGCAGCTGGTGAAGGAGGCCGTGCGCATCATCATGGCTATCAGGGATGAAAACAAGGAAAAGGTGATTTGAAAAACGTAATCTTAATTGTTTTTCACTAGAATTGCACGATCGAGATGAGCTGGGTGGGCGAGAACACGAAGGGCAAGGTTGAAATCGTACCCAACAACTTGGTATGCTTTTCTTTTTCTCCGGTGACTTTTTTCCTAGCTCGCCGACGCTGAGGCCTGGGCACGCGAGCGTCTCGACGAGGACGATATGGAAGACTAAAAAAATCTGAATTTGTTTATTTATTTTTCCCACCCATTTAATTTGTGATTTTTAAACCTTGTGACTTTAAAACTCGATCCCTACCGGTTGACTTTTATCGTGAGATAAACACGTTTGAATTTATTGTTGTAAATTCAGAAGCTTGTTTTGTTCAAATAATTATCGAATAGGGAATTCTCTGGGCTACGAAATGCCGACTACCACGTGAACTAAAAATGGATTGTCATTACAGATGAAGCGCTCTGCGACCGAGGCACTCGGGGCAGATGTGCGGATGGTGCTCGCGGGGGAACAGGGCGTTGGCAAGACTTCGCTGCTGATGACCCTCCTTGCAGACGAGTATTACGAAGATGTTCCGGCAGCGTTCGTACATCTCCGCGCTTGGAAACGAACTTTTTAGGATGGATCCGGTCGTCATCCAGGCCGATCTCACTCCAGAAAAGGCCGTGACCTCGATTGTCGACACATCTTCCACCGTGCACGATGAAGATGCAATATGCTCGGAGTTAGAATCGTCGAACGTCATCTGTATTGTCTACGATGTGAATTCTGAAGCGTCGATTGATAAGGTCATTTTCCACGAATAGTGTAAATGTCTTTTTTTAGATCACGGCGCACTGGCTTCCACTGATCCGAACAATTTTCGGCGAGGATCATGAAGTGCCCATAATTCTTGTCGGAAACAAATCAGACGGCCCCAGCAATCACACCGAGAAAGTGAGTGATTCGTCAATGTTCAACAATTTCTGCAGGTGTTACCGATAATGGAGAAGTGGAGTGAGGTGGAGACGTGTGTGGAATGCAGCGCACGAACGATGAAGAACGTCTCCGAGATCTTCTACTACGCTCAAAAGGCTGTTATATATCCAATGCGGCCTATCTACGACATTGATGCGAAACGACTTAGCGACAAGGCTCGCAAAGCGCTTACAAGGGTTTTTAAGGTCCGACCTTTTTGCCTTGAGATACTTGAACGATCATGTTTAGATTTGCGACCGGGACAATGACGGTCTGTTGAACGACGTCGAGCTGAGCGCCTTTCAAAAACTGTGCTTCGCAGCACCTCTAACCGCAACGGCTCTCGATGAAGTAAAGCGAGCGGTCGCCAAGGGATGCACTGATGGTGTTGTCGAGGACTCGATCTCCCTCAACGGTCAGTGGTCCATTTCAGTTTTTTTTTTGGATTCACGCTCTAGGTTTCATGCAATTGCACCTGTTGTTCATCGAACGAGGCCGACACGAGACAACTTGGCTGGTGTTGAAGAAATTCGGTTATGGTAGAAATTTACACCTGGCCGATGATTACCTGTATCCTAAAATTACGGTCAGTTGCTATTTCCCTCTTCACTTCGGAATTCTCAATTATAGGTACCAATTGGCTGTTCGACCGAACTTTCGCCCGAAGGAGTTCAATTTGTGTCAGCGCTTTTCGAGAAGTTTGACGAGGTTTGGCGGGACTGAAATATTCCATTGTTTTTCAAGAATAAAGACGGATGCCTTGACGCTTCTGAATTGACCAACCTTTTCTCGGCCTGCCCATCTTCGGCCTTTTCGAAAGAAGTATGGTTTAATCGTTTTGTTTACACGCCTCCTAGGTCTTTGCGGCTGTCGAGACGAATCAACGGAGCTGGCTGACGTATGGCGGCTATATGGCTTATTGGCAGTTAGTGGAGATGAAACTTTCGGTCATTCCATTTTCAGCATGACTACACTGGTCAATCTGTCGCAAGCTCTCGAGCAGCTGGCTTTTCTTGGATTTGCTGTTGGTCGTGGACCAAGTTAGTTTTTTGGATTTTATTAACTTTTTGATCAGTCGCGCGTATCCGGTTTGAAAATATTTTTTAGTGAAATCCCCTGGAACTACCTGCGATGCCGTCAGGGTAACGCGAGAAAGGCGTCTCGATTTGATGGAGCGCGTGACAGACAGAAAAGTGTTCCAATGTCTTGTTGTCGGGGCAAAGGATGCTGGAAAGGTGTTCACGCGTTTTTTTAGCTAACCTCGGATTTAGACGGTCTTCATGCAGTCGTTAGTAGGCCGAGGTTTGACAGAAGTTGCGGCAATCGGACGCCGCCATTCCCCATACGTCATCAACCGCGTCCGCGTGAAGGAGCAGGACAAGTATCTGCTACTCCGAGAGGTAAAATTTATCTTTGGTTCCAGTTTTGTAAACCGGGAGCCGTTTTTAATTATCCGCTTTAGGTAGACGTACTCTCTCCATCCGATGTTCTATCCGGCGGTGAGACTGCGGCCGATGTCGTCGCCTTCCTTTACGATATCTCAAATCCGGATTCTTTCGCTTTCTGTGCTACAATCTACCTCAAATATTTCCACAGGTACCGCTTTTCTGCAAAGTTGTTTCTATTCGAAATTCAGAACAAAGACACCGTGCGTCTTGATCGCAACAAAGGTTGAGCGCGAAGAGGTCGAACAACGCTACGATACGCAACCCGAAGAGTTTTGTCGTCAACACGAGTTGCCAAGACCAATTCGTTTTAACCGTGGCCAGGTAAGCTACACCCTTCATTCGTTAGCTCGCGTATTTTTAGATCGGCGCAGCGAACAGCGCTGTCTACGAGCAGCTTGCCACGATGGCCTGCTACCCGCATTTGAAGCGCGTCTACTTCCTCCACGATTCGAATCTCCTATCCCGACTGACCTTCGGTGCCGGACTCGCTGCCCTGGCGGCCTTCCTCGTCTACAAAAACTTATGAGCTTGAACCCGACTTTTTCTCCCATTGTGCTCCTCGCATGCCCGCCATCACTCATCAACTGCCAGTTTCATGTTTGTTAGGGCCCTTATCTACAATATTTCGTCCTCCGCTCCATATGTTATGCTTGAGTGTGGGTATTTGTATATACATCGAATACGGTTCCTTTTCAGCACATGACCAGGTTCTTAGCGGGCTCTAGAAAGCCGATGAATAAATATTTGATCTCGGAATTGTATCTAACATTACAGTTTTTACAAAGGTCGTGGTACTTTTAGATACTGAAAGCAAACTAGCATAGTTCGGACAAGCCGGACAATACTGGCTGTATAAAGTACATTTTTCGGTATGGAAGAGCAAGAAACGGTCGAAGAGCCTGCAGCCAAAATCTCGAGGATCCAGCCGAAACTCGTCGTCCCAGAGGGCATCTCAAAGAAGCAATATAAAAAGCAGCTGAAAACGGAGAGGTCCGACTTGCAACCGGAAATTAAGGATTTGTTCTTTGTTCAGGTATAATGAGAAAAAGCTGGTACGCCGGGCGGAGGAAAAGCTCAAGCGAAAAGAGAAGAAAGCCAAGCTAAAGGCCGAGGGTCGCGGAAACGAGCTGGCCGGACGGCGAAAGCACAATAAGATGGCAAACAGCACATCCAAGGTAAGTCGATCGCACTAAATCTATTGCGTGTTATGTAGCAACGAATCGCTGTGGACATGCAGTTCGACAATCTGATGATTGGACGTGATCAGAACCGAACAATCATCCAGTTATCGTGGTATTTTTTTTATGCGGCAAATCAAACTTGATTTTCGGGTGCTATTCGATAAATCGGCGCGCCGACAACCCGCTGCAATTCTACGTCGCCAATTTTGACGGTGAAAGCAAAAAGGTAGATGGGGAGCGTTTTTCATTGGTGGTTGATTACAGTATTTCGACAAAACCTCCGAGCAGTGGGATGTCCATTTGCGGTCTGAGCCGTTGGAGCAGGTGTTCAACCCCAGCGAGATTGTCTACTTGACTGCCGACTCGGAAAATGTTGGTTTCGCAGTGCTTTCCCGATAATAATTGTCGTAGGTGATCACCGAGCTGGACGACACGAAAGTGTACGTCATCGGCGGCATCATCGACCACAACAGCCACAAGGTAAAAATTGAAAGACAAACAACAAAATCTTCTAGAACCTATGCTACAACCTGGCGCTAGAAAAGGGATTTTCCCACGCCCGGCTGCCCATCGGCGAGCATATCAAGATGAACTCCAGAAAGGTCTTGCTCGCTTGACATCCACAAATTTTGGTTGTAGGTGCTGACCATCAACCATGTCTTCGAGATTCTCGTCCGGAAAACGGAAGGTCTTTCCTGGGCCGACTGCCTGCTCAAGGTTTTGCCGCAGCGGAAGAGCGCTAAGCTGGTACAGTTTTGTCTAATATTTGGGCAATGGATCGTTATCGGGGGTTTAAACTCAATTTTTTTTTGTTTATTTACCCGTGGTTGCCTAGTTTAAATATAGTGTATTTTGATTGCGTCGTTGATACTTTCTGATCGTCGGGTATCAAAATATTTTTTAGTTCGAAATTTAGAAATTTTTGATGATTTTTGATCATCGGCTTGGCGATGACTTTGACGAACAGGGTCGAAATTTCGCACGTTTGCGTATCTTAAAAACGGCTGGGTATGCTATGTTAAAATAAGCGTTATACGTGTTTCTTGGGCTGCGACATTGTGTAGGAGAAAACACGTTTTACTGTGTCCATCGATAACGATCCAGAATTTTAGAAAGAGGACGGCACCGAGGAGCCCGATGTTGACGAGGAGGCCGAGCCACCTGTGGATGATGACCGCCCTGACGTCGAGCCCTCTGACGTCGAGCCTTCGACGAAAGACGAAGTTGCAGCCGGCGGTGATGCAAATGTCGGGCAGCCCAGTTAACGTCAGCCTGCCCAAAATCCCCCGTTGTTCTCGTTGTTGCTCGCGATTGTGGCTGATAAAATTTTCGCCTAGACAGCCGCGTCGGGGGCCAAACTTTCGGGAGGGTGCCGCCGATGAGTGCGAGGCCATAGTGCCACCAGCCCGCGGCATCAGATTTCACATGGACCTGGGGGCCCCCCAGGGGTGATGGTGTCGGAATGGGCACACGGCGACGTCAGCGGCCGCTCATTATTGTCGCGCCCTTGGGGGCCCTGGGTCGTATATTTCTCGCCTCGCGGGTCACCTCGTCAACGCTCATTTCAACCCGTGCCTCCGCGACACCCATTACTTCTCGCCTCCACGGCGCACACACACACGTCTCTCGATTTGGCGTTTATGAGGCGGATAAATGAGCTGTCGCCCCCAGCCCACTTTTTCACCGGCTCATTGGCGCGTTGAATTGCACGCTTGATGGCGAGAAGCTTTTTGGCGAGGGTTACGATTTTGTGCGGGTTGTTCTATAGTTTAAAGAGTTTTAAGACATCAACGGGAGGCTCCTTTTTACGGCTGTTCAGGCCGGGATTTTGGTACTGGACTGTCAACAGGGGGCGGGAAGAAACTACCTTTTCCCAAACCATTCTTCTAGCATTTCACGCAGTTTTTTGGATGGAAAAAGACAGTTCATTAAAATTTACAAAAATTTTGATTTTTCGAGCAAAGATATATGAAAATTTACCAAAAAAGGTCACATTTTTGAATTTTCAATTCTCCCTGCTAGCAGTCCTGTTCCGTTATTTTCAGGGCGCTGAAATGCCGGATGAAAAAAAAGCCGATAAGCTCCTCGTTAATTTATAACCATTCCCTTCGCCGGAATTAGCAGGTTTACGCTACATTGCTTTGTTGATGTGGGCGCCTCGTTATCGTTTTTAGACCCACAAAAAACGCGAAAACACGGCCGCTCTGGGAATATTACGCGCATCCGGGGAGGCGTTGGTTTTTGTTGGTATGGTGAGTGTGGCTGAAGCGACTTCCGACTCCAATCGGGGTCCCACCCCCTGCGGCTCCGGGTGGATGGCGACACCTAATTCGATTGAAGCCATCGGCTCCTCTTTTGGTTGGCCCGGAGAGGGTGTGTGGCCGTGCGTTGCAATGGCTCGCCCATTGCCTTTTCAACGATCTCATCTCCATTCGGGGAGATATAGGCAGTGTGTGTGGCTGGCCGGTGTGCCGTTGGAGGCCCTCAATTATCCCCTTGCCCACCGTATAATGGCCGCTTCTCACCCTGCCAGTCGTCGTCGCAGCCACATTTTCATTTTGGTAAAATGCGGCTGATATTGGGGTTTTGGGCGCTGCTCAACTTTTTAGTTATGTTGGCCGCGGTTTTGGGATGGTGATGCGTTTTACGATTTTTTTTTCAAACTAGATTTAGCTACTTTCGACGTAGGTTTTAGTTTTGGTGGACCTAGGATTCGATTTTTTCACGCTAGATTTCGCTGCTTTCGGCGAAGTTTTTAGTTAACCTTCTTCGGCCTTTTAGCGCATTTTCGAGCATATTTTTAGGATAGATTTAGCTGTTTCCTGACTTCTTATCGTTAGAAATAGCGTAATGCCATCGGCAGCCCGCGTCACTTATTAGTTAGCTAATTCTAGATAGTTCTTTTTTTAAAGGAATATCACCTCTTTATCAATAAAAATAACTGTAGGATCCGAGATCGCATCAGTTGTAAATTCTAAGTTAAGATTTTATGTTTTAGAGCTACGAGTCGCCGAAGCTACTCTACGCATTTTTATATTTTCAGTCCGTCTCATTTTTACCATTTTTAGCATATACTTTCGTCCGTTTTCAAGAAATTCGCAAAATATCAGAATTTTCGAATTTTCCATCGGGCTTTGTATGGTAAATAAGGTATTTTAATTGGCCCTTTTGGTGTAGACGTTTTCCGTTAGGTTCATTTTCTCAACCTCTTGTCTTTAGGGCCAATTTTTTGGTGCGCTTTGGACCTGCCAAACCCTTGTTTCAGCAACGAAAAGCGGAAAGAACGGCGATACCATCGGGGCGTGAGAGAGACCACCTATCCGGGCCCTTGTGCTCCCCTGATCTTTGCGGGAAAATGCTCTCCCAGGGTCCCCGTTGTTGATTACACAGCTGGTGTGTGGCAGCAGTGCCGCCAACAGGGGAGGAACAAGGCGAAGAAGAGGCTGAAGAAGAAGACATTGGCCAGTGAGGTGGTGCTCCCCGGCGGGCCGGAGAGGCTATCATTTACTCGCGATTCCATAATCCCCCCTGAGGACGGTGTGGCGCCGTCCGGCCAAGGGCGGCTGATCCCGGATTCTGCATGCCCAACACGTGTGTTTGCCGTTGGCCCCCGGTGGGCTTTCTGCTAATGAGGGCCCGTGGCGGGAAGCCATTGCCGATATATCCTCTCTTATATGCCCGCACCGACACATTGTTCTCGCACTTCGATTCCGTAGAGCACCCCGGGAAAGTGCGTAATTTTCTGGTTAGCGCATCATCAAAATTGATTTTTTTTCTGGGCTGTAAAACGTAATTTGACCCTTGAAAAGCTACCAAACCGCTGGCTAGAGCAGGAGAATTTATTTTGACGTTTAATGTAGCTTTTTAAAACTTTATCATAGGCGACTGAAAGTTAGAAAATCTACCGAGATTTGTTTTCTAGCTTGGTTATTACAAGGCATTTTTACGCTTAGCGTGACGGCGTAAAAAATTTATTGAGTTTTTCAAAGCCAGAAAACCTCTTGGTTTCGACCATTTTAGCTGTTTCCTCTATTTTGAAGATCTACGCAGCGAGAAGCGCTGCTTTTATTGGCGTGGCGATACAACTTATTGCCATTATTTTTTGGTTTTTCATTGATCGAATGCAAAATTCCTTTACTGCACAAAAAAACGCTCTTTTTTGAAAGTGGGTTAGTGCCGAATTCTCGATTTTCACATACTTTACACTACTAACTTTCATTTCGTTTGCAGCATTAATTTCTATATTTTATATATTTTGCATTGTTGGCTTATCAGCTCGTACAAATGAAGTATGACTCTTTACACATCTTTACATTACTAGGCTGGCGGCTCGTAATAAACATAACTTTTTACAGTTTCTACATATTTTTGCGTGTCGTACTGGTCAGTAATTTTTCATTTTTACATGTTTTCCCTTCATAGCCATAATCTACTCACTGATCAGGTCCCGTTAATTGTAAAAGTATATTATTCCCAGGGGGTGAATGTGTAGATGGCAATGGTGAGAAGCGAGAGACTAGCGCTCTCGCGGCTCTTCTCAATCAATTAAGCGTCCCACAGCCCCCTCCTAGAGGAAGGCTGGCAAAAGAGCCGAAATTGGGACGGCATTTTCGAGAATACTTGATGGTGGCCAGACGGGGGTGAGAGGAAGACTTTAGACGCGCATCAGCTACATACACACAACTCCCCACCCGCCACGCACCGCATCTTATCCATTTCAGCCTAATATACTTTTTTTCCGAATTTTCATTAGTTTTTTAGGCCGCGTCGTTTATTCGGTACTAGACTGTTAGCGGGGGGGGGTTTACAGTCCCGTAACACCCTTGAAAGACAGATAAACCGTTTATTACAGCATGCTACATGATTTTTAGTAAAAAAAAACAAAAAGCTTTTCAAATTTTCGAAAATTTTGGCATGTAAAATTTATGTAAAATGCCCGAAAAAGGTAATTTGTCTAAAATCTTCAATATTTCCCAGGAATCAAAAAATACTAAAAATAAACTATAAAATACTTGATATAAAAATTAATATTAGCGTTCCGACTACCCCCCCCCCTCCGGCTGACCGGTCATTACCGTTTGTTTTTAGCTTTTTGCAAAGTATTTTTTGACCTGAATATAAATGAATTGACGAAGATCTCGAACCCGCGCACGAAACAACGAGGTGCTTGTGCATTATCGGGGGGATTTCAAATCCTACTATATAAAAAAAAATAGTGTCTGTGTCTGTGTGTGTGTGTGTGTGCCCGCCCACCATCCACTTCCGTCTGTCTGTCGGAGGATATCTCGATGGGGGATGAGTTCACAAGGTATCTGTGATACGTCATTAGGTGCAAATGGTCTTGAGATGACTGCACATATCAGATTTTACAAAAATAGCTGTTTCGACATTAAATTTAAGTTTTGGCGAACACTTCTTTGTTAGGGAATAATTAACTAGACCAGGGGAAGTCGAGGATATAAAGGGGCCAGGGGTGTTTTTCATTTTTTGTCATCCAATTCCCAGGACAATATGCAAAGTGAGGGATAAAGAGGGGTCAGACGGGCCCAGGGTTGAAAAATTCGTGAAGCGCCAACCTGGTCTTTTGAAAAAACCAGAAAAATAGATTTTTCACCAAAATGCCCGATGTGGAGCAGAAATTTCCGATTCTTCAAAATTTTAGATAACTTGTCGTTTTGAAATATATTACTTTATTCAAATCCTGTAATTTTGAAATCTATTTTTGAAAATTAGGTTATTTTCTTCAACGCACTGCTTTACATACTTTTAACCTAAAAAAATGCGTTAAATTTCAAAACGATTTATTACTTAGTTTTTGCTTATTTAAAATATTTTACAACTTCTGGGTAGTAAAAAATACCGCAATACTGATTTGCTAAGAAGTCTATCTCCATCTAAAATTTACCACGTTCGTTTTTAGCGAAAATCCCGGTTGGGAAAGGGAGCGGGGCCGAACCCGGGTGCCTCGCCCCGTCGCCCCGTTCGCTATCCCCTCGACCACGCCCGCCGTTTGGGTGCATGGCCTTCCCGGGGATGGGCAGAGGGGCCATTAGGGCCCTTTCTAGGGCCCCACAGGCCCCCTGTCAACACCCGCTCAGTCTTCTTGGGGGTCCGCCATTCTATTTTTGGTGAGCCCTGCAAAAGAGCCGGGGCCACGCTTAATTCGAGCTGCCGCCTGGCGCCAGCTATTTTTCTGGCCGTCGGGCCCTCTCATCGCGTAAACGGGTGTGGCGTTTCGTTTTTATTTTCGAGGGTACGTTAAAAATTTGAATTTTATAGAGTTATTTTTGAAAATTAAGAATTAGTTTCGTGTGCATTATCGGGGGGAGGTGGGTAACGACGGGTTGTTCTAAGACTCCAGAAATACCTATTAACGTTATAGTTAGTGTTTTAATGATCTTTTAGTGGATATTAACTTTATTTGAGTGCCAAAAATTAAAAATATTTGGCGAAAATCTGCCTTTTTGGTAAAAAATCTATATTTATTCTACTTTATTAAAATTTTGTAGCGTTTGTACGTTTAAGAATAGTAAAAACAGGTTAGAAACGCCTCTTTTATTTATTTTTGAGAAATTTGAATCAAAGTTACAAAAAATTACCCCCCCCCCCGATAATGCGAAAGCATCAAAATTAAGGTCAAAGCCACAGGCGTCTAATTATTTGAAAGAAGACCTCAATATAAAAATGTGCCTAAATGGTAGGTGGTTTGCCTCCCGCCTGTAGGGCCCGAGTTCGACCCCGGCCGGTATCAACTTTTTGCTTTTTGGCTAAACTCAAAATTCGGCATTTTCTTAAGTAAACCGGCCTCGTGTTTCCATAAGCGATGCGGGTGATTCGGGGGGTTGGCAGTCTTTTGTTGCAGGGCGGAAGAAAAAAAGGAGAAGCCGAAGAGGGCCGCGGTGAGCGGCTCCTTCCTATGAAATGCATTTCGGGGATGCCCCTCGAGAGACGAGAGATGGGTCGACATGGAGAATGAGAGAGAGAGAGGGTTAGAGAAGCTCTCTCTCCCTCTCTCTCTCGCTCTCGCTCTCTCTCGCTCTCTCTGGGTCTCCTAATTGCCGTCCGTCATCCTGAGGGATTTACTGGGCTGGCCAGGAGGGCCGGTTTTGGGCCCCCGGCCGATTCTTTTACGATTTGCCGCTGAAACGTTAATTTCAATTTTTCCAAGGGACCGGTTAGTCGGATGCCGAGAATCATCCTCGTTTTGTAACAGCGCAAGCCTTGGGAAAACAGGTTTTAATGGAATAATCTTCGATTTTACCACGTTTCCCAATTCTCGACCCATTTTTAACACTTGGCCGATTGGTAGTGTGCTCCGCCCTCACCCACACGACCCGAGTTCGACCCCCGCGCGCGGCAAAATTTTTTTCTTTTTGCTCCCGGTCCGGACTTTGGTCTGACGATCTGTTCTACACAGTTTTTTTGCACATAGAGCCCTAATAATAGCCTGGTTCATATCGTCCGTTACGATACACTTGACGCAACTGTTCTCGGGAATCTCGGTACTTCCTAAATATAATTTTTTATCTGTTTTCTATATTTATGGCTCTTCGACACACTAATGGCTATCCGAATCTCCAGAAATTTTCTCGACTTCCTAGCTGTGTTAAAATATGATACGTTTAACATCAACTGTCTCCCGACACTCCTGTATTTTTCTGAACATGAATTTGTTACTTTTTACGATTAAAACAAATGCAAAAAATAATTATCTTTTTGCAGGGCTGTACCATCGTGGGAATTCGGGGGCCCAACAGCGGGGACGGGAGAAAGAGCGAGCGCGAGAGAGACACGAGAGAGAGAGAGAAAGCTAGAGAAAGAGATACTTCGAATGGAGAGCGACTTCGACAGTCTACGGCCGAACTGAGGAAGCCAAGTAAGCACTATAATAAGCGATTTTCTTGCCGTAGCCAATTGGTCGAGCTCTTGCTTCCCAGGCAACCTATCCGGGGTTCGACCCCCGGCCGGTGCGAAATTTTTTGCTTTTTGCTTAATTATTTTCAGGTTTTTTAAAATTAAATTTTTTGATTTTCAGAAGATGGCGTCGGTGGCTGCGTGGCTGCCCTTTGCCCGCGCGGCCGCCATCGGCTGGGTGCCGATCTCGCGGCAGCCGATGCCCCGGGCCCCCATCGCGATACAGGTAAGATTTTTTGGGGGAGCTGGGACTTAAGTCAAGCCTAAGCCTAAGTCTAAGCCTAAGCCAAGCCCAAGCCTAAGCTTAAATTTAAGCCTAAGTCTAAGCCTACGCCTAAGCTAAGTCTATCCCTAAGCCTAATCCTAAGCCTAAGCATAAGCCTACGTTAAGCCTAAGCGAAGCCCACGCCTAAGCCTATACCTAACAAGGGAACCTCAAGTTGGCACGGTGGAGTTTCGAAAAACGCTCGCGGCTACCCCTAGGTTTTCGACTATGGCGATTCCAACGCTCTTGTCAGAATTTCCTAAATGGGCCCCTGGACAGATACAGCACTTCCGGAAAATGGTCATTTACATCCGAAAAATTAGCATTAACGATAGGTTTATGAGGCCCTCCCATCACTATGGAATCACCACTGGAGTGGCCGAGTGGTAAGCGACTCACTTGATAGGATGCTGACGCGGGTTCGAATCCGCTCACGATTTTTTTATCTTGCTTTTTGTTAAGAATTTTCTGCCCAACTCCAAGTCTTGGTTACTTCTTTCGAAACAAATGCAAAAAATCTCATCCAAGTAAATCATACAGGCCCCTCTGTAAAAAACGGAATATGGGTAGACCCCCCTTATTGAATTTCGAGAACGACTTTTGAGGCTTCTTGGGAGTAATCAGCCTGGGGCCATAGACAAAAATTGTTCCTATAATAAAAATCAAAACTTGGAGTTGGGCAGAAAGTTCTGGTCAAAAAGCAAAATTAAAAAATCGTGAGCGGATTCGAACCCTCGTCAGCATCCTACTGAGTGAGTCGCTTACCACTCGGCCATTCAACTGGTGATTCCATAGTGATGGGAGGGCCTCATAAACCGATCGCTAATGCTAATTTTTCGGATGTAAATGTTCATTTTCCGGAAGTGCTGTATCTCTGTCCAGGGGCCCATTTAGGAAATTCTGACTAGAGCATTGGAATCGCCATAGTCGAAAACCTAGGGGTAGCCGCGAGCGTTTTTCGAAACTCCACCGTGCCAACTTGAGGTTCCCTTGTAAGCCTTAGCCCAATCCTAAGCCCATGGAGAAGGCTGAGCTTGATCATAGATTCCACCATACTCCTCCTCACATTTCCGTACGGTCTCGTACAGTTCTCTTCACTTCTGACCTCGTGCTGCTCGTTTTGGCCCTCGTGGCCGATCCGTAGGGCCCCCCCCCCCCAGGCTTTTCCAGAGGGCGTTGATGGGTTGTGATGGGTCCTTTTTCGACTTTCCCCTCCAATCGAGCGGAACACATGCTCATTCTCCCCCAAGAGGGGGTGAGGATGGTTCAGACTCCTCGGGCTCCGGGGAACAAATCAATCCATATAGCCGCCGGGGGCACAGATCAGAGAAGCGGCCGGTCAAAGCGAGAGAGAGAGAGAGAGAGAGAGAGAGATCCGCTAAAAATACATCGGCAGACCCCCGGGAAACTCGGTCCTAGACTGGGGACCTAAAAGCCGATCTGATCTCAGGGTAGCAAGCAGAGAGTATTTAGGAACCCCCATTTTGAAGGCACCGGCAAGTCAGATGCCCACACGGAAAAAATGTATTCTGTAGTCCCACTCACTTTTTGCGCGCTCCATTGCCGGCCCCTTTAAAATGGCAATACCCGGCGCGGGGATGGGCGTTTGGGTGTCCATTTCGAGCCGCCAAAATGGCAATCCCGGTCTGGATATCTCTCCCTCTTTCTGTCTCTCTCTCTCTCTCGCCTGCAGCGAATTTCGCCGGGAGTCAAAATGGGGTGCGGCAATGGGAGGATGAATCTCGGCTGGAATTTGGGGTGTTTCAAATTGGAGAGGCAGGGATGGGATGAATTACGATATGAAATGCGAATCTTGAAAGGTTGTGCTTTTTGAAAAAATTTTAATGAACAAGCCTAAGGATTTTTTGCTTCAATTTTTTGAAACACATAGCAAGTTAATTCATTAAAAAATACGATAAAGAAGCTTTGAAAATGCAATGAAATACGGCTTATAAAATTTCAAACGCTGAGGGGATTTTAAAGAGTAGATTTATGCAGTCACACTCCCTTTAAACTCAAAAAGGACCGTCCAATTTTGACGTCCTTGTTTTTGACATTTGCCTTGCCAGTTCCTTTAAAACCCACATTCCGTTCCGCTCCGAAACGGAACGCTTCACAAATCGGGTGATGAGCCCCTTCCCGTTATCCCATTTCGACACTGGAGTCGGACCGCTAGGCTCGGATTTCCGTGTCTGTCTGGCTGTCTCTCTCTCTCTCCCTTTCTGTTTTACACACGACTCGTGCAACCAATACCCATACTACATACTCAAGCACATACGAGGAAGCGAAATAGCCCGTGGAAAGCCCTGAATTCCAGATACAGCGGGCAGGCTAGCATAGGCGTTTTGGGGAATCTGGCGGGACTATAGGGACGGGGCAGGAGTTTTTTGAGGGTTGAGCAGCAGGAAGTTAGCAGGGATTCTTGGGGGATTTTGAAGAGGCAATCTAGCAGTCTTTAGAGGAATTAGCAAGCTAGCAGAGGTTCTTAGAGGGTTTTGCAGCAAGAAAGCTAGCAAAGATCCCACGGGAATTTTCATTCAATAGAGCTGGAACTGCTTTTTGGCGAATTTCCAACAGGGCAAACTAGCAGCGATCCTTATGGAGGCTATCTAGCAGAGGTTATCGAGGAATTGGCGACGGCAAGCTAGCAGAACCCTTTTTGGAATTGACCCAGGCAAGCTAGCAGCGATCCTTCTGGAATTTCGGAAGCATCGCTGCAAGCTTGCCTGGGCCAATTCCAAAAGGTAGGCTAGCAGGTAGGCTAGCAAAGATTATTGAGGAACTCGCAGACGGCAAACTAGCAGAGCTCATTTGACGTGTTTTTCCAGGCAAAAGACCTTGCCGTGGACCACGTCTCCGACGAGAAGCTCTCGATCAACATTTCCGGGCGAAAATTCGAGACGTGGAAGAACACGCTGGAGAAATTCCCGGAGACACTTTTAGGATCTAATGAAAAGGTACTTGCGGCGGGGCTTACTGTAGAATGGCGCCATTTAGGAATTCTTCTACGACGAGGAGACGGGCGAGTATTTCTTCGATCGGGACCCCGATATATTTCGACATATCTTGACGTTTTATCGGACCGGCAAGTTGCATGTGAGTTTTTTTGGGGAATGCTAGCAGAGATCCTTGAGGAATCTTAACCTGGCAGGCTAGCATAGTTCCTTGAGGAAATTCTAACAAGCAGGCTAGCATAGATCCTTGAGGAAATTCTAACAGGCAGGTTAGCATAGATCCTTGAGGAATTTGGACCTGGCAGGCTAGCATAGGTCCTTGAACAATTTCAATCAGGCAGGCTAGCAGAAAGCTTTGGGGAGGACAGACACGCCGACACAGGCAAGCTAGCAGAGAGCATTTAGGTTTTTCTACAAGGCCGAGCAAAAACTTGAGAACGCCGAAACAGAGAGCCAAGTAGGCTAGCAGCGATTCCTTGAGAATTTCCGGATAGAAGAAGCTAGCAGAAACCTTTGAGGATTTAGAATGAGGCAAACTAGCAGAGATCGTTTAGGATTTTCCTAGGGACCCGGTCCCTAAAATGCATCCCTCTTACAGTATCCGCGGCACGAGTGTCTGGTGGCCTACGATGAAGAGTTGTCATTTTTCGGCATTATGCCCGATTTGATATCAGGTTTGGTGTCAGGGTTTCTGAAATGCATTCGGTATTTTTAGATTGTTGCTATGAGGATTATAAGGACAAAAAGCGTGAAAATCAGGAGCGACTCCTTGAAGAAAGACTCGAGAATACCGACGCGACAAAGTTGAAGCAGACAACACAGGTTGGTGATTTGGTTAGAGTGCTGTAGCGTGTCGCAAAATGTACGGTAGTGTACGGTAGACTACGATCGAGTACGTTAGAGTAAGGTAGAATACCGCACACTACGGTAGACTACTACAAATACTAGTACGATACAGTACGGGGGAGTACAAAACGGACGACGCTAGCTTGCGGGAAGTACGATAGCTTTCGACAGAGTACAGTAGACTACGCTGACAACGGTAGATAAACGCAGGTATTTCCGGGGACGGAAAGTACGAAGAGTACCGTGGATTACTTGATTACGAAAAGTTACTGTACTACTCAATAAGTCCCGAAATTTCCAGCAAAAAATGTGGGCAGCCTTCGAAAACCCTCACACCTCGTCGGTGGCGTTGGTGTTCTACTACGTGACGGGGTTCTTCATTGCTGTCTCCGTTCTGTGCAACATTATCGAGACTATTCCTTGCAGGTCAGTCTCTAGCCGTCACCATCCCTTTAAACACACCCCTTAAGGTACACCGATGATGTGAGCACGTCCTGCGGTGATCTGTATGAGAAACAGGTACGGTATCTTGAGCCATATACAAAAAACAACCTAGCAGGGGCCATTTGGGAATTCCTGCTGTTAAAGCCTCTTAAAACAACTTCAAATTTCAGTTCTTCGTCCTCGACACGGCGTGCGTGATCATATTTACGATAGAGTACTGTTTACGGCTCTACGCCGCGCCGGATCGATGCCGTTTTGTGCGCTCAATTATGAGTGTCATAGGTGCGTACCAGGATAAGCCAAAGCTAAGCCTAAGCTAAGCCTAAGCTAAGCCTAAGCTAAGCCTAAGCTAAGCCTAAGCTAAGCCTAAGCTAAGCCTAAGCTAAGCCTAAGCTAAGCCTAAGCTAAGCCTAAGCTAAGCCTAAGCTAAGCCTAAGCTAAGCCTAAGCTAAGCCTAAGCTAAGCCTAAGCTAAGCCTAAGCCTAAGCTAAGCCTAAGCTAAGCCTAAGCTAAGCCTAAGCTAAGCCTAAGCTACCCCTAAGCTACGCCTAAGCTAAGCCTAAGCTACGCCTAAGCTAAGCCTAAGCTAAGTGTAAGCCTGAGCCTAAGCCTAATACCGTAATCCACTACTTGTTTTCAGACGTCGTCGCCATCCTACCGTACTACGTCGGCCTGGCCTTCCAGAATAACAAAGATTTCTCGGGGGCATTCGTGACGTTGCGTGTTTTTGTGAGTCCTAGTTTTTTTGCATACTCCGCTGCCGCTACGCAGCAAAGTAATTTACAAATTTTTTTTCAGAGGGTTTTCCGAATCTTCAAATTTTCCCGCCACTCTCAGGGCCTACGGATACTCGGCTATACATTAAAGGTAGGATTTACTTTCGATTGGCTAAGCTTTGCCTTCAATGGTCCTTTAAAAGACGATTTCTTCGGGTAATAATCTAATTCATATCAAAATATTGTCATTTTTCCAGTCGTGCGCCTCGGAGCTCGGGTTCCTTGTGTTCTCGCTGGCGATGGCGATCATCATCTTTGCCACAATCATGTACTATGCTGAGAAAAAGGTGCCGCACACCAGGTACGGTAGTTTTGATGTCCCACCCTAATTAAGGTTCTAGAAAAAGTATTTTGCGCAAAAAACCCAGCTTTCTAGGACTGTCTGTCTACTTGAAAAACTCGTAAAAATTCAAACTAGAAAAACTCTAGAAAACAAAGAAATTTCAGATTCACCTCAATCCCGGACGCCTTTTGGTACACCATCGTTACGGTAGGAAATTCGCCAGACTCCGCTAAATTCCGCTGGATTGCAGTTGACAACGCTCGGCTACGGTGACATGGTCCCGTCAACAGTGATGGGAAAGATTGTGGGCGGTGTCTGCTCGTTGTCTGGAGTGCTTGTCATCGCCCTTCCTGTTCCCGTAGGTTTTACACCAATTTACAAAGGGTTTAAAGGAACTGCCAACGCATTTGGTGGCGTAATGAATTGCTAGTTTTGAATATGCCAATGAACCAGGGCTGCCTGTACTCCTTGAACTTGCTGTTTAGGTCCATACCTTTTGGCCGAGGGTTTAAAGGGATGGGAAAATGATAGAAACCCGGCCTGTACTTCTTGAACTCGCTGTTTAGGTCATCGTCAGCAACTTTTCACGAATCTACCATCAGAATCAGCGGGCGGACAAGAGACGTGCGCAAAAGGTACGGTAGTATCGGCATGAGTACAGTTCGTACTCCCGCTTTTCGGCAAAAGAGATAACGAGAGAGAGTGTGAGGGAGAAAGAGAGAAAGAGAGAGAGAGAGAGAGAGCGAGAGAGAGAGATTGAGAGAGGGATAACGCGCGAAGGAGGGAACAGTAGAACATTTTAAAACATTCCCATTTAGAAAGCCCGTCTGGCCCGAATACGAATCGTGAAGAACGCCTCCGGCCAAGCCCTCTTCAACAAGAAAAAGGCGCACGAGGCTCGGATGCGCGCCTTCGAGCAGGGTACGCAATACAACCGTTCCGGCGGCGTAATTTGGTGTATTTTGTAGGGCTGCTGTCGTTTGATGCGTTGCGGGATGAGGACATCTTCGAGATACAGCACCATCATTTGTTGCAATGCTTGGAGAAGGCCACGGTGGGTTAATCGATTTCTCGAAATCTCTCTTACTCTCTCTCTCTCGCTCTCTCTCTCTCTCTCCCTTTTTCTCATCCCCTTTTTCCAGGAACGCGAATTCGTCGAGGCGGACATCTCATTCGAGGGCGGTGGTGTGAGAGCCACCCCTCCGCTCACCCCCTCATCCTCCTCTTCCCAGTTGCGAAGGTACGTACGGTCATTTGGAGCGTCGCATAGTCGTCAAAGGTGGTAGTTTGTAGCGTAATTTCTAATTTTCAGGCGTCGCAACAGCGTTGGGTGGTGCTGTGTGGGCAGACGGAAATCCGAGGGCGACATCGAAGCTCAAAAAGTCACTTTTGCCGACCAGAATCAGGTAAGCCGACAAATTCCATTTTTTTCCGAATTTTCAGGATTCCTAATGCATTCGGTTTTGGCTCAAAAACGATCAAAAACAAAAATTTTCAGGTGCACGAGCCATCCCCTAACGTACACGTAGACGACGTCGGTCATCATCGCCCGCATGAGAAGTTTTGCATTTCACAGCTGTAGCCGTCGCGTTATTTTGAAGACCAAATTGCCGTATATCTCTCGCCACTCTCCTTCTCTTGCCTCTCTCTCCCTTTCCTCCACGATTTCTCTACACACAGCTCATCAGCCCTCGACACGATACGGGTCCTTTTTCTTCTGTATTTTATGAAATTGCTAGCCGTTGTTTCAGTTATCTCTCTATCTAGCCCTCGCTCTCTCCCCCCTCTCTCTCTCTCTCTCTCCCTCCCTCTCTCTCACTCTCTATTGCTTCTCAAATTATCCTCCATCCCATCCTCCCCCTTCCCCAAAAATGAGATCGACTTCCAGCCACCGAACGGGTCCCCGGCTTCCCCCTTTTCCGCGTTCGCACCCCCAAATTTCTAGCTTTATTAATATTATTTTATGTGGAATTTATGGAAATTTATTTTTGTGCTTCTGACATAAAGGAGGATTGTCATTTGGTACTTAAAGAAGCACGACAGGTGCGGAAAATCAAGGCAAAAGACGAGAAGATTCTCGATTTCCATGCAGCTCGAAATGCTCAGAAAAACTGTCACTGTGGTTTGTAGTTCATATCCGGAGGCGGATGTTGTAGCCCTTGCTCGGAAATTAGTTGCGAAATTCGTACGTACGTAGCATACGTACTTCGCATAACCCAAAAAGGCTCAGTCTTCAGCCTGGCAGCTCAACTGACCCAAAAATTTTAACCAAGCTGGCTTCATCGCATTCAAATCGAATTGTCGATTGGATGCGAACCTTTTATTAAACCAACCCGCTCAACTCGAAAAAATCTCGTTGGATTCTACCATAATTTACATGGCAATTCTGTATGTAGTGTGTAGTCAAGAGTCTGTAGTGTGTAGTCTGTAGTGTGTAGTGTATACATGCGTAACCAGGTGCACCGCGGGGAGAATACGCGAAAATGCATTTATTGTGCATACGGGAGGAATAAGATGTTGCGAAGGTGGGCGCAGTCTGAACTTGTTCGGGGCGTCGTTGCGGCGACGTCGTCGTCGTCGTCTAGTAGTGGTAGAAGGCGCCAAAGTGGGACGAGCGCACGGCAGCCCGGCCGGCCTCCGCATCGTAGGTGCCGTTGCCGACCTGGCGGCCAGCCACCTCGTGGCCCTCGACGGCGGTCACGCAGTCCGCTTCCGGGATGGCGGCGGCTGAAAAAATTTGCATAAAACGGATTCCGGAAGTGGTTCTAAAGATTTGGGCAAAAAGCAAAAAGTTCTGCACCGACCGGAGGTCGAACCCGGATCGTGGGATTGAGAGGCAAAACGACTATCCACTAGGCTATGAGCACAGCGGGTGAGCATGGGGGGAAGAGGCAAAGAAAGTTTAGGCGGAGCCGGCCACCCACCATTGAGCGTGCCGTCGGCGGCCTGAGCAGCTCCGGGGTTGGCGGCGAGCTCGCGGAGTTCGGCAATCTGGCCGTTGGTGAGGCCGGGCAGGGCCTGGAAGGTGGGCAGGTAGGCGGAGCGGGCGTTGGCGGCCATTTGAGAGCTGTGGATGATGTGAAGGGAACTTCGGTAGCCTCTGCCCGGCGCCAGCTTCTTTATGTACCGGAAAACCCATGGAAATCGGCATGTAAATTAGGAAAATGGAAGCAAAATTGTCGAATTCCATCCGGAAACCGTTTACGGTATGTAAATCGTCTAGATGTGGCTTTTGGCGCTTAAGGTCGACTCTTAAAATTCTAAAAATCTACCCTGGAAAAAGCCACGCCGTGAAATTTGCACTTTGCTATGTTTTTGGCGAGCATTTTTCGAAATTTGCATGCGTTTTTCCAAGCCTTGTCGGTCCCTTTAAAATGTCGCCTTTTAACGTGCTTGGCAACTTTCCGATCCCATACGCTGCTGGGCTTTGATTTCACAAAATATTTCCTTGGCCGCAATTACAGGAGGCCCCGACAATTATTGGCCCCCTCCCGGTCAATCCCGTGGTCCATAACGATCTGTATCTGGCCTAGGCCCCTTCAAAATTAGGGCCCATCTCGCCCCTCCATTAACCGCGACTGCGTCAACACGCCCTGATTTCCTGCGGCTGGCCCGGCGGGCGGGACCGGAAAGTTCCGGAAAATGAGGTCTATTTTCTGCTGCAAACGGTTGATGTCAGTTTTTAGTATTTCTCGAACTGAATGGGCTTTGCAGGAAAGAAAAAATTGGCTATTAGCTTGAGCCCGAATTAAGGTATTTTTAATCGATTTAAAACAGAATATTATTTTTACAAAATTCCATTTCGCTTTTTAAAGGGACGTGGAAGTCAGGGAATTGGTTGCGACGTTAAAATGGGTAAATGAAAAATATATCGTTATCATTGTGTGTCTCTTTTCTCTCTCTTCCTCTCTCTCTCTCTCTCTCTCTCTCTCTCTCTCTCTCTCCCTCTCTCTCTCTCGCTCTCTCTCTCTCTCATCTCGCTCTCTCTCTCTCTCGCTATCTCACTCTTTCTCTCTCCACTCACACGCTCACGCTCACTGGTTCAATGAGTCTCAAAGTCTCAAAGTTGCGTCTATCTCTTGCTCACACACGCTCGTGCTCCTGTTCCATTTCCTCCTGGCACCATTCCTTTAGTCTCCAGACCATTTCCGCCCTGTAAAGTACACCAAAAATCACGTGCTCCAAAAACTGGATGAAGTTCATGGCCATTTCCGCTTCCCGTTGACGATGGTGGGGGTTCAAAAGTGGGGGGGGGGGGCAGTAGAGAGGCCAACGGGGTGTGACTTCCGTTTTGCGAATTTTCAGATCAGGGGGCCAGTGGAGCGTGAAGCCGACGAGAAGCCGGGCCTGGAAGGGCGGAAATCTTTGTTTTCTAAGTTGGTTGGGTTTTAAAGGGAGGATGACATCCCGTCCTCTCTCTCTCTCTCTCCCTCTCTCTCTCTCCCCGACGTTCCATCTACGTCCATACCTTGTATTTCTTTAATTGTTTTCCAGCTTTTTATTTACGTTTTCCATTCCACACAACACCTGATTACGTTTGGATTTTGATCCGCAAAGAAACATTAGAAACCCGTTAATTTATAAATCCCCCAGGGCCTGCCATTCATTAGAATTTGGAGCGCGGTTCGCCAAAACGCAGCCAAAAGTTTTAGAATATTTTCAGTCCGGGCGAAAGTAAAATGTCCGTTTTCAGCGCAAAATCGAGTCGCCCCTGCCTTCGACGGCCCTTTAAAACCTGCTAAATCACTTTCCTAGCTGGCACTGGCCTTTTAATGCCTAATTCCAACAGGAAAAAGCAAATTTCTGGATTTTCCACCCAACAAATCCAGTCGCCCCTGCCTTCAATGGTCCTTTAGGGCCCTGGGCTTCAAAGTACACTTCCCCCCGTGCCCCCGAGTTTTGTCTGCCATTTTGTGGCGATAATGAGGAATGACAGGAGGCCTGCACTGGGTTGGGTCCTCCTGCCTGGGTCTCCTGGCCCCCACTTCTAGCCCGTCAACGCCGATCTGGCAAGACCTGGGCCCCTGTCTTCCCTTCTCCTTTCCATCTTCCCGCTTCCAAATCCCTCTAATTAGTGAATGGACCGACAAAAAGGAGGTGTGGCACCGCCGAAAAAGCGTGCACCTTTTAGAATTTGGGCCTCGAGCGGCGACGACGAATTGACTGGGTTAGGGTTTTGCGATTTTATCCGGATTTTTGCTACGGTCTAGTCGATTTTATGGTAGCTTGAAATGAATTATTTCAAGACAATGTAGTTTTCTAGCTTGCTACCTGCTGATCTCTCTCACTCTCTCGCTCTCGCTCTCTCTCTATCTCTTGCTCTCGCTCTTTCTCTCGCTGTCTCTCTCTCTTTCTCTCGCTCCCTTTCACTCGCTCTCTTTCGCGCGCTCTCTCTCTCTCGCTTGCTCTCTGTATCTCTCACCTCTTTCTCTCTCTCTCACCCGATTTCACCGATGGCAATTTTTGGTTTGACTATCATAAATTAATCTTTTTAGTGAGATGTTCTAAAGAATTGTACAAAAAAACAAGCTAGCAGAGTCCCTTTGAGAAATTACTACGGCTAAAATACAGAAGCATTCTGCCTTTTTAATGGGTCTGGGATGGTTGATTAATTCTATTCATTTTTGCTAAATTACCGTACTCCCCCCTACTCGGCTCGTCAATTGGAAACATTCGGAGTGTCCGAGCTGCTATTAGCGAAACTTCCGGCCGCCCACGCCGGAAACAACGGATCGTCGAACAAATCTGGTGGTCACTCAAAGTTCGATAGTTTGCGGTATTTAGTCTCTACGTTCAGCATAAGCCAAGCCTATGCTAAGCCTAAGCTAAGCCTGGAAACCACGCATAAGCTGAAGCCCTCGTCTTTAGGACCAAAGCTAACTAAATTCGGGTTGGGAGAACCGATGAAGGCCCTGTCACGCAACCCATGTCATCCCATTGCCCATTCTTCATCTGTTTGACTCGGATGAAGCCGCTATCCGCTTGATGGCGTGAAGCTTCGAATTGAATTTGCCGATTCTCACGAATAGGGCAACGAAAGCCGCGAGCACTAATAGCCCCTGGCATTCCGCAAATGGTCTTCGCTAGCCTGCCCATTTCTTGGGAGAACTTAATAACACGGCCTAACGATTTCCTCAAAGAATCTTTGCTAGCTTGCCGAGTTTCGAGGAATCCTCAAAGATCTCTGCTAGGCTGCCTGGACTAGAAAACGATTGAAGCTCGCGGTTTTAAGAAATTGTCCAGAAGGACCTCTGCTAACCTTTCCTAGAATTTGGAGTGAGAGAGAGAAAGAGAGAGAGAGAGAGAGAGAGAGAGAGAGAGAGTGAAAGAGAGAGAGAGAGGGAGATAGAGATAGAGAGAGAGGGAGAGAGAGAAAGGGAGAATTTCCTCAAAGATCTCTGCTAGCCTGCCTATAACGAGCAAGCAGCTTCCCCAATGATCCCTGCTGGATTGCCTGGCTAATGTTGATTTTTCGAAACAAACAATGATATTAAACTTATTTCCCCGAAGATCCTTGCTAGTTTCACTCCGTTTCTTAGCGAGTTCCAAGTTTTTTGTGTTTTTCAAATTCCATTTCCGTCCGAGACTCTGCTAACCAGTCTATCAGCTGGCGTTTCTTACATAACGCCCACAAGCTATTTTCGCCCGGTCCAGGTTCTGGAAATGTCGGCAATTTTTCCGAATTCCATTTGCAGACCGTCTAGCAGGGGGTTTTGGCACTTTTATGCTTTGGAGCCGAGCGCACCTGAAAAATCGCACCTGCCTTCCAGGGAGGACGTGCGCGAGTGCCCCAAAAATATGCTGACCACTCCGGGTTTTTATCAGAAAATATCGATTCGTTTTGGTGTAGTTTTGGGCATGCTACATTTTTTTATGCTTATGTGGTAGCATTTCTGTAGGTCTAGCTGACTAAATATTGTTGTCGTACGGTAACTAAATATCTCTGAAGCACCACATTTTTAATACAATTTGCTATCAGAATGTCGAAATTCGAAATGTCGAAATTTGGTAATGTCGAAATTCGAAATCTCGAAATTTCATAATGTCGAAATTCTAAATGCCGACATTTTTTCTGTAGGATTCGCGTGTTTTCTGGAAAATTCGCTTATGTCAATTTCAACATCTTGGAAGTAACCCCCTTACGACCCTTCCCTTTCAGTTTTCGAATTCTATTCCTGTAAACATTCCCTTCACGCCAAAACTTCAGTACTCCAAACCGACCGCCGTCGAAAAATGCGATTACTCTGGTGTATGCAAATCGAGGAGAAAGATTCGAGCGTGTTCGGCCTCAAAGTTCGAAACAGGTAGGAGTAAATTTTCGTTTGTTTTATCAAATTTACGGTATTTTTACGAGGTAGAAATCAATTTATGAAGCGCAGGCGCTTATAGAAAGTAATTTTTTAGACAGCTGGCCGTCTTCTTCACCCTTCTCCAGCTCTCCGTCGCCTGCATCAGCTTTTTTCAGGTGATTTTAAAGCCAAAAATTGAATTAGTATCCGGAAATTTCTCGGTCTTTCTCCCCCTCTCTATCGCTTTCTCTCTCCCTCTCTCTCTCTCGCCCTTTAAATAGCCGTTTTATAGCACATTTTCTCCATCTACCGCTACCAAAACGTGTTCCTCTGCAAATCCGACATCGACTACGAGAAGGCCGATTTGGAGGTGAGTTTCTGCTGGAATTCCCGATCCTTTAAACATACCGTATGCTGCCCCAATCCTTCAAGGCATTTTTGGACTCTTTGCAGACCCGTTTCCTCGCCTACGACATGATCATCTTCGACTTTGGGCTGATGCGTCGCGTGTTGGGCACGGACGAGTGTGTCGCGAATTATTTGGGTATTTTCGCTCGGTGGTTCGCATAAAATACCGACAAATTGTAGATGGTGGTTACATGCGGTTCGCCTGGTGTTTCCAGCACGCGTCCGCGTTGAGCTTGGCGTTGATGGCGTTGCTGTGCTGTCCGAGGCCGATATGGCTGCTGTGGCCAGGTGGGAGGGAGCGAGAGAGACAGACAGACAGAAAGAGAAAGAGAGAGAGAGAGAGAGAGAGAGAGCGGGAGAAAGAAAGAGAGAGAGAGATGCAGAAGGTGAGTGACAGTGACTGAGGGCAAGAAAGATAGAGAGATATAGAACAAGAGTGAGAGATGGCGACAGAGAGAGAGAGAGAGAGAGAGAGAGAGAGAGAGAGAGAGAAAGAGAGCGACACGCTGAGAGAGATAGCGAGTGTTAGCCAATGCGATAGAGAGAGAGAGACACCAAAAGCAAGAGAGAGACGGAGAGAGCGAGAGAGAGATAAAGAGCGAGAAAGACAGAAAGAGACACAGAGAGAGAAATACCGTAATCCCGCAATTTCAGCACTAATGATGCAATCCTCCTACTCCCTCGGCATGTCGGTTTTGACGATGGCAACAGCGCCCAAAATTTTGGAAGCTTTGGGTGAGTTGTCAGGGGCAAACCAGCAAAGAAAATTTGGGGATTTATCATGCGAACAGTCCTTTTTTTGCAGGTGGAGCCGTCTCGATAAATCTTTGGATACCATTTCTCCTGTTTATCGGCGGCTTTTGTGTGAATTGGCTGTTCACGTTCGTCCTCTGGCATCACTATTGGCATGTAGAACACAGGGAGGAACGGCGGAGGAAAGCGCTCAAAGAATGCGAAAGGTGCGAGTTTTACTGATTATGTTGTGATTCAAGCGAAATTATAAAAACTATAATGTCAGTTCTCCCTCTCTCACACACTCTCTCTCTCTCTCTCTCTCTACCTTTCTCTCTCTTCTACTCTCTCAATTGCTAATTGGACTAAATTCAATATCCATTATTTTATAGAGAACTGGTCGGGGATGAGGGACAAGACGATTCTGATGACGACGACGATGAGGACGCCGACTGGATAAAGCCGGAATTTGTATAACTTTGTAAATAGTTTGCCTTTGTGATATGTGAATTTACCGGTGAGGGCGTTAGCCACGTAGTGATAGATAAAGATTTGATATAGTCCAAAACCGCAAAAGATACAGAACAATTTGAGAATTCAACAAATAATCCTTTTATCTCCGTGCCCGATTGGTAAAGTTCCCGCCTACCACGCGCGGGGCCCAGTTTCGGGTCAAGCCGGGAGCGGAACTTTTTGCTATTTGTTCGGGAGCTGGGGAAAGACTTGTTTTGGAAGGCACAACAAAAGAAAATGTTTGAGCTACTTACCTATTTAAGAAAACGAGCAAAAACTGGTCATGAACTTTTAGGTTTTTTGGTTTTTTTTGTTTAAGATGATTGAACTAGCTTTATTTTTTCTGGTTTATTATTATAATAATTAATACATTTATGTATAATATATATCTTTGAGGTTTTTAAAACTTGCTAACCTTATTAAATTGGCAATTTTGTCGGGAAATTTAATTAATTTTTCGATGGTTTTCGAATTTTTCATATTCAATATTAATGCTCTCTTAACATCTGTCGTTTTCCAACATTTTCAGATGCCCTTTGGCCTTTATCACGTGTATTATTGGCTCGAATTTACAGATGCTCTTTTCTGGGAGCGGGCAGTGGATCGGTTATCTATCGGAAACCACGTGTAGTCTGTTCGGCTATACTCCACCCTGCCCCCCCCCCCCTTCGACTGATAATACCGGCCAATATCTGCCGCCCCTTCCCAAAAAGGCTCAACCGTCGCGCGGAATTCGTTGTGTTCCGGAATCTGCATAGTTCTATATTGTTTTTACATAAAAATTTGATTATTGCAAAATTGCACCCTCGGAAAGCAATTAAAAATATTGAAAATCTAGTTTTAGCTTCGATAAAATAGATATAAAATATATAAAATATATTTAGTATTTTTCAATGTTTCTAGCCCCCAGTGAATTCCTCTTTTTAACACGCCGAACGCTTATTCATCGTTTTTCAAATTTTTTTTATTGACAAACTGAAATTTTTGTGATATTTAAAGTAATTTGCTAGGTTCCATAATTCCAACTTAAAAATGAGAAATTATAAACATACCTTTTATTGAGAATTTTTTAAGGTATGGTTGCGGGCACGAACGAGCTGATTCCGGATCTTCCGGACGGTCCACTAACACCATACCGTAAGGCCGCATCCTTCGACTGGAAGGCGCTGAAAATGGCGCTGGAGGGGGAGGATAGCATAAAATTTAAGGTGAGTTCAAGCTAACGCGGCGTGTACGTAGCGGTCGCGTCGCGGCTTGGTGGCCCCGCTAAGCGGCTAGACTCCAAAAACGGCAGAAAACTCTAAGTAGCGAAATATAGGGCCCTTTCCAGGGTACTGGTTCATTAGCGGGGGGTAATAGTATCCCAATGAGCCTATTGTGTCCCAGTACCCTTTTCATTCCAGACCATTTTCTAGAATGAAGTCTACAGTGTGCTGGCGAGGGACCCGGTTTTTGCCCGTGATTTCGGCCGCCCGTCCACTCAAGAATACCGCGAGATCAACCACCGCCGCTGGAAGGCCATTCTCCAGCACAAATTCATCGATGATGTACGGGTTTTTGGGTTTAAAGGGATTCGCACGGCAGGAATCCATCACACTCCCCTGCTCACGGCTTCCACGTACCTTTAAGCGTCTAAATTTTTCAGTTCTTTGCCGAAATCGAGCGGACGCAGGATCTGCTGGAGATCCTCGAGACGTACGACCAGGGGTTGAGTGGGCGGTACGCACTACATGCTAATGTGAGTGTGGTTTGTGAGGATTTTTCCGTTCGGCGACTCGCACGAAATTTTAACACATGGCAGGCTAGCAGAGACCATTGAGGAATGAAAGTGACCGAAAAACGCTCAGAAACACTTACATTTAGGTGTTCTTCTCGGCGATTCTGACGATGGGCACGGATAAGCATGCAAAGCTGTTGGAGCAGACGCGGAACAATCAGGTCTGTTTCTCTCTCTCTCTCTCTCTCTCTCTCTCTCTCTCTCATTCTCTCTCTCTCTTTCTCTCTCTCTCGCTCGCTCTAACAACTAAACCCCTTCAGATCGTCGGCTGCTTTTGCCTGACTGAGGTGTCGCACGGCTCGAACACTGCTGAAATCGGCAAGGCACAGAAGCTCAAAACAATATGAAAAATTCAGGAACCCTGGCCACTTTCGACAACGGCCAGCTGGTCTTCAACACGCCCAACGACGGGGCCGTCAAGTGCTGGGCCGGCAATTTGGGTATGAAAAATAACATAGCAATCCAAATTCAATTCCTACAGCCCAATCGGCCACCCATGCCGCCGTCTTTGCGAGGCTGATCGTTGGCGGAAAGGATCATGGGCCTCATGCCTTTGTGTTGCAAGTTAGGTGCGTCCCATGGGAGGGTATTGGGCGCTTTAAAGGGACCTACAAGGCTCGGCATTGCCCCAGGTTAACAGACAATTCTAGGGACCCAAATACCTACCGCACCCTGCCCGGGATCACGATCGGCGATATGGGCACGAAGGCCGGGGTGTGGGATGGCGTGGAAAATGGGTGGATGAGTTTTTCGGTGAGTGTCTGTCCTTCTCTCGTTCTCTCTCTTCCTCTTTCTGCCGCTCTCTCTTTCTCACTTTCTCTCTTCCTCTTTCTCTCCTTCTTTCTCTTTCTCTTTCTCCCTATCTCTCTCATGCTTCAACTACATTTTTAGAATCACCGTGCCTCACTGGATACCCTATTAAACCGCGGCTGCGACATCACCCCGACAGGTGAATACAAAAGCGCCTACTCGTCCAGCCGGGAGCGCCAGTCTGTCAGCCTCGGCTCACTGAGTGCAGGCCGTATTGGTACGCCATTAATCCTCCAAATCCTCTGCTAGCATGCCCGCCCTACCTTTCTTCCTTCTACATGCTCCATTTAGGCATCGTCGGAAAAGGAGCCCTGGCCTGTCGCCTAGCCTCAACGATCGCCATCCGATACAGCTGTGCCCGACATCAATTTGGAGAGAAGCCGGGGCAAGAGAGTACGATGGAATACTATTAACGCGCACCGATACCTTTTTAAGATGAACGGGCGGTGATCAGCTACCCTCTGCAACGTCATCGCCTATTCCCGATCCTCGCCCAGGCCTTTGTACTCCGACTTTACCATATGAAACTGCTCGACCACTTCCGGGAGTACATGATGCGCATGGTGGGCGGGGAGAAGAGCCCGGAATTGGTGGGTGGAGCGATTCGGTATCTCTCTTTCTCTCTCGCTCTCTCTCTCGCGCGCGCGCTCTCTCCCTCTCTCTCTCTCTCTCTCTCTCTCTCTCTCTTTCGGACTAGAAGCAACCAAAATCCGTCCCCTTCCTGGAATGGATATCGGTATGCCAGCTACGCGCTACGCCACTTAACGATTTGCGTCACTTGGCCCCCTCGTACATATTTTTCGAGACCTAGCCAAACGAGGGTCGATGCTTGCTCTTCCCAATCCCTCTAATCAATGCGAAATTCGAAAATCCCAGGCCGAACTGTCAAAAGAAGTGCACGGCCTTTCCTCATCCACCAAACCGCTCTCGACGTGGATGGGCGTGGCGGCGCTGGCCGAAGCGCGGACCTGCTGTGGTGGCCATGGGTACGGTACCAGGTTCATCACCTAAAAATAAATTCAGCTACCTCCAATCGTCGCGTCTCAACGCACTGCGCGACGACTTCGACCCGTCGCAAACGTTTGAGGCTAGTTTTTGAGGAAATTGAAGCATAGAAAAAAAATCGGCGAGACGAAAAATTGGCAACACAACAAAAAGCAATGTGAAAAAAACGTCCAGATGAAAATCGACGTATTAAACACGAAAAATAATCTAAATAAAATTTCATATCCTCATTTTTAGGGCGAAAACAACGTTCTGCTCCAACAAACTTCCAATTGGCTGCTGGTGAAGAAGGCGAGCGGCCACTTCTCGAGCCCGATGGGCACCACCGACTTTTTGGGCGAGTCAGGCGGACTGATCGAAGGGGATATCGTCAAAAGTCAGTTTCCTTCAAAGTTGAAAAGTTTGACGCTGCAACCTTCATTCTCAACATTTAACTTTTAGAAGTCCTGTCCGCGTACACCTGGCTCGTCCACTACCTCATCGCCAAAACCGAGGCCAAGCACAAGGAGCTCAAAGCGCAGGGGAAAAGCCAATTTGACGTGCGGAACGAGTCGCAGGTATTAAAGTAATAACTAAGGTTTTAGACTTTAAAAAATCTTGTGGTTCATTAACTTTCGATATATGCCTAAAAATCTAAAAATTATTACCTTAACTCAAAAGTTTTTTCCTTAAAAAATCAACCAACCTCGCTAGCTCACGGAAAAACTTCCGCTTCAGGTCTACACGGCTCACACCTTATCCGTAGCGTACGGTGAGCGCGCAATCCTATCATGGGCCCAATTATACGTCGACGACGCGGAGAAACAGTTCCAGTAAGTCTAAAACCTTAAAAAAATCAACGAATTTATACCCTGGAAATAAGCTTGATAAAAACTCTATAACTCGGTATATTATTGGAAAAACCCATATAGACCCGTCCTCCAACGTCTCGTGAACATCTTCGCCCTCGACCGCATCGAGAAACACCTGGCGACGCTGTACATCGGCGGCTTCTGCTCTGGCTCGAGTCTCGGGGAATGGGTGCGCGAGAGCCTCATCGCCGAGGAGCAAAAGTTGGCGCCAGACGCCGTGGCCCTCGTCGACGTCATCGCACCGCCAGACTTTGTCCTCAACTCGGCGCTAGGAAGTAGTGATGGAAGGTAGATCGTTAAAAACCGCCGGTAGAACTCCTTCAGAGCCTACGATCACCTGATGGCCGAATTCCGGCGTCACACCGATCAGCGTGCGCCCTTCTGGGGCGACCTCGTAGGCTTCCTCCACGAGAAGAGCAAGCTTTGACAGCGCCGTTGCACGTTCCCTGTACTAAATATATACCTTCTATGGATTTATCAAAACACGTTGCGCTCACACTACTCACAATCACAAGTACACTACCCAGGAATGTGGGAAATGCCAGGAGAAAAATCGGGGTGAGAGGGACAGTATGGTGGAGAGAATCTAGATAGATGATAAGTAGTTTGCAGAAAGAATACAGATTGAATGTCACAAATTCGACAAAAAAATGGGTTAGCCGACAAAAAAATATTAGGCTTGATAGGCGTTGCTCGTCACGCGGCCGCCGTGTCCGGTCCAGTTAGTGTGGTGCTAAAATTTGCTTTAAAAAGAAGAAAGAATGAAATTACCCATGTTCCGGGCTTATCCACGAATTCATAGGTGTGAGCTCCAAAATAATCGCGTTGGGCTTGCAGGAGATTGGCGGGTAGGGTCTAGAAATCAGGGTTTGAAAGGAACAGCGCTTTTAAACTGACATCACTCGTGTATCCGTCGTAGAAAGCCAACGCGGCGGACATTGTTGGCAGCGGGATTCCTAGCTTCACCCCGTCCGAAACGACAATACGCCAAGAACGCTGAAAAAAAGACACAATTGTAACCGAAAACAGTATTAGTAAACCTCGGCCTCTTCCATGGCACGCACGAAGAAGTCATCGAGCAGCAGATTCGTCAGGTTCGGGTTCTTGTCGAATGCCTAAAAGGAGAATTAGGAAAATACAAAAGTCAATCTACCTTCTTAATATCGCCAAGGAATCGGCTCCGGATGATGCATCCTCCCCTCCACATCAGCGCGATGGCCCCAAAGTTGAGGTTCCACTTCAGCTCCTTTGACGCCTCGCGCAGCAGCATGAAGCCCTGGGCGTACGAGACGACCTTTGACGCGTAGAGAGCCTAAAAAGACGGATTAAAATCATACAGAAATCTATTACCTTTCCAATGTGCTTGAGGAAGTCGCGCTTGTCCGGGATCAGCTCGTCGACCTTGAAAGTCTGCTTCTTGAGCTGCTTGGACGCCTGCACGCGTTCGTCCTTCAGCGCGGAGAGGCATCGCGCAAAGACGGCTTCGGCTAAAGCATCCAATTAAATTTTTTGAGGAAAAACTTACAAATGAGCGTCACAGGTTGTCCATAATCAAGCGCGGCGATGCATGTCCATTTACCGGTGCCTTTCTGAAGATCAAGAAGCTCCTTCCTTGAAAGATTCATTATACCTGACCAGCAGCATCGCGAATCCTTGGAAGCAGCGTCTGCCCATCCTCTCCTTTGAACTTTAGAATATTGGCCGTGATTTCGATGAGGAACGAATCGAGTTCACCCTTGTTCCAGTCGGAGAAGACCTACGAGGATATTAAAGTCAACTCGACTTCCAAATACCTCCGCAATATCGTCGTGCTTCAGCCCGAGTCCCTTGTGCATCAAGTCGTAGGCCTCGGCGATGAGCTGCATGTCGCCGTACTCGATTCCGTTGTGCACCATCTTGACGAAATGCCCGGAGCCGGCTTCGCCAACCTTAAAAAAATAACTAGGAAAAGATTTAGACTATTTACCCAATCACAGCACGGTTCTCCATCGCTTTTGGCGGCGATCGACTGGAAAATCGGCTTTAGGTGCTGCCAGGCTTCTGGGTCACCGCCGGGCATCAAAGAAGGTCCATATCTAAAAAAAATAGTTAAAAAGCAGTGATCAACTACCGAGCCCCTTCCTCGCCACCCGAGACACCGCAACCAACAAATAGGATCCCCTTCTCGTGGCATCGGCCTGTTCGTCTCTAAAAAACATCGTTAAGAGAACACAAAAAAATCAACATACTTGAGTATCCATGTATTGACTGTTTCCGCCGTCGATGATAATGTCGCCCTTCTCCAAGAGGGGCAGCAACACTTCAATCGTTTGGTCGACCGGGTTCCCGGCTTTGACGAGCAGCATGATACGGCGCGGGCGCTTCAGCTTGCTGAAAACCCGGGTCATGGTAAAAGCAAAATTACTGACTTGACCATATCCTGCCACGATTTGGCCCCGATCACCTTGGTTCCCTTGGCCTCGTTGGCGATGAAGTCGTCGACGAGGGAGACAGTTCGATTTGCGGCGATTACCTAAAAAAGTAAGAATTACAGCCAAGTAACCGAAACCTGGAAGCCGTGGTCGTTGATGTTGAGAACGATATTCTGGCCCATCACGGCCATCCCGATGACGGCAATGTCCCCCACAGCTTCACCCATTTCGAAGGAATCTGAAAGAATAACTTAAAAATGGCAAATCATAGCGTCTCTTCGAGGAAAATAAGTTGTGAAAATTTTGGGCAGTAACACGAGGCCGGCAGTAAACTCAATAAAACTGATTATTTCCCGGCAATGGATACGCCTATAAAAGAGCGATCACTCGCGCGACGTAATTGACGACTGTTTTCCGGGGCTCCAAAATCGGGGGCGGCGCCGGGGATGCAGTGCATGTTTACAGGTCGAAAAGGTGAAAGGGAAATGGAACAGCGGTCGCTGGATGGGAAGTGCCTTTGAATGCGGGAAGTGACCCTGGCCAAGGTGACAATTTGTGTGCCAAGGCGCCACAAACTATAGACCAAGTTGCTGCGGAGTTATTAGTGATAGCGAATTATTATAGTTGATTACTGGTGAGCGATCGGCAATTTGATCAGCGCCGTTGCGTCAAAGGTTGGGAACAAAGTACTTTTTCAACTTTACTACGTGACATTGCTCCGAAAACTAAACAACATTTATAACCCGGTGCCAACTTTAGGTGTAGGAGTAATCTACCCAAGAATTGGAAAAATGACCCTTTTAGTTATAAGTTAACGTCAAGTTCAGGTTTTTTAAATCAAACGCATCCTTTCAACTGAAGTTTTTCGCTCAGCTCTAACCTTGAGACCAGAAATGGAGAAGTTTTCCCGAAAAAACCAGGCAATCAGATTAGCAAGATTTCCCCCGACCACAAAATGTAACTCAAAAATTTGTGGTTAATGCGTGCAAAGTGTTTCGACGCAGTTTTTGCCAGCAAGGGGGTTCCCGGGGCAGAAATACGTAGGAATGGGCGAAGGTTTAGAGACGGCCGACGAAAATGGCCGTTCGAGAGAGGCTGAGGGGCGGAAAGGGGCGATGCATGCAAGCCGAGATGGCCCCACTTTATCTGGCGCCGGCCATCAGGAGATGCTAATAATACCGGGCGATCGGTGCGTTGAAAATACAACAAAGGCCGATACCTAGAAAGCCTGCAGATAATGGACCCCCGGCTAATATCCTTAGGAATCACGAAAAATTAAAAAAGGAACACTGTACTGCAAAAAATGCTTTTTGATTTGATACATGCTCTCAAAGAGCGCGACCGGATCAAACCTAACTTTACAAAAAGGGCTGGGAATCCAAACAGTTGGGGCTAGAAGCTCAAGCTAGAAACTAGAAGATCTCTGGCAACCGTTTTGTCGGGTCAAATTACGACAAAAAAGCGTTCTTTGCCCCACATTTTCTTCGAGTTATTCGGTGCAAATGTATTTGTTTTTGAGCGGCGCGTGAAAAACTTTACAAATTTTAGTTAAAAAATTCTTTTGTTCGCTCGAAAAGTCCAAAATTTTAATTTTTCAAAAATTTTTCTAGCTTTTTCGAAACTTTTTCTACTTCAACAATAGTTAAAACGTGCTAAAAACTATAAAAAATAAACACCTGGAGCGCCAAGAAAAACTTAAAACTACCTATAGCACGAGAAGTTAAAAAATAAGCGTTTCTAATAAATCAAAATTATGTGAATAAAATTACCTGAAATACAGCAAAACACCCTGAATACCATTCGGCTTGGACCTACTATCAAACGGGATCCCCTCGACACCCCCAACATAATTATCAGCCAGAAGACCGGTCTCACAAACGACCCTCCTTGCAGCCGCCGGCCGCTGCGCACCCGATTCCACCGACCGGGAATTCAACGGGCGCCATAGTATATGAAGCTGTCAGCCGGCGCTGGTGTTGACACAACGCCTCCGGGAAATTAGAGCCCGCCGCGACACGCCAGGTAGACAGCCTCGAATTTATCGCCCAAAAATCGTCTGGGCCAGCCCTCAATTGCTCCCTGAAATAAAAGTAAAAACTGTAAAGTACACCAAATTCTGCCGGCAGCCGCGCCAACTACCGCGCCGGCAGCCGTGCCTCGTCTGGCCTCCGTGGAGCCGTCCAATGTGTGACGGCAGTCGTGCCAAAAACTGTGCCATCATCCGCATCAAGTTTTGGTTCGCCAGCAGCTGAAAGTGTCCGTGCCGACTTGCAAAGTGTCCGTGCCGACTTACAAAGTGTCCGTGCCGACTTGCAAAGTGTCCGTGCCGACTTTGAAAGTGTCCGTGCCGACTTGCAAAGTGTCCGTGCCGACTTGCAAAGTGTCCGTGCCGACTTGCAAAGTGTCCGTGCCGACTTGCAAAGTGTCCGTGCCGACTTGCAAAGTGTCCGTGCCGACTTTGAAAGTGTCCGTGCCGACTTGCAAAGTGTCCGTGCCGACTTTGAAAGTGTCCGTGCCGACTTTGAAAGTGTCCGTGCCGACTTTGAAAGTGTCCGTGCCGACTTTGAAAGTGTCCGTGCCGACTTGCAAAGTGTCCGTGCCGACTTTGAAAGTGTCCGTGCCGACTTTGAAAGTGTCCGTGCCGACTTTGAAAGTGTCCGTGCCGACTTTGAAAGTGTCCGTGCCGACTTGCAAAGTGTCCGTGCCGACTTTGAAAGTGTCCGTGCCGACTTTGAAAGTGTCCGTGCCGACTTGCAAAGTGTCCGTGCCGACTTACAAAGTGTCCGTGCCGACTTTGAAAGTGTCCGTGCCGACTTACAAAGTGTCCGTGCCGACTTTGAAAGTGTCCGTGCCGACTTACAAAGTGTCCGTGCCGACTTTGAAAGTGTCCGTGCCGACTTGCAAAGTGTCCGTGCCGACTTGCAAAGTGTCCGTGCCGACTTGCAAAGTGTCCGTGCCGACTTTGAAAGTGTCCGTGCCGACTTGCAAAGTGTCCGTGCCGACTTGCAAAGTGTCCGTGCCGACTTGCAAAGTGTCCGTGCCGACTTTGAAAGTGTCCGTGCCGACTTGCAAAGTGTCCGTGCCGACTTGCAAAGTGTCCGTGCCGACTTTGAAAGTGTCCGTGCCGACTTGCAAAGTGTCCGTGCCGACTTTGAAAGTGTCCGTGCCGACTTGCAAAGTGTCCGTGCCGACTTTGAAAGTGTCCGTGCCGACGTTGAAAGTGTCCGTGCCGACTTTGAAAGTGTCCGTGCCGACTTTGAAAGTGTCCGTGCCGACTTTGAAAGTGTCCGTGCCGACTTTGAAAGTGTCCGTGCCGACTTTGAAAGTGTCCGTGCCGACTTGCAAAGTATCCGTGCCGACTTACAAAGTGTCCGTGCCGACTTACAAAGTGTCCGTGCCGACTTTGAAAGTGTTCGTTCTGCGCTTAAAGGGATAGGGGCGGCATAAGTCAATCGATTACGCGCGGGAAAGAAAATGTCGCTGCGCCTCTCCCTTGGGCGCCCTCTCTCGCCGCTGCATCTGTTGAACCCCCCTCCCCAAGGGGGGTTCAACAGATGCCGTCCTCATCTCTTTAAAGTGTTCAAAATGTTAAAATTAAAGACCGCGCCTCACTGGGAATTCCACGCCGCCGGAAAAAGGATATTTGCACAAACTATCCAACTTTCACTCGCCTCCCAGCGGCAAAGGCGATTATTCGACGGCTCGCCGCGGGGTTTTGAGCCAAATTATCAGCGACCAAATTTATTGGGGGGTGCTGGGTGAGGATAGAACGTGGCGTGGCTGCTAAATAGGGCTAAAAACATGATGCGATGACGGTCAAAGGGTGCAAAACGCAAAGTGTTATGGAAAACTTTGGCAAATTAAATAGTTTTAAGATTTAATTGAAGTTTTCATTTTTAGACCAAAGTCCGTACGCGAGACTTCAATGGACAATACAGCGCCATCTGGAAGGCTACGGAACTCCACTGCAGGATTGGAATTTTTATTTTTTGGTTTTTTAGCTTTTCGATGTCGATAAATTTTCTGTATACCTGTCTTTATCCTGTATACTTATCGAAAAAAAGATGGTTTATTAATCACAGATAAAATAAAGTAAATTAACCAACATATTTGAGGCGTGGAAGCGCGAGTCGAAACGGCAATCGAGCTTTGTTTAAGATTTATATTTTGCCATCATTAATTTTCGATGTTTTCTCTAAAAATTAAAGCTAAAAAACAAACAGAATTTTGCCGGTTTTCAGGCGCCGACTGATTCTAAAGTGAAATTTTGACGATATCCAGGCTATTTTTCACGGTACCAATTTTACGTCTCGAAAAATCGCGCCTTCGGAATGCGGGACATTTCCCAAGCCCAGCGATATTTTTGGGCCATCTCTCGCAGAGCCATTTTCGACTTTACTACCGGCGACAGCGACGGAACGGCCCCGTGTCTCAATGCTGCCTGCCATCTGATGCAAGGGCCGACAAGTGACATCATCATGTCTTCCCTCCTGGAATCGGCTATCAGCAAAGAAGACAAGCCCACCTTGCTCTGGCTTTGGGCCTGGCCTCGATCTGGCCGCGCCTTATCGGGCCCACCTCATTCCGCTCGCCCGTCTCCCGCCTCGGCTCCATGCAGGTACCGTATGTAGTTTAGGGCGCGCTTTGCGTAGCTTTTTGTAGGGATCGAAGGGGTTAAGGGGTTGCTAAATTTCTGGGTTTCGCGGAACGTACCGCTACGATTTAGCATTCGGAAAGCAATTTTCAGAAAAAAAACTGATTTTCTGGCGAAATAATCGTTTTAGAAGCTAAAATGGCTATTTTACACTTTTAAGATCTCGATTTGCAGCTACGATTTTGCCCAGCCTACAACGTTTCGCTAGTAAATGATTTTCTAGCCGCTTAAACGGTTTTTTTGTACAGCAAAAACTCAAATTCTGGGCTTTTTTGGTTGTAATAAGCGAATGTAGGTTATAACCTTTTTTTGGAGCGGAATTACGGCTTTTGGAAGCGAAAATTTTAGTTCTGCACGCTTTTGGAGCACTTTTTCTGTTTTTAGTGAAAAGAAGCGGTGGACGCCTCAAACTCTTAGATTTTCAGTTTTCAACGACCAGATGAAACCTTTTTAGGTCTGCTACCTGCTCGGCGCGGCTCTCCTAGCCGTCGCTTGTAAGTGGTTTTTTTTGTGCTTAATTTTATAACATAAATTTAGAAGTATTTCTAACGTTCTAGTTTTTTGCTCTTTTTCCAATTTCTAAAGGCGCGCCCGTCTAAAATAATGAGGTGGCGGAGCTTATCGGGGGGGGGCCGGGGCACGAGCTGATCGTATATTTTTGGGTGCGATAAACCCCTTTTAGGAAAGGAAGGAAGGAAAGAAAGAACCGAACCTTTTTAGGTACACCTTTTTTCAGATGGAGCACCGGCGGTGCCCACGCCGGCCCCCATCCACACCGACAACCCGAAATATGGCGCTTTCATGGACGTCGTCAAGTTGTTGAAGTTGGTGAAGCAGAAAAAAAGTCTGAAAAACGAGAAAAGAGCAAAAAAGACGCATACAAAAGGATCGTGAAAATGACGACTCCAGAAAGCTATCCATTTTAAGGCCGTTGATGAACACCACGATCGACCCGTGCGACGACTTCTACGCGTTCACCTGTGGCAGCATGGACGCCAGCATGGAGATGTCGTTCGACGTCTCCGACAACGACAACGCGCTGAAGATGGCCCGGCAGTTCCGGAAGCAGTACTACCTCGATATTTCGGTAGGAATAAGATAGATTATTTAGCATGTAAGATGTACAACTATAGAAAAGGACCAAACTATTATTTTTTAGCCACTTCCGGTCAAGCAGGTCGCCTGGTACTTCCAGGCCTGCCGTGCGGCCAATTTGAATCCGGATTCGTTCCAGAATGGCGCGCCTTTGGTTCAGGTACAGATTTAAAAGTCTAATTCTTGCATTTTATTTTAGTTTTTATCGTGTAAATATTAATATTTTTAAAAGCTACAATATCTAGGCCCTCGCCAATCTTCAAGCCAACGTGCCCGGCGTTCCCTTCCCGGCCCTCAACCAGACGGTCACCAACGTTCAAGCGTTGAGCCCGGCCCAACTCGGCGGTCTCGTCGGCTACCTGGCCGGCTCGGAGGGCATCCCGACGCTGCTCACCCCGTTTGCCGACACGAATTGGCGTGATCCGCACGGCCCGCAGCCGTATTCGCTGTTCATCGACCAGCCATCGACCATCTACGGGTGAGTAGTGTGCGTGGTGTAGTTACGTACGTAGATCAATGGAGTGTATTTACGTGCATATGTAGCATAAAGTAGTGCAATTACGTAGATAAATGTAGCGTACTTACGTAAGTTTACTTTGTACAACTTATCCGGTATTTACGCACGTACGGTGAGCAACTTATGGTATTGAGGAGTGTACGTAGATCAATTTGGCGTATTTACTTACGGACGTAGTAGCGCAGCGTAGTATGGCGTAGCTTAGTACCTGCGTAGCTTGCCTTCCCGTCCTTTAACCCCCAAATTTTAGCTACACCTACCACACCAAAGCCTACGATCTATTCCACGACACTTTCGTCAACACCATCAAGGCCAACCTGCGCGCCCTGGCCAAGGTGATGAACATGCCCGCGCTGAACGAGAACAAGCTGGACAGCGACGCGAAGGCCATGGTCGACTTTGAGCACCAACTCATCCTCGCCTACAGCACGGACGACACGACGAGGCGCCAGTACAAGCGCAGCTACAACCCGGTCACCCGCAACAACGTCACCGCCATGTTCCCCTTCATCGACTGGCGCACGTTTTTGGCGCATGTGGGTGTTTTATATACTAAAAATACAGGGTAACATTCAACAAATCTGAAAAAATGTTTTTATTTTGCATTTTATGACGTAATGAGTATAACCGAGCCCGACGTCTTCAACAAGTCCAGCAGTTTAATTAGAAATACCGTTTTTTTCCAGACAATCGCCCCCGCCGGTGCCGACGTCTACTACAAGGTGGTCCACGACGAGAACTACCCCTTCCTCCTCGTCGAGCCGGGCAAGTTGATGCAACTCCAGGTTTGCTGCCCCGTCCAGAGGTGCATGTCGTACGTTTTCAGGCCGACTTCCCGTCGTTCGACCAGCGCGTCGTGGCCAACTACTTGTACTACCGGCTGGTAGATACCTACGCTGGGTATTTGCCTGCTCCGAGTGGAGATGTTGTTCGTGGCACTGAGGTAGGAATTATTCGAAAAAAAGTCTAAAGTGACCGGAAAGGTAGGATTATGGATTTTGGGCTCTGGATTGGTGATACTTTGTGTTCTGTTTTTCGTGCCTGCGCTATACGCAACGCGGTCGCGGGTGCGGAAAATCTATCGTGTATCCACAGCTTGAAAAATCCACAATCATACCCTTTGCGGGCGGTTTAAAGGAATGAGCAATGGATGGTTATGGATTTTTCAAGACCGCGACGCGCAACGCGCGTAGCCATAAAGGCGCCTGCTGCGGTCGCGGCGCGGAAAAATAAAGACTAAGGCTGACGCTGCCAGCAATATTGCCAAAACAATTTTTAAGGGTGAGGACTGGGAAAAGCCGACGCTCTACAAGCCAACCCTTGGCCGCCCCCGTCACATCAGCCCCGACCAGAAGCGCTTCACGAAAACCGACGGCTACACCGACGACCAGGTGCTCGACATCAATTGTGCTGGGGAGACGACCTTCATGCTGCCGGTGAGTTTTCGGGACGTTAACAGTATCGTATCGGGTTCGAAACGTGCATACCGATGCTGCCACTTTGCGCTAATTGGTAATAGAGATAAAAACGCAAGTATAAACTCGTTAAACCCTAATTTTTAGTACGCCAACGCCCGCGCCTTTGTCGACAACATCTACCCAACCCAGGCCGACCGTGACGCCATCCGCTACAACGTCCGACAGCTTGCTGGTACGTGCACTACGAGACAATCCTTTAGCCTCCTGAGAGTACCCCAAATCCTCTAATTTATAGAGAGCATTCTCATCGGTTTCCGTGGAATGATCGACCAACTGTCGTGGATGTCCCGTTCCACCAAGCAGGGCGCTTTCGCCAAGATCGAGAATCTGGTGAAGAACATTGCGTTCCCGGACTGGATCACCGACGACAAGCAGCTCGCCGACTACCACTTGGTGGGTGAAAACGAACGAAATCCTAATAGCCCTCCTCCTTGCAGACCCTCGACATCAAGCAAAACGACGACTACGTGACAATGGCGCAAAAGGCGAACGCCTTCAACCTGCAGATGGGCTGGCTGTACCTCCTCCGCAGCTCCGGCTCCGACCGCGTCGATTTCAACGGCCCGCCCGGCACCACGAATGCCTGGTATCAGGTGGGGTTTTGAAAAGAGATTTAGGTACCCGCCCTTTCTTTATATGTCGTACTCATTTAGCCCGAGCTGAACTCGATCACGTTCCCGGCTGCCATCCTCCGCCAGCCCTTCTACGACCCGAACTGGCCGGCGGCGATGAACTTTGGATCGATGGGAGTCATTGCCGGTGGGTTGGAGGTTAATCGATATCTTTTAAAAACGATATAGTTACTCAAAACGTTTAAAAATGCGCTAAAATCACGCAAAAACGAAGAACGCACATATTCAATCATACCGAGGATCCGCGTGGAAGTCTAAGCTTAACTACGCGACATTACTATGTACATCCTAGCCCGGTGCATTTTTTACAACGTGTAATCAATCGTGAAACGGAAGTTTCTGCGAAAAAGCGTCACGCACGACGGATATACGCAAAGTATCCGTTCGTAGTCCTAGCTAGACAACGCTACATTCCTATGTACACCCTAACCCAGTATATTTTGGCGCACAGAACTGAGACGAATGAAGTACCAGCCTGTAGGTCTAGCTAGACAACGTGACATTCCTATGTACACCCTAATTCAGTGCTTTCCTTGCATAGCGTAACCAATTGTGATAGAAAACCACTAGTGAATTCAGTATTGTCGCCGTAACTCGAGAAACACAAAACCAAACGAGCTGAAAATTTTGTGAGTTATGCACATGGTACTTACAGATTTGCCTGCAAAATTTCAGGCCTCAACGTCTTAAAAGGACGGTTTTACAACGTAAATACTTTAGGTCACGAGCTGACGCACGGCTTCGACGACGAGGGAGTGCAATGGGATGGGACTGGTGGCCTGAATGGATGGATGGACCAGATGTCCTCCTACTACTTCAGCGAAATGGCCGATTGTGTCGTGCAGGAATATTCGGGCTTCTGCCCCCTGCCCGCCAACTATTCCACGGCTGCCTGTATCGACGGAGCGCAGACGCAGGGCGAGAATATTGCCGATAATGGAGGTAACTAATATGATCAAAATTGATGCTTTTGTATGAAAAAAGTGGGGTTCATCTTGTTTATTGGAACACTAAAACTTGTACCTTTTTAAGGTATCCACTCGGCGTTCCGCGCCTACAAGGCCTACGTGAACCTCCACGGCCCGGACCCGCTGCTCCCCGACGACGACTTGTCGCAGTTGACGGCTGACCAGCTGTTCTTCATCGCTTTTGCGCAGGTTTTTGAGAGAGTCATGGTCTTTCTAATGCGAATTTTAGCCCTGGTGCCAACTTCCGCCGACGGCTCAGCGTGAGATGCGGCAGCTGCTTGTAGACGTGCATTCGCCATCACTTTATCGTGTCTTTGGAACTATTCAGAATTTCCCGGCATTTAAGGTATTGGGGAAGGGGAGAGAGAGAAAGAGAGTGAGTGAGAGATACCCTACTCCTTCCAGACCGCCTACAACTGCCCGTACAACACGAAATACGCCCCCGAGAAGCACTGCAACGTGTGGGTCTCCGACGTCAAGCAGTCCACCGGCATCCCGGCCATCGGCAACGATCTCAACATCCCCACCGCCGCCCCGATTGCCCCTCGCAACCTCTCCGTCTACGCGGCTTACCAACAGGCCACGGACTTCTTCGCCGCCTCCGTCGACCTCACCGCCGACCCGTGCAACGACTTCTACAAGTACTCCTGCGGAAACTACAAGGGAGTGGTGGGTATTGGGGCGTACTACATGAAATTCTTGGACTTTAGGTCAGCTTCCACCTCGCCGACGAGAAGAACAAGGCCCAGATGGCGACGAAGCTGATGGATCCGGCATATGATCCGATCATTCAGGTATTACGCCAAAATCCCGACGGGAAAAACACCGATATGCTAAATGCCGACAGCCTTCCAACTGAACTTCTAGAGCTCGGCCGCCCTCAAGAAAACAAAACAATTCTTCCAAGCCTGCCAAAAGGCGGCCCCCAACATGGCCAACGACCTGAAGACGCTCGACCTCGTCAAGCCAAAGGTCGACGCGCTCAAGGCAAAGCTTGGAGCTGACTTCACCGCCGTCTTCAGGTACAGTTTTTGGAAAGGTATCTGAATCCCATGTTTTCAGCCAGATAAACCCAGTGACCGTTGCCCCAACCCCCACCCAGCTCGCCGACGCTCTCGCTTATCTGTCCTTCACCCTCGGCGTCGACACCCTCATCTCTCCGATGGTGGACACGAACTGGAAGAACCCGGAAACCGGATACTACCTCCATGTGGACCAGAACACGGCCTACTACTCGAAATCCTACTACCAGCCCGGCGCCTTCCAAATCATCCAGCCCACCTATCTGGCCAACGCCCGGACCCTGTTGACGAACTTTGCCACCAGCCAGAACCTGAGCCTTGATCCCAATGCGCTGACCAAGGTGGGAAATGGCCTTTGCTGGGCTTTAAATTAAGGAATTAATAGAAAATTGTTTGGACACCGAATATTCGCGGGGAGCAGGGCTCTTTCAATGTCGTAACCGATTATACGGGCATAGGTTCTGGTTAGTTAGCGGGGGGGGGGGGGGTTTACCGGGGGAAGATCAGGTTACAAATTGTGTTTGCTAGCGTAAACGATTGCGAAATTAGCGCATTTTGACGCAATGCAGCCAAAATCCCTGTCTTAAACCCGGATTCGGACGTAGAAATCGATTAGACGTCTGAAATTTCGACAGAATCGGTGCCGAGCAATGTATTTAATGGCGTAATGGATTGCAAAAGCCGAATAATTTTTGAATTTGGTGTATTTTCGATAAAAATAGTGGTATTTAAGTCCATTGCTGGGGGATAAAAGACTGAAGTATACGAAAATCGGATGATAATGCTTGAAATAGTGCAGATTAGGGGTGCTTTGCGTAGCTGAAAACTAGGCTACGCTACACTCCCTTTGACGTGTTTTTTGTATGCGTGATTCGATGCGTAGGATAGTTTAATGGAAATTAAACCTGAAAAACTGAATTTACTGTGGAAAAATATCGCCCGATTACCGTGTTCATAGGAGCGTAACGTAACCGAAAACTAGACTACGCTACACTTCACTTGACATGATTTTTATATGAGTTCTTAGACCATTTTCAATTCTACATTCTTAGGTGCTCACCGACGTCATCAACTTCGAGCAGCTCCTCGCCACGACGTACAGCACCGACGACACCACCCGGCGTCAGTACGCCAGGAGCTGGAACCCTAACGCGATCTCGGACTTGAACAACAACTACCCATTCCTGGACTGGACCACGTACTTCAAAAATGTCCCAGCCATCGGTGCACTCGCCGCCGACAAGATGGTCAACATCATCGAGCCCGACCAGTTCAAGAACCTCAGCTCGACGCTGGCCAATATCGCGTCACCGGATGTGCTGGTCAACTACCTGTATGTGAGGATGGTGTTGGCTTATCAGGACTTGGTGCCGAGCTACGGCCAGGGGAGGATTGTCGAGCCGAAGGAGTGGCGTGGACTGGGGAGGAGCAGGAGATCGACACAGGGCCAGAAGAATGTCATTCCCCTAATGAGTGATGTCTCTGATGTTGATGTTGGATGTGCTGGAGCCACGCTGGATTTGATGCAGTTCTCGAACGGACGTGTCTTTGTTGATGTCCTGTATCCGGATCAGGCTGCCAAGGATGTGATCAGGTTTGCGCTGAATATATGGTTGTTTTTTTTGATTCCGTAGAATATGGAAGTAAAGAATTGATTCTTTGAACTCCTTGAATATGTAGTATCCCGTTTTCAACAGGAAAACCGCCGGCGGGCTCATCTCGAACGTGCTGAACGCGTTCCACGGAATGCTGGACGCCCTCGACTGGATGGACGACGACAGCAAGAAGGGCGCCTACGACAAGGTCCTCAATATTGGTAAGTAATTAAAGTAATTTAAATTACTAAGCCAAGCCTAAGCACCAAAATCGATTGATCCATTTTTAGCAAAGAACGTCGCCTTCCCCGATTGGATCACCAACAATGACCAGCTGGACGCGTACTACCAGCAGTTGAACTTGGCCGCTGATGATAGCTACTACACGATTTTGGACAAGTTGACCGCGTAGGTGTTTTGGGGAAAGAGATAGAGAGAGAGAGAGAGCGAGAAAGAAAGAGAGAGTGAGAGACAGAGAAAGCGAGAGAGCGAGAGTGAGACAGAGATATTGAGAGCTACGCTTACGCAACGCCTTACACCGCGTATTTCTAAAGGGACAGTGCCAGATTGTGCTCCAACCACAAATGTTCAGCTTCAACCTGTGGGCCCAGTACAACCAGCTGACCTTCACGAAGACCGACCGCCACGACTTCTTGGGACAACCCGGAATTGTGAATGCTTGGTATCAGGTAGGGAATAAGCTTTAAAAGGAACTCAGAAACCGCATACTTACATATCGTCATCGTTTAGCCGGAGCTGAACTCGATCACATTCCCCGCCGGAATCCTTCGACCCCCGTATTTCCACCCCGAATGGCCGGCTTCTCTCAACTACGGAGGCATGGGACTCGTTGCCGGCAAGTTTTAAAATTGGATTTTTTTTTGTCTTGTTGTATCTAGTTTTGAAAAGATGCATAAAATTAAAAATGAAAATTAAACATTTAGGGCACGAATTGACGCACGGATTTGACGACGAGGGAGTGCAATGGGATGGGACGGGTGTGCTGAACGGGTGGATGTCAACTAACAGCACCATCGGCTTCACCACGATGGCGCAGTGCATCATTGATGGTGGGTATCTCTACCTCTCTCGCTCTCTCTCTCTCGCTCTCTCGCTCTCTTTTTCGCTGTCTCTCTATCGCTCTCTCGCGCTCTCTCTCTCTCATTCTCTCTCTATCGCTCCCCCTCTCTCTATCGCTCCCTCTCGCTGTATCCTCCTCGTTACTCCCGTATCCATTTTCAGAATACCGCAGCTTCTGCCCCCTCAAAGGCACCACCTACCAGCCCCAATGCCTCAACGGTCAGAACACCCAGGGAGAAAACATTGCCGATAATGGAGGTACCAACTTGACCAAGTTTTGATCATTGACTGTTTTCAGGAATCCACTCCGCCTACCGTGCCTTCAAGACTCACCAAAACCTGAACGGGCCCGACCCGCTGCTCAACGACCGCATCTTCGGGCAATTCAACCACGACCAGCTGTTCTTCTTGAACTTTGGACAGGTGAGAAAGAGGGAGAGAGAGAGAGGAGAGAGACAGAGAGAGAGAGACAGAGAGAGAGAGAGAGAGAGAGAGAGAGAAAGGGGAGTGGGAGAGAGCGAGAGCAAGAGAGAGAGAATACGAGCGAACGGAAACTATCGTGAGGAAACCAAGGAGGCATGGCAGCAAGAGAATGAGTGTAGTGAGCAAGAGCTAGGAGAAGAGTTAGAAACCGAGGGAGCCAGAGTTAGAGCGAGAGAACGAGACAGGGAGAGGGAGCAAGAGTGAATGCAAGAGATGGAGAGGGATCCAAGAGGAAAAAGAGAGAGCGAGAGCGAGAGAGAGCTGGAAAGCTTTCAGAACTTTAATGTACCAATTTGATCTCCAGGTTTGGTGCCAAGAGCAAGAAAGCCCGGCCGCCTATTTCCGCCAAATCCTCGTCGATCCGCATTCCCCAG